AAGGTTATGACACTTTTTGTTTAATTTTATAATATCTCGTATACAATGGAATAATATATTTTCCGAGAATAACTAAGAAACAAATTCCTTTTTTATACATGGGATGTATTCCGAAACTTATTTAAGAAAAAATGTGTTGCAATCTTTCCATCCAGTTCTATAAACATGCGGACGCACAAAGAGAGTTTTTCTCTTATGCTGCATTCTCAGATATCACGTACGTGCATATACATACTTACGTTTCATAAAAAGATATTCTATACTGGATGTGCGTGCGTGCGTGCATGTGTGTGTGTAGTACCAGGTATGTGCGCAAACGGCGCACATGACCAAAAATCGGTACTCGGTCGCCCTCTTTCCGTGAGAAAGCGCGAGCCCCCGGCTCCCCCTTGGTCAGGCCACGCCTGAGTGACGGGCAAAATTTTGCGTCGTCATAATATATATATATATATATATGTGTGTGTGTGTGTATAGAGAGAGAGAGAGAGAGAGAGAGAGAGAAAATTGTTAAGTGCTGAAATCAATCTTGAGGGATACGAGTCTCAGTAACATAACGCGATCCGTTTTTTTAATTGCAAGTACACGTCAATCGCGTCCGAGACAAATTATATTTCTTTTATATTAATTTTTTTGGTTATATATTATACTCTTTCATATGAATGAATTGTAAGGAGAACACGATGTTTTAAATGTCTAACAGCAATATTATAGTCACTAAATATGACTATAATTATGACTGTCAACAGACGATTACAAATTCAGTGAACAACGTAACTTCCTTATAATTTTTATAATCATAAGTTGCAATGTCATAAACACGCCTCATTTTATTTCACTTACGCTCGCGTTATTGTTCTTCTTTCATTTGCACCAATAAGTTATAAGCGGAATACGATGTTTTAAGCATCTGAAATAACAAAAGTTAAAATAGCTATTATGCAGAATATGCAGAATCAATCTATTAATTTTATCTCGTTTAATTTTAATCGGTTTTTGTCATTTAAGCGTAATCTAGCGAGATATAAATTTAATCTCGTCAATCATCATCAAACTCTATACGAGTATATGTACCAACTGCTACGAAAGAATCCAAGTTCATGGACAAGATATGCGCAGTCGAGATTTCAATGGGCACTTCCGCACTTCCGCCTATTATCAATAGGCTCTTCTTAACCTGATTATTCAACGTCGGCCAATTCATTTGGAATATGCTGTCACTTAGTTGTAGGCTCTGTCAAAGAAATAACTGTAGTGCATCCTATTTATTCTTTAACGTTGGCGATTTAATGCTTCTGGTCTTTAATTATGATCATATTGACTTATATCGCCAAGAGCGAAAAATTACGTGAGAATTATTTCTTCATACAACACAATATATATATATATATATATATATATATATAGTACAAGGATAAGTATTACATTGCTCATGTACAGAGTGTTGACTTACATACAGAGTAGTATGCTAGGTTGCCGCTACAATTGCACGCGTGAGAGAGTTAAAAGGCCCTTCGCGAACTCGGGTTGATCGCACGCATTCTCTCCGCGTGCTCTTACAACAGCAACCCGGCATACCGGCCTGTAAGAAGTTAGCCCCCACTTTTTGAATTTATTTATTTCGACAGTTGTGCTGATTTGTGCTAGGTTTATGCTACATTATGCTCGAATGATAAATTTGTAATATGAAAAATGTACGAGAAAAATGCAGAAAATGATTTTTTTTGCCAGCCCGCATTTTGTACATAGACTGCGAACGCGAAGGGTCGCGATTAAAAATAAAGTAACCTTTAAATTCTTGTGCCAGCGAAACTGAAGTTATGCTGATTTGTGCTATGCTAGTACAAATCAGATATGAAATTTGATCTTGTTTGGTTAACTAATGTGAATGTAAACGTTAAATTTATACTGTTTTGCCCAAAATCGTTTTCATCGTTTTATTTCTTTTATTATTTTTTATCGAAAATGGTCGAAGGTTCGAACCTTTTATTATTATTTTAACACAATGTTAGCACAATTAAAAAAATTGCAATAATCGGAAAGTGGAATGCTGGCAGAAAAATTGTTTTTCTCATTTTTGTTGCGCATTTTTCATATTACAAGTTTATTCGAGCACAATATAGCATAAACCTAGCTCAAATCAGCTATTAAAATAAATAAATTCGAAAAGTTAGGGGCTAACTTCTTACATGCGGTATATGGCTCTGTATGTATAATATACAACATCTTATACAAATGAAATTCATCAAACTGACAAGGAGAGGACACAGTGAGCTCCTCACCGATTTTGATTTCTTTGATACGTGATGAATCTACATCAAATATGAATAGATCCGTGTCCGAACATTTCGTCCAATGCAGCTTGAGAATAGCAGTTTTTAATATTTGAAATTTTAAGCGTTCTGTAGTATATTTTAAAAGGTTAAAAAGAAAATCAGCCAATAAGCAGAGTCGCGTGGCGTAATTGATAGACGCAAGACTAGTAATAGTAGGAAAGAATGCAAAATCGATTAAACTACTATTATCAAGACGTATCGGACAAAACGTTCGAACAGAGGTCCATTTATAAATTCACCATATATAAAGAAATCAAAATCGATGCGGAATTCACTATGTCCTCTCTTTGTAAAATGAAAAATCCTTTATTATTTTGCAAACAAGCAAGATAATTATTGAGATAATAATTAAAGAAAAATATTGATGAATCGCGGAACGCGCTGCAAAATGACGAGCTCTGTAAGATAGTCTGGAGAATCATGTCAAATATATTAGAATCAGATTAAAAGTCACACTTACCTTTACTTTGACTTTGTTTCCAAACTAGCAGTAGATGAATATTTGTGTCAGTATGCAGCATGTGTACATAACTAACGAAACGTGGTTCGTGTTCGACGATGGATTAGTCAATTGATATAAATTAGAACAAATCACCATTGTACTCGCTATAAATTGAAGTCCAATTATTTGATTGAATCTTGTGTTCACCAATCGTGCAAACCTGCAATTAAATTTCCCTTTTTATCTACGATACTTTTCCATTACAAATCCGTAAAATTTCTCGTATCGTATCGAAATCGTACGGCACCCATTCTCTGTATGTTAATCTTCTTTGCCTGAAGTCGGTGAGCAACAATGTTAGAGCGATGAATGAGCACGTTGTCTCAATGAGAATCGCGTAGCGTAACGTGTTATTTCTGAAAGACAGCTGAAAAAATTGTTATGTCCGTGTTATTTCTAAAGTCCACTCCAGATGATATGGCAAACATAAGCAACGTTGGTCTAACATTGCCAATGAATGTAATCAAATTAGATCGGCATAAAAACTTGTATAAAAGCATATTAAAATATTTATGCACACAACATGGCAACTATTATATCGATCAACGAATCACATTGGTGGTTATTTTCCATGTCTTGAAGAGCGGACTTAATGCAAGTTTGGACGGAAATATATGAGATCATTTTATGTTTATTTTTTTCTCATATTTTTCAACAATAGAAAGCGTTGTTTAACTTGATAGTTAACTCGAACATATTGTAAGTTATATCTCGTGGATTCACTTTATAGAATGATCTCTCTAAATTTCTTTTTGTAATTATATAAATTTATCTAGAAAGAGAGATAAAGAGTATATATGTGTCCTGTAAAATTTTTAAATCTTAATATTTTAATATTCCAAAAAAAAATTGACGAAACATCGAACAATACATGTGTATTCCCTCAATTGAGATATTTACTGTATTATTTTCTCGAATTTCTGTTAAATTTCCATTTCATCTCGATCCAACGGTTTAAACGGTTCCTTGGTAAGACTGTTAATTAACGCTGTGACATTTTCATAACTTATCCACATAATAAACATTTTGTAACATCCAGCAGTTATGGTTAACATCATGTTCAAATTATTGGTAAAGTCATCGGGATTGTCGATGATCAGAACTATATCCAGTTATTGAGAAAGTATATATCATACTGATTAGGTATAATCTGTAGATAGTGTAAGCTATGCGTCTGGGCAGGGTAGTCCACGACTGCGATGAGCCTTAGCCAGTAAGTGTAACGCCATTACTTACCTTCTGTTCTTGAAATATATATATATATTAAGTTGGCAAGGATGAAATTTGTAGTTAATAATATTGCCAACTGTAACAGCTTATTATTTGACATTAGCTTAATATATTACCGTTCTGTTTTTTTTTTTGTTGGAAAGTTACATATCTCGCCTGTTTAAAGAAATCATTGTAAGCTATTTGTAAGCTAAAAAATATTAAAACCTTTTTTTAAAAATTAATTTTTTGAAAATGGAACGGTCGGAAATTCGCACTATTATGAAGTATGAGTTTTTACGTGGAACTACGGCATCGCAGACCGCGCGAAACATTAATAGTGTATTTGGTTCTAGTGTCACTACGCAGCAGACAGTATCAAATTGGTTCGCCAAATTTCGTACAGGTAACTTTGACCTCACAAATGAGCCACGCGGTCGCCCAGAATCAAAGGTCAGTAATGACGAACTAAAGGTCACCGTTGAGTCTGACTCATCTCAGAGTGCCTATGAATTATCGTTGAAGTTTGGTGTTAGCAAACAAACAATTTTATCTCAAATCCTTCCTTGGCGCGATTTTTATATCTCCATACTTATTGCGAATATTGATATAGGACTTTTATGTTTACTTGAACTTTGGTAAGGTTGCTCTAGGACATCCTGTATAGGAAGGTGATTAATACTCAGAGATTCACTAATGTAATTTATTCTTTCATATTAGATATTTTTTTACGAGATATATTTAGAAAATAACAAATATATTTCTTGAAAATATCATATTATATATAAATATTATTTCTGATCCACTGATCGATTACGATAGTGAATCTGTACATCATTGTAATGGACTGTTTTCTACAAGTACGTTATTTTCCATTTGAATTCTCAACCGTTATCTTTACGCTTGTTGAATCTTATTTATAAGATTAATATGTTTTGCGAATATATAATTTCCCTTTACATAATTTGAAGTATATTATATATTGAATACGACACCTTAAGGAGCTGCGAAATATATGAGTATGTCTAAATTTTTTTTTAATGGGTTTGATAACATAGTGGCTATTAGCTATGTCGGCAAAATAAAAAAGTATATAGACATTATATATATTATATAAAAATCTATTAGTAAAGTCGGTCGCGGCCATGGAATTTAGATTTATTTCTAACCTTTCCGAAGGATTCGAGGTTCATCGTAAGAATATGTGCACTGGTAAACTCGATAGGTATTAGAGAACGATTCATAATCATTATAAGATTTTCTTTCCTTTTCTTGTCTAACGCCAGCCAATCCATGGCGAAGATTTGATTAGAAAGTTGAACGCTCTATAATAGAAGTTGCAAGACAGACATTAATTGGCGTGATTACAATATAACACTCTTATTTATAATTATTATAGTCAAAAATTATAATGAAAATATTAAACTGAATAATTATAGTTAAAAATTATTTCGTCGATGATGAAAAAAGAAGAATTCTGTCACGTCATTTTATTCTCTTCCGCTCTTCATTCTATTAGGTGTACAAATTAATTCGGTACCCTTTTTCATGAAATTCAAAGTTTATTCACAAAAAACAAGTACATATTTAATGTTAGAAGTAACCTCTATTATTTTCGATGACTTTACTCCATCTTTCGGGCAACTAACGAATGCCTTCGCGGAAGAAACTTGGTGATTTTGACTTGATAAAATCATTGATGCTTTTTCGGACCTCGTTAACTGTTTTAAAGTGCTCATCAGCCAATGATGTTGAAGCGACCGAAATAGGTGGTAGTCCGATGGGACGAGATTTAATGAATAAACCGCGTGAGGGAGAACGTTCCAGCCCAGCAATGTATACGTAACGTCCGTAGTCCTTTCTGCGATATGTGATCGAGCGTTGTGGTCGTGCTGCAAAATTACTTGCCTACTTCCGCTGCCAGTAGCCTCTTTTGCTCCAACGCATTGCTCAAACGGTTGAGTTGTTGATAGTACTTGTTGTTGTTGATAGTACTTCACAGTAACAGTCTGGCCAGGATCCAACAATTCCTAATGCATCACACCCTTCATATCCCACCAGGTATTCAGCAAAAATTTTTTTTTGCATGAATATTGGACTTTGGAGTCGATGTCAACGGTTGACTGGAATCTACTCACGATTTTTTGCGTTTAGGATTATCATATAATACCCATTTCTCATCATCCGTAATGATTTTGTATAAAAAATCTGTTCTTTTGAATCGGGTCAGCAGAAACATTGCCATGTTGAATCTTCACTCCTTGTTTTCCGGGTTCAGATTGTGCGGAACCTACCTTCCTTCTGAATTTTATCGAGTTGATGTAGACGATGAGATGTGTATTGTTTAGTAACTCGGAGTTGTAATGCAAATTTCTGTTGAGTATGAGCGGAGTTTTCAATCAACAGTTGTTTGAGTTCCTCGTCGTTGAATTTTTGTGGTTGACCCGGACATTGTCGATTCGAAAGGTCAAAATCTCCGTTTCGAAACCTCTGGTACCATTTTTTACACGTTTTATGTGTTACAGCGTTTTCACCCAGAGCGGCACAAATCATCTCCGTAGCTTCAGTAGCGTTTTTCTTTCATTGAAATGCGAAAAAAATACAGTACCTTATATCTACTATAGGCTACTTATCGACTGCCATCGTGTTCACTGCTGTTTCGTGAGGTTATATCGCCTGCTTCGGCAAAGCATATAGTATCTTGAGAACTTAGTGGTATACATTTAAAACCCGTAAAACGGCCGGAAATTATTTAGTATTGAAACGGAGTTATAAGGCGTGTAATATAAAGGACATTCAATTAATTTGTATACCTAATATTCTGCATCAATAGAATTTTGTCGTAACAATTCGTTAATACGTTGACTGTGACATTGATTTCAAATGAATATACAAAAAATACATGAATTACCAAAGTTATAGTAAATAAATATTACATAATTTGACGCATGTATCTTTTATTTTGATTCGGTGACTGCACATCCAATTTTTCAAATGCAATTAATTATACTTTATACATGACGTCACGAGACGCGTGCAATACTCAACAACGACCTCATGGTATTCAATGTGTTAATCGATACCTTTAATTTCACTTCGTTCCCGTACCAACAGTAAATGAGAATTTGTATTAGCATACAGATTGTGTACAACGCTAACGGAATATACTTCGGGCTTAATTCCGCTCTCGCCAATCGATACAGATTAGAGCACACCACTAATGTGCTTACTATGAATTGTACGGCGATGATGAACCTGAATTTTTCATTAATGTCGTGGGCGAGCCTACGAGAGAAACATATCGTTAAGACATCGCTGAATTAAAATACGTAAAATTTTTCGTACGAAAACTGACCTGTAGATGCGATTGTGTAGTTGCACGCATTCGCCGACATCGCTTTGCCGGCGCAAAGATTTCTTCAGCCGGCACTCCAAGATTTCAATCTGGCAACAGATGTACAGTAACAATCCGCAGACCATGTTGTCACAGGCAACGTTCACAATAGACGCGGCCGTCAAACTTATCAATTGATGGAAGTACGTGACGCAAAATAAATATATATTAGAGGAGTAGTTGTACGGCAACCACTCCCTGTAAGCTAAATTTCCATTTCGAAATTCTGTCAGCAAGGACGTTACACCCATACTCGCGCACGTCGACTCGATCATGAATGTGTACACCATAGCTTTCTTCCTGCAAAGCGTCTACGACAACTGTTTAAGCTAATAAAGTTAATTTACACTTATTTTAAAAAACAATGAAAAGAGAAGAGAAGGAAACAAAGAAAGAAAAATGTAAGAAAATTAATATAAAGGCTACTAAAAGAAAGAAAAAGAATTCTTGATCCATCCACTGTGATATTTTTATTTTGTTAGTTTTTATTTTTTTCTTGGATTGTGACTATTTGCTCTGAGATGAAACTATAATTAATTTATTTAGATGTTACATATTTGGCTCTTGCTAACTTTTATATTTAATTCTTAGTTTTCCTAGCAGAACCACTTAAAAAATATTATTAAAATAAGGTTGAATTTAACTTACCCTTTATAAAGATATAACAAATATTTATTCCATCAGTGTTTCTTGGTACTTACTGTATTAAATTATTGAATTTCTGCCGAATCTCGATTTCATCCGGTTCCAATGGCCTAAACGGCTTTTCGAGCAATGTATCTGTGAACATCTTAATATTCTGACGATTTAGCAACAGTCCGAGCATCTTACAAAAAGCCATAACCATAGCTAGCATGACGTAAAATGTGTCCGTGAAATCGTCAGGATTGTCGACGTTCAGGACAATGTCCATGAATTGTGGTACCATGAAGGTGAACAGTAGCAAGGTCATGATAATTGTATATATGTTGTACATTGTTCGTTTGTGAAACGTAGACCAGGAATTCGGTAGCCAGCAGCCGGCGATCGTAAGGGTTATTAACGGAAATTGCATGACTCGCATTTTGTCGTCTTCCTGCTCTAACGTCAAACGAAATGCTTATAATATTACATACGTCTTTTTTCTATTCATGTGTAAGATATATTTTTTAATGTCATTTGTGCACATTAAGTTTCGATAAAGGATTAATATTTGCTAAGCCAAAACTCATTAGTTTTTCTAATCATTATTATCTAATCGTGTTTGGATATACGTGGAAATTATGGCTGTTGATTATTCCGCCAACATATCATTTTGCCAGCTTGATATATATATTTTTTCATTATATTATATCCAGACACGAGGGGAACAATTTTCTTTTGTTTTAGAAAAAAAGGAAGAATGTTCGAAAGTAAGGAAAATTGTAATGATTCATAGCTTCTGGAATGGCGGCAAAGTTTTGTAATGAATTACTTTCAAAAGGAAATCTTTTCCATCCTCTCCCCGACACGATAAAGTTGGGTACAGTATAAATTAACTTACTCATGTTGAAAAAACGATCTCTCGTCAATTTCCTATGCTAATAATTAAACACAATTCTGTCAGCGATGCCGAGAAATATCTATAGCTACGCGGCGGGATTTTCTGCTCGTACCGTACCCGTAACTTCCCTCTTTGTGTTCGGCAGCCACATAATTATAGTAACACCGAACTTATAATCAATATCGTCTACGATGAATAATAACATTGTTATGATACGACATATAATATAAAATGATGTCTCATATAGTTACGCTCTTAAAATGGTAACTTTATATTATGCAACGAATATGACTTTACGTTCCGACGAAATGCACTGCAATAATTCAGAAGAGACCTGTGGACAAACAGCGTCTGTCTTTGACCGTCGATAGACCGTGAATTACAGTGTATCGCCATGAAATCTTAATGCGAGTGTATCAAGATGTATAGCAGTTTGTACTTGCAATGAAAGCAATAATGTTGGTTTAACTTCTTCCGCAAGTGCAACAACTATACAGTTATCGCGATATGAAATTCATAATATTGTGCTCTCCAAATAATAATTTTTTCATGCAACGACATATGTGGTTCTCTCCAAATGCAAACTTTATACGATAATACACTCGATCGAAGCGACGAAATAAAAGCAGAAAGCTATAGTCGAATACAGTAGAATCTCTCTCTAATGAAGCACAATTTAAAAACTCAATCTACAATTTGAAGACCCAGTCTCCAATTTAAACAAAAATTCAACGTTTCTTTCTGTAAAAATTATTTTTTTATTATCAGTAAAGTTGTGCTTGTTGTTAATAAATAAATGTTCTAATCTTTTCAGTATGTTGTTGCAATTTCAGTCTTAAAAGATATCTTATTCTACGTACAGGTGTATGTTAGAAAAAATAGTTAGAAACATAGATAGTTTACATATTTTTGAGGCTCCCTTATTTGATTATCATGTTTGTATAATAACAATGATATTTATCAAGATTGTAGCAAAACATATCAAAATTCGGAAAAGTCCTTATTCTACATAATTACCAAAATATCACATATATTATGTGCATTCTGTCAAATAAATACCGGGAAGTATTCATTTCAAAAGCCCGCGTAAAAAATATGAAAACAAATTTTTTGCTGTAAGTTGACACCAATGTACCTAATTGTCACTCAGAGTTTTGGCGCCATCTGTCAACCAGTTTGTTTACAGCTATTAGTTTTGTTAATCGACCTCAAGTGTACTCTGTGATTTTTTAAATGGATAAAAATATCGAACACAGAGTTTGCCTCAAATTTTGTGTCGCCAACGAAATTTCTTGTGCTGATTAATTGAAAATGTTGGAGAAGGCCTGATCTACGGTGAGTCAGCTTTATCGAAAGTACGAGCATACGTGTGGGACAAAGTATTCAAAGAAGACCGAAAGGTTGTTCGAAAATCAAAGTCAATGTTGACTGTTTTCTTTGACTATCGTGGTGTTGTCTATTCGAAATTCCTTGTGAAGGGGCAAACAGTCAATAAACAATATTATCTGAGCGTTATGAGGCGTTTGAGAGAGAATGTTCGCCGGAAAAGGCCAGATTTGTGAAAGAACAATTCTTTTGCACTATAAGTCACGGATTTTGCACCACGATAATACGTCGCCCTACACATCGACTCTTATACGTGAATTTTTGATTAAATACTCAACGAATGTCATCGATCGAGCACAGTATTTGCCAGATATGGCCCCGTGTGACTTTTTCCAAACTAAAATTACCATTTCATGGAAGACGTTTTGAGTCCATTGAAACCATAACACAAAATTTGCAGAAGGAGCTGCAGATCATATCGAAAATTGCTTATAAGAAATGTTTCGACGACTGGATTATTCGCTGGTATAAGTGTATCGCATCAAATGGGGCCTATTTTGAAGGCGACAAAATAAATTGGGATAATTAAATCAATATTTTGTTTTATTGAACAATTTTCGGTATTTACTTGACAGAATGTATATGTAAATATATTATCTATATAATCTATTGATCGTTCATCATAACAGTAAATTTGTACATCATCGTAATGGACTTTTTTCTACAGATATGTTACTTTTAATTTGAGCTCTAAACCATTATCTTTACGCTCATTGAATCTTATAAGATAAACATATTTTGCATAATATGCAATTTTATCTTACGTAAGTTGAAGTACGTTATATATCGAATACGATGCCTTAAGGAGCTGCAAAATATATATATGAGTATGACTAAATTTTTCTTGAACAGATTTGATAACATATGTAGTAGCGATCGGCTTCGTCGGAAAAAAATAATATAATAAAATATAGAAACATATAGAAATTATATATGTCTTGTATAAAAATCTATTGACAAAGTCGATCACTGCCGTAAAATTAGATTTATTTCTAACCTTTCCGAAAGACTCGAGGTTCATCGTAAGAATATGTGCACTGGAAAACTCGATAGGTATCAAAGAACGATTCATAATCATTACCAGATCTTCCTTCGTTTTCTTATCTAACGCCAGCCAATCCATGCCGAAAATCTGATCAGAAAGTTGAACGCTCTGCAATAGAAGTTGCAAGACGAACATTAATCGGCATGATTACAATATAACACACTTATTTATAACTAGAAATTATTATAGTCAAAAATTATAATACAAATGTAACACTGAAAAATTGTAGTCAAAAAATTATAGTAAAAAATGATTTTGAAGATAAAAAAGAAAATTCTGCCATGTCATTTTGTTTTTTTCGACCCCACATTCTGTTTTGTTTTACTAGAATTTCATCATCACGATTCGTTAATACACTAACTGTCGTGTTGATTTCCACAGGATGAAACCCGTTGAATAATTTTTTATATATGATTATGTATACAATATGTCCATATATAAAAATATATAATTATATATGTGATTATATATGATTACATATATGTGTGATTATATTATTATATATAAACATATATAAATCGTTATATATATTTATATATGATCATATACTAACCATCATCATATCCATAATTATATACTAACCGTATAACCCTATACTAACTGTATCGTCACTTCACATATAATTATATATTTTTATATATAGACAAATGTCACATACACATGATGCCTTATACATAATTATATATAATTATATATGAAAAATTTCTTAACAGGATTTACAAAAATTTAATTGATGACTGAATTACCAAAGATAAGGTGAATAAGTGTAATGTAATTTCATATATGTATTTTTTACTTGGATTCAATAGCCACATATATAATTTTTCTAAATACAGTTAATTATACTTTATACGTGACTGATTGAAATGCCATAATGTCATAATCACTGGTGACCGTCATGGCATTCAATGTGTTAAATGATACCTTTAATTTCACTTTGTTCCCGTACCAACAGTAAATGAGAATTTGTATTAACATACAATTTGTGTACAACGCTAATTGAATATACTTCGGATTTAATTCCGCCTTCGCAAGTCGATATAAATTAGAGCACACTACCAGTGTGCTCAATATGAATTGTATGGCGATGGTGATTCTAAATTTTTCATTCATCTCCTGTGCGAGCCTACGAGAGAAAAATATCTTTAAGGCATCGCCGAATTAAAATACGTAATTTTTTATACGAAAACTGACTTGTAGATGCGATTGTGCAGTTGCACGCATTCGCCGAAATCGCTTTGGTTGCGCAAAGATTTCTTCAGCCGGCATTCTAAGATTTCAATCTGACAACAGATGTGCATTAACAATCCGCAGACTATGTTGTCGTAAGCAACGTTCATGAAGGATGATATCGTCAGACTTATTAATTGATGGAAGTACGTGATGTAAAATAGATATGTATCAGAGGTGTAGTCGTATGGCAACCACACCCTGTAGGTTAAATTTCCCTTTCGAAATTTTGTTAACAAGGATGTTAGAGTCATGCTCCCGCACGTCACTTCAACCATCAATAGGTACATTATAGCGTGTTTCCTACAAAACGTTTACGACAGTTGTAACAGTTAATAAAGTTGATTTATTCGATGTTTAAAAAAACAATGAAACCAAAAGAAAGGAAGAAAACAAAAATGATAGGAAATAATTATAAAGGCTAGCGAGAGAGAATATAAGAATTCTCCGACCATTGTGTCCATTTACTTTTTATTTTATTAGCTTTTACTTTTTTTTTGGATCGTGACTATTTGCACATAGATAGAAGAATACGACCTGTCACCGAGCAATGCATAATCGTACTACTTCCCAGGACCAGCAGCTCCCGAGGATGTTTCACTTTTCTGTTATCTCGCGTTACTAAGACACGAAGGAAACATGACCATGTAGTAAGGCTATAACGCGCGTGCCTAGCGATCTCCGACACGCTGTTGTCGGCTGATCAGAGACAATCGCCTCTCGTGAGCGACAACACGGAACACGTGATTCGCACGCATCACAGCTGTGCCGTGTGACTCGCAACACCATTTCTTTGCTTGCGAGGCATAGAAAAAAAAGTTTCTTGTGGAGTATTATAATTGAGGATGAAAAATGGATTTATTTCGACAACCCTCAACGCAGAAAATCATGGGTTGATCCTGGCCAACCATTAACATCTACGCCAAAACGGAATATCCATGGTCACAAAGCCATGCTGTGTATCTGGTGGGATATAGATTATTTTTAAAACCCAAGGAAACGAGCACTGACGAATGTTGCCAACAATAACTGGAGCGTTTGAACGATAATTTAATGGAAAAAAAGCCGTCAGTAGCATCAAATCGGCGCAAGGTGATCCTGCTGCACGATAACGCTCGACCCCACGTTTGCAGTGAAAAAAAAACACTAATGGAATGGGAGGTTCTCCCTCACCCAGCGTATTCTCCGGACCTTGCTCCAAGTAATTATCACTTGTTTCGGTCGATGCAACACGTCTTAGAAAATACACACTTCTGTAATTACGAGGAAGTCCAAAAATGGGTACATAAATGGATAGCATCAAAAGACAGTGTATTCTTTCGACGTAGGATTCAGCTTTTGCCAAAGAGGTGGGAGAAAATAGTAACAACCGAGGGAAAAAATACTTTGATTAAAGTAACCCAACAAATTTTTATAAAATATATGCTTAAAGAATATATATATGCTTAAAGAACGAAAAAATACAGCAGGTTCCAATGCAACCACCTAATATTTAATTTTTTGGGGTTCTTCAATCAGAGCTATATAAAGAATATTATTATTACTTACATAAAGAATATTAATAAAAGGTTTTATTAATAAATATAAATATTTACTCCATCAGTGTTTCCTGGTACTTACTGTATTAAATTATTGAATTTCTGCCGAATCTCGATTTCATCCGGTTCCAGCGGCCTAAACGGCTTTTCCACCAATGCATCTGTGAACATCTTGATATTATGACGATTTAGCAACAGTTCGAACATCTTGCAGAAAGCCAAAATCACAGGTATCATAACGTATAAATTGTCCGTGAAGTCGTCAGAATTGTCGACGGTTAGAATAATGTCCATGAATTGCGGTACCATAGATGCGAACAGTATTAAGATCACAATAATTGTATATATATTATACACTATTCGTTTGTAAAAGGTAGACCAGGAATTCGGTGACCAGCAGCCGACGATTGTAAGGGTTATTAACTGAAATTGCATGACTCGCATTTTGTCGTCTTCTTTAAGGCTTTAACGTCAAACGGAATGCTTATAGTATCACACACGCATCCTTTTATACACGAGACATTTTGTTAAATGTTATATGTGCACATTAAGTCTCAATAAAGCCTTAATATTCAGCAGATCGAAATTCATTTGTCTTTCTAATCGTTCTTTAAGATCGTACTTGAATGTAAGTACCTATAAATTATTACTGTTGATTATTCCGTTAATCTATCATCTTCCCAAGCAGCACGTACGTAGGTAGCTATTTATATTTTTGGCCTTGGTGGTAGTAAGTGTTGCCAGGCGCCATCTGACGTTGTCATTGGAAACTTGACATTGTTGAACATAAGAACACATTGTCATTTGAGCGCGGTTTGTGTTGTTTACAGTGAATTGAAAAATTCATGTCGGGCAAAAAATGGAATTAACTCGTGAATATTTTCGTGCGATTATTTTTCATAACTTTCGACGTGGATTATCAAAACAAGAGTGCATCGATGAACTTAATTCTTTATATAGCGAGAAAGCACCATCCTACAGCATTGTAAAAAACTGGTATAACGAATTCAATTGTGGCCGACGTTCGCTCCAGGATGAATTCCGTGAAGGTCCTCCGAAATCGGTTGTTGTGTCAGAAAATATCGATACTGTGCGTGAACTAATAAAGCAAGATAGTCATGTGACATATTGTGAGATTGAGGCATCTTTGGACATTAGTATGACAAGTACGTATATACGTATATAACATATAATAACATATGCAGACAAAACTCGTAATAAAAAAAATATATAATATATAGAATTAAGAAATAAATATATCGAGTTCTGTCACATGCAAGATACGCGACGCTTTGTCCGTGGTTGTCTTTCCGTCAATAGCATCGTAAAAAACACGATTTCACAAGACTCTGGTAAACCATATAATTTCTATAACCATATAGTGTACGGCTTCCTGATGACAACATTGTTGGTCTAGCTTCCCCTTCGAGCGCAACAGCTACGCAATTATCGCAATACGAAACTCGCAATGTCGCGTCCCCCACATAATGATCCTTTCATGCAGCGGCATATGAGATCGTCTCTAAATGCAAATTTTATACGATAGTATATTCGAACGAAACGGTGAAACAAACGTTAACGGAAAACTAAAATCAAATATATATCGTAGACCGCAAATTACATTTTATACTTTATAAAATCTTGACAAGAGCTTATACATTCGCTTGATAAATATTTAGTTTGTCATTGTCACCAACTGTACGACTTTGTTACCGTTTGTCTCGAACCCGATTCAGAATAACTTCATTTCCAACATCGATTCGAACATACATACGTAAGTACATGTCCGCAGAAAATATGGCACTTGAGTAAACAAACACAAGAAACTTCTTAGTTATAGTAAATTGATTAATACTGTTTTGCTATCTCATAATATATGCTATAAACTTGTAAAAAACGTAATGGACTTTTGTTTAACTATTTCATATATAAGTACACAACGAATAAAATTTAATTTTCCTAACTGTACGTAAGTATATGTTCGCCACTATATATGTATATTTTATAACTATAACTAATATTAGAAAACATCACAGCAATTTGTCTCTAATTTTCTAATTATTTCCCTAATTATTTTTTACTTATGTTGTCTACACCTGTTTCAATAAATTGTAAGCCGAGTGTTAATTAATATTAATTAAACGGAACGTGTTAATTAACTTACCGGTCAAATTAATTACCTAAATCCTTCTAAGTAATTGCTGTTTATTCATGCGAACGTACACACAGATATACACTGTGAATTTAGTATTATATATATATATATTTCATAACTACCAACTAACATTAGAAACCATCACAGCAATTTCCTAATTATTTTCCTAATTAATTTTTACTCACGTCACTTGTACTTGTTTCAGTAAATTATAAGCCGAGTACGATATCTTCAGTATCTGTAGCATATATACACAGATGCATGTACAATCTATTTCATGAACTTCGTAAGTGTTCAAACTAAGCTAAACTGTTATATGAAAGATTAGCGAATTTATTTTCTTACTAACCCCAACGAAAGAGTCGAGATTCATGGAAAGGATGTAAGCGCTGGTGAATTCTATGGGCGTTAACGCGCGATTCATAATTAATAACAGACTTCTCTTGTGACTTCCGTCTAGTACTAGCCAATCTATTGCGAAAATGCTATGGAGTAACTGGGCGCTCTGTATTAAACAATCGTAAAAAGTCTCATTAATCTTTTAGCCTTCTTTGACTGATCGTGTGATTTGATTATTGAAAAAATAGACATGTGACGTTGACACGTGCTCACCTTTAGCTTCACTTCGTTTCCATACCAACAATAGATAAAAATCTGTGTTAACATACAGGACATATACAATAGTAACGGAAGGATCGTGCTGAACGACGTTGTTTTAGTCATTTGATACAAATTGGAGCACACCACCATCGTACTCACTGCGAATTGCATGGCGATAGTCATTCTGAATTCGCTGTTCAATCGTAATGCATATCTATAAGAAAATACAATAAACGTGAGATGATAATATCGCGTTTTATGACGTTGTTTTGACTAAATTAGTTAGAGGAATCGGGACAATATATTTTCCTGGAAAAAAAAACAAACAAAAAAATACAAAATTCGAATCACAGAGATAATGTATGTCTATTGAACAATCTGAAAAATTTAGGTACACGATGAAGACGCACGTAAGTTAACAGTTAATTCTATGCCGATAGCACCAGTTCGGGGACGCTCGAGTTTCTTCAGTCGAGCCAATGTGCCAATATATGGCTTTGTTTTATAATTTTATCACTATAATTGTTAAAAAAACAAATTTAATTAGTTACAACATTTTCTCATATTGGTTATTCTAATAAGTACGTAGAAAAATAGCGGCAATAAAGTGTTAATCAAGTCGCCCTGAACTAGAAAAATGGATTTTTTCCCCAATAATAATATGAAACAACTAACTTAAATATATTGTCGTGATGACGTACACAGTCACGAAGAATCAAGTTCGGATTGTCCGACACTTCGCTTAAACGGCGTTCCAAGATCTCCATTTGGCAGCAAATGTGCAGTAACAATCCGCAAATGAGACTGTCACACGCCACGTTGACAAGAGACCCCGCTGTAAGGCTAATGAGTTGGTGTGCGTACGTGATACAAAATATGAAGGTGGACGAATAATAGTCGTACGGTAACCACGCCCTATATGTCAATTTTCCTTTCCTGAACTCGGTGAATAAAGACGACAGAGTGATGCACGCGCATGTAGTTTCCACCAGAATCGTGTAGCAGAGGGTATTGTTTCTGTAAAGCGGCTATGAAGCTTCTTACGCTCGCTTGAATAATTTAGTTGAAAAAAATGCAAAGAGATGTTATATTAGCAAGCTATTCCCATAAAAAAAAATTAGTTAAACATATATAAGTATATCGATATAACGATTAGTGGTGTTGTGATATCATGAAAGTATTGATGCTAATATTGAAACAAGTATCCAATCAAGAATATCGATATTATTAGTGATACTATTATCAGAACAAAAATATCGATAAAGATACTTCTACCAGAAAATAATAATATTAATATATATTATAATATGATTATTATGCGTAAATGTATGTAACCCTTAAAAGTAACTTGCGAGACAAACACTTCCCTGATTTTTATATTTTCTCTAATTTTAAGTTTTTTTAAGTTTCAATACCAGTATCGATATTGATATTTTTGTTCTGATACTAGTATCACTAATAATATCGATATTCTTGATTATATATCCGTTTCAATCTTTTGTACTAGATTTCCTACGATTTATGATCTAAAATCCTTAAAAAGGTATTAAGGCTATGACTATCTTTGTTTAATAATACTAGAATCGAGAAATCGCATGCCAAAAATTATTGCGGTATACGCGGAAATAAAACAATATACACACAAAATGACACTCGTGATCGAACTCGCACACTTGTAAGAATGCCCGAACGTTTTCCTTTTACTTCAACAATCCATAAGTAACCGTAAAATTAACGTAACAGAAATTATAAGAAAAAATAGGTTAAAAAAACAGGTTAAAATTTAAGTTGCATATTACACTATTTTTCATGAAGCAAAAATACATATCTTGAAAATCGACTCAATAAAAAATTATAAAAAATGATATCAAAAAATATCGAAAATAGCATTGATATAGATACGAATATCAAAAGAAAATATCGATACGAAAATATCTGGTATTGAAAAAAAAATATCAATTACAGTATTATATCAGTATCACAACATCTTTAGCAACGATAACATGACAATAACGAATCATCAAATAATCATTGTGCTTGTTATCGAGCTCCGTTTCATATGACTTTTTACTCTCTGTGCTACTTACTGTATAAGTTTATCGAATTTGTATCGTATTTTCATTTCTTCGTCCTTCGATGGTTTGTAAGGTTTCTCAGTAAGCACATTGGTCAATGTGTCGATGTTATCGCGATTCATCAGAAGACTAAGCATTTTGGAGCACGAAACTACTGACGCCAATGTGGCGTAAAAATTCTCCGTAAAATCGTCGGGATTGTCGACATTCCAAATAATATCCAAAAATTGTGACACCAGAAAAGTGTACAGTAACATGATCAGGAAAATCGTGTACGCGTTGTAAGTTATGCGCATATATTGCGAAGACCACGACTCCGGTCGCCAGCATCCGACGATCGTGAGAAGTTTAAAAGTGAATTGCAGCACGCGCATTCTTCTATTTTACACGTTATTATCGATATTCTCTTCAATTCATTGGGACGTCGATTATAGAAAAAGTAGAAGCAGAGAGTATAACTGTAACTTTATGAACGAACTTCAAATTTTATATAAACATTTTTTTACACCCGTATAATTCGTTTCACCTAGATCTCCTCACGTTACATTTACGATCATGCGAAATAGATCAAACTGTTCGTGTAATAACACGTAAAATTTTTCAGGAACTCTTGCTTCACTAAAGATGTCTAGAGGTGTCTAGAGGTCTAAAGATGGTCTAGAGATTTATTAGCATCTTTATTATTAGATGAAAAATCGAGAAATGACGGACGAGCGAATAATTGACGATCGAGGAACGTTCGCCGCGAATTTTTCCTGACTTTCGATATTTCTTCATCTATGTCACTGTATTATTATCATAATGTTAGCCTAATTATTTCCATCATTATTTCTATAGGCGTACTTTTATTCAGCTAGAGAGACACTCGTTATATTTCACTATCGTGAAATCTTAATACTGCGAGTGCCTCACTTATTTCCTCTCACTTGAACCCTTTGCAATCATAATTTAAGTCGTTCTCTATATTTTATATCCTGACTACAACTTGTGACCGCAAAGGGTTCAAGATATTTCGTTTTTCATTGTGTTACATTTACCACGTTATCGTCGCATATACTTCTTCCATATCGATTTAAAATACTGTCATTTTCAACATCATGGAGAAAAGAGATATGACGCAAAGTGCAATCGACATAAGTGTTAATGAACGTAACGTAATAACGTCATCTTCATAGTTTTCCTTTATTTTCCTAATAACGCTATGCGACATGAATGTCATTTGTCGATACTAATTGCCAAAAATCAATACTTCGTATCTTCTTCTCTTCAACTTCCGTGTCTCCTCGAGCTTTTGTTCTCACGATGTAGATAATGTATTGATTATATTCGCCTTTCATATTTGTTGAAGCAAATTGTAAGTCGAATACGACATCTTGAGTATCTGCAAATAATACGCGCACTTGCATGTGTAATATTACTTTAGTTACGTTCACTGATATTTCCACGCATGACTTCGCCGATAACGATATTAATTATTTTATCGAACAAATAATATATAATTTAAATTGGATATCAAATAATGTACATACATACACATATACATACATCCACGAGGGGAGCCTATAACAGTATATATATATATATATATATATATATATATATATATATATATTGTATATAGTCTATTAAAATATTTTTGATCAACATATTAACCTATCCAATCTTTATATGAAATATATTCAAAAGTAAAATTTATCAGCAAAGTCGGATATGTGACCACATATCGAAATTTTTTTTATACTAACAGTCATAAAGGACTCAAGGTTCATGGAAATGATATAAGCACTGGTAATTTGAATAGGCATAATCGCACGTCTCATTATTATTATTAAAGACTTCTTCTTCTTCTTGTTCAGTGTTATCCATTCCATTTTAAAAATGTTATCGCTCAGCTCACAGCTCTAATTGACATATTTAAAAAATAAATATCGACATAAAAGTTAATTGTAGTCAATAAAAATGGAAAAAGCGACATTTGTACCTTTAACTTCACCTCGTTTCCATACCAACAGTAAAAGAAAATTTGCGTTAGCATGCACATCATGCACAGTGTCATTTCAACATGCTTAGCATGCGATGTCGTTTTAGTTAATCTATATAGACTAAAGCACACCACCAACGTACTTATTACAAATTGAACAATAACAAGAAGTCTAAACTTTGTATTTATAATAAAGGCGAATCTGAAATTTTGAATAATTTTGCTTTTGCACGAAAACATCGTTCGGTAAAACATAAAATACAACTCGACTCAAATACGGCATGAGTACATTTATAAGCTAGCAGGACCAAATCAGCAGAATTAAACCGAATCTTTTCAAATATTTAGTACCATTTTGTATTAATTTGTACTACCAATATAAATTTTGTATCTCGTGCCACTTTAAAAAAAAAATGTGGCGCTGTCAGCTTAATATTAAATATTCGAAAGATCCGATTGTTTGATTCTACTGATATGGTCCTGTTAGCTTATAAGAGGTCATAAGTGCACTTATAGTAAAAACAAATAGCGTATTATAAAACATCAACACGTTTGCGCATTCATAATTGCGCAACATAAATGATTATTAGGTTCATAAAATACAAACCGACCTGAAGATATAACAGTGTTGGCGGATGCACTCGCTGAGAATATCAGAGTAAGATATATTTTCTCGAAGACGATACGTTAAGATCTCGATTTGACAGCAAATATGGACCAAAAATCCACAGAAAAGACTGTCACAAGCAATATTCAGAAAAGACCCAATAATAAGACACATAAGCTGATGAGCGAATGTCAGAGAGTACAATATTGTCGACGAATAATCAAATGGCAACCATGCTGGGTATGTTAATTTTCGTTTGTCAAGATTTATGCACAGAGACATTGACACGACAAACGAACATGTCGCTATTCCCAGATACACGTAGCGCCAAGTATTAATTCTGCGGAATGAATACGTGTATGTATAGTGTATCTTTTACAGAAAAGTATTAGGGGCTTGAATTAATCTCGCTGTTGACTAATAGAGGTCAGTGATTGTGCTATTTCAACATGCCCGAAAGTAACTGTTGATGTATATGAAAGTATTGTCAATAGGCTTTAATAATCAGTGTGTGACATTAGATCGTAGTGCAAAGAACATAATTTTTTATTGCATTGAAGATGTCGGGTTTCGTATCAAAAAAAGAGCATTTGTGGAAAACATTACTTTTCTGCTTTTATCTCAAGAAATCTGCTGCTGAAAGTCATCGTTTGCTAGTGGAGGCTAAAGCACACCATCAACGTACTTATTACAAATTGAACAACAACAAGAAGTCTAAATTTTGTATTTATAATAAAGGCGAATCTGAAATTTTGAATAATTTCAGTGTAGTTTGCTTATGAGAAGCATACTTTATCTGAAACAACTTGTAGGGAATGGTTTAGACGATTCAAAGATAATGATTTTAACGTGAATGATAAAAAGCGTTCTGGTCAGCCGAAAAAGTTTGAAGATGGAGAATTGGAGGAAGATAATTATTGGAAGAAGATTCATGTCACACGTTTAAAGAGTTGTCGAAAACTAAATGTCGACAAGTCAACCGTTAGCAAACGTTTACAAGCAATGAGAATGATCCATAAGTTACGAAACTCAGTCCCACGTGAATTGAGAGAAAGAGACATTGTGAAACGTTTAACCATTTGTGGATTGCTGCTTCAAAAACAAAAACAGAAATCGTTTTTGTATCGAATTGTATCTGGCAATGGAAAATGAATTCATTACGACAATCCTAAGCAAAAGAAATCATGGGTGCGTCCCGGCGAACCATCAACATCAACACCAAAACAGGATAATCATAGAAAGAAAGTCATGCTGTGCATTTGGTGAGATCAAGTCGGTGTAGTGTATTATGAGCTGCTGCAACCGAGTCAAACTATCAATGCTGAATGCTACCGACGACAATTACTCAATTTGAATCGAGCACTTAAAGATAAACGCCCGCAATACGCTAAAAGACATGACAAAATTATTCTTCTCCATGACAATGCTAGACCACATGTTGCAACGGTGAAGGAAATCTTGGAGACACTTGGATGAGATGTCTTACCCCACTCGTCCTATTCATCGGACGTTGTTCCTTCAGATTACTATTTGTTTCGGTCTATGCAGGTCTTTCTGAGCAGCACTTTAGTTCTTTCAAAGATATAAAAAAATTCCTCGATGACTGGATCGCCTCGAAAGAACCTAAATTTTTCTACCGTGGAATCCACGTGTTACCCGAAAAGTAGGAAAAGGTTGTAGCTTCCGAAGGACAATACTTTGAATAAGATATAATGTACCGTTATTTTTAAATAAACATGAGTTTTTGTAGTAAAAAACAGTGAGAATTAATTCAAGCATCTAATATTATAGGCTATAATAAATTGGCCAATGGTAAATTATTGTTGCTCAGTAGTTTTATTATTCGTACGAGTAATAAAACTACTGAACAATAATAATTTATTACAGCCAGTAATACTTTTTTGTAAAGGATATTTTCTTATTTGTAATAATTAGGAAAATCGGAGAATAAATTAGTCTCGAATAAATTCAAATATTTTGATATTGCGACAGAATTAACGTGATTAATATTATGATAATTGTTAACAAAATGAGAATATTTTTGTTTTATGATAATTATTATTTGCCAATACTTACTCTATGTCCTTGTCAAATGTATACTGAATCTTCATCTCGTTCGGTCTTAACGGTCTGCATGGCTTTTTCATCAATATATCGAGCAGCGTGTTGATGTTTTTGCGATTTATCAGCAAGCTGAACAATTTACAGCTGGAGATGAACATCGCGAGTAGTATGAAAAAATCATTAGAAAAATCTTCGGCATCGTTCACTGTCAGAACTATGTACATGAATTGCGACAATATGAAGCTGTTCAATATGACTATTATTACGATTGAATACACATTGTATGCTATGCGTTTATACAGCGAGCTGCAGGAATCTGGCCGCCAGCAACCGCATATCGTCAGCAGCTTGAATGTAAAATTAAGAACGAACATCTGAAGAAATCGTGATATTTGATGTCGTGTGTGAAACACGTGATATAAGTATCCGTTATATATTTCGAGAGAGTAATCTATTTTCGCGTTAATTATTAATTATTCTATCTCGAAATTTTTGGAATTTTTGAAATTTTACTATAAATATTACTTATATGACTGCAGCAATGTGAAAATCTCCTGTGCATTATAAGTTTATTGTAATTGTACAGCATATCATATAGATATACCATATATATTTTTGCAACACATTATGCACTTTGGACGATAATAACCAATAAATGGCATATAATAAATCCCGATACAGTATATAATAAATTCTGTACGGGGAGAGACGTTGACTGATGCAAGCATCGACAGTCTATAGCGTTGTGGATCGAATTTACTGAATGCGCAAATATTCCGCCCCTCCGTAGTCGATAATTATATTACGTCGCAGCAGTACCCCTCGCAAAATAATTTTTTTATGAATCGTATTTGTAATATAGTAGCAGCAAAACTTCTTACGACAGCGCGAAATAATAACATTTTCAAATGCAAGAATGTTTTCTGTTCTGGGAAGACAGTACATAGAAAACATAAAATGAATTCATTGAATATTAAACAATAAATCATAGGTCATTATAAAATAATGTGTACATATAAATTATACTACTATGTGTATATATAAATTATACTACCACATAAAACTTGAATTATCCTTTATATTAAAAAACACTTTTGTGGACGATAGTAAACCTGTCGCGAAAATAAATCAACGGTATTAAGTGAAGCAGTTTATATTGTACTCTGATTAATTTGTACATTCTTTTAAATTTCATATAATATAAATATGAAAAACATTATCAACAATGGTGTTACTCTTTTAATTGTCTTTAATTCTCTAATCTTACATTTGCTGAAGTATATTGTAAGTTGAGTACGATGTTTTGAGTAACTGCAATAAAAGCAAAATCGTTCGTAATCAAATTTTTCACTAGGCTTAAAACCAAGGTTAGATTCAATATTTATATTTTATATCGAAATAAAATATTGTATAATTCTGTGTACTAACACCCACAAATGATTCGAGATTCATAGGAATAATATAGGCGCTAATGAACTCGATAGGCACCGTGCTTCGTCTCGTGATTATTAGCAAGTTCTTTTTTGCACTTTGTTTCAGCGCGAGCCATTCCATATGAAATATATCGTTAATTAATTGCAGCCCCTACAGTTGGAAACAAGAAACATCGACTGAAATATAAGTTGGAAGAATTTGTGGAACGCAAAGAATTAAAGATGCGCACCTTTAGTTTGACTTCATTCCCGTACCAGCAATATAAAAAGATTTGCGTCAACATACACGACATGTACATGCCTAATTCGACAAACTTTGCTCTCGTCTTGCTCAATTGATACAAAGTGAAGCACACCACCAGCGTACTCACCATGAACTGAAAGGTAATAGTGAATCTGAACTTTTTGTTCATCCGAAGGGCAAACCTAAAATTAATTAGACACCTCGTAATTTATGTGATAACTTATTGACAAAAATTGACGGTTGATATAGTGACGGAAAATTACGAGACAGAAATTTAAGTTACTGTTAGCAGCTCTAGTTAAGGATTTTTTTAATGTACCTCGCTATACCTCAGCGAGAAATGAACCATCGAATCAACGTCAAATCGATGTCAAAACAATCAAAATTACATTGAATTGACGTCGATTGTAGTGGTCTATCGACAGCCATTTATAATTTATTTAACCTAAATATAGACTTATATAACGACACTAGTTACTGTAATTATAAAATATTGTTTGCAACAAAATTATGTTAATACAAACGAGATAAAACAAACCAATATTAATTTTATTTTAATAAAAAAAACTGTCACTTTATCGTTTGTATCATCTTTTCATTTCATAATGCATCCCTCCATGGTTTCGATTCTGTAGTGGTCATTCATCCTTTTCCTAATCGTGGTCAGTGTTGCTTTACTTCTGTGATCGAATAGGAATTTTTTATATCAATGTGTACTTGAGCGGTATCTTAAGAGATTATATAATTGAAAGATAATGATTCTTATATTTTTCAAAAAAACATTGTAATGGCATACTATTGGAAAATGTTGGAAATAACTCAAAGACAATCATATGGAACGGAAATTAATATGACAATTTGAAACGATGACGTCGATGATTATATTGTATGACTCTTGCTTATCTTATTTATATTCTTGCACCTACTGTTATTAATGATTAAAACTTTTTTCAGCTTCGTTATTATTCGGGAACTTATAAAAAATCTGTTTAATTGTTCAATTGGTATAAAATTAATATTTGTTATAATATATCGAAAATGACAGAAATATTGACCGACATTAATCGACACATTGACGTCGATTCGACTTTTCATTTCTGATTGGGTTATAACAAGCACATTATATTATTCGAATCCATTTTTGCAACTCGATGTCAACAACTGTAGGAAACACAATTTTCGTCATAACATTAATTATATATAAAAAAACAACGAACTTGAATATGAGGTTGTGCTGAATAACGCAGTCTCGAAGCACTTCTGGATCGCGTGCGATCTTTTTTAAACGATAACTCAGTATCTCTATTTGGCAACAGATATGCAACAATAGCCCACATATGAGTCCGTCGCAGGCGACATGCAAAACAGATCCGATTGTCAGGCTTATCAGCTGATGGAAATATGTAATGTGAAAAAGCGTCGTCGACGAGTAGTCATACGGTAACCACGCTCTGAACGTCAACTTTTCCTTTCTATAGTCCGTGCATAACGATGCTATCGCCGTGGACGCACACGTCAGCTCGACCAGAATCGCATAATGTAAAGTGTTCGTCCTACAAAAAGACTGCGGACCATTTTATTTTTCACTGAAAGACCTACATATACTATATGTAGTGTCATTATTACGTTAAAATATTTTTTTATTGCTTTAATAAAAAGTTTCTTTAAAGACATTTCGATCATATTCGTACATAAAAAAAAACTACATCTAAAGTCTATCGAAAATTATACAGGGTGCATCAGCTAAATCCAGACAAAATAAACAATGTATTTAACAAAAGTTTATTGGTCAAACGTACAAAATTACATAAAATCTTTCTTCGTGTCATTTGTGGAACCGTTATAGACAAAAATTACTCAATGTAACCACCGTCTACAGCGATTACTGCCTCGATCTTGGGCCTGAAACGATTGCACGCTCTCTACAACGCCGGCTTGTCCATATTGAAGAATACTGCTTCAATAGCGGCCTGGAGAGATGCTACATTAGGATGTCTCGACTTGTGACTCTTTCAAGCACACTCCACACGTAATAGCCCAATGGATTTAAATTTGGATTATTCAGAGACCAAAACTCTGCTCCAAAACATGTCGACGTTGTCCGACAGCCAATTTTGGACCAAATGACTCGAGTGAGCTGATGCGCCGTCCTGTAAGAAGATATACGGCTTCCTGGAAGCAACAATGTCCATCCATGGCTAGACTACGAAGAACGCGTAAATATACTTCCTTTGTAACGGTTTCTCCATTATTTAAAAAATACGACTGTATGACGTCATCCTCAGTGAAGATAACGCTTGGGACGTGAGCAATGGCTGGTAATTTCGTCCTATCTTCAACGAGGATATCTTCGGGGTCATAGGCGAGCCAACGGTCGTTCCTGCGTTTCACTTTTGCGTCGTTGGTAAACATTTTCTTGTCAGAAAAAACTTCTGACGCGTTCCGCAGATTCGTTTTTTAACGAACACACAAGCAAGTTGTAGCGAGTAACTTTCTTCATTCTAGCAGCCTTAGACAGCATCTGTTGTACCTTTATGACTTATGACTTGTAACGTAGATCTTCTTCGGCTATTCAGTACATGGTAGCCTCACTCACATCCAAAATTGCCGTCAATTTCCTGAGAGACTGCCCTGGGTCTTCTGCAATCAGTTTTTGGACCCTTTGAGCAACTTTCGGGGTCCTTGCCGACCTTTCGCTTGAATGGCTCTTTCTCGACAGGTTCGCGGAACTTTCTTCGGACTTCTTCGAAGCCTTATATTTAGTGGAAACTTCGTAAACTGTCGATTTCGGATATTTAAAGAACTAAATTATTTTGATCGGCGTACGTCCAGCGCGAAGACTTTCAATAATCGCCACTCTTTGGTTATATTCCATGCTCAATCTTGACTGCTCAGCCATTTTTAGGTTATGTTCGTTCAGAACATTGTTTTAGCTTACTCAGGCACAAATATCAACTTGCGCTGAAATAAAATATAGCGGGAAATTCAAATTGAAATTTGTCCAGATTTAGCTGACACACCCTGTAGAACTTTTCGACAAACAGAACTCTAATAATTTATTTTTCTTAATTTTCTTTGAAGAATTTTTTTCAAATTTGTGCATCTTATACAGAACGATGTGGATTAATATTAAAATAATATTTCATTAAGGATAAAATATAAATTATTTTTGGCATTGTGTTGGCGTGCGATAAAGTTACGTACAGCTTTACTATTTAATATTTACTCTGACGCGCTAACTGTTGCGATGCAACATACCATAAAAAAATGAATAATACATCAAAGTATCACAATGTAATATTTCCGAAACAATTTAGTTTGAAGACGAAATTATTGATGTAATGTTTGCGAATTAATATTCAAATTTACAATCAAGTTCTATGCTAATTTTCGAATGATACATAAATTTAGACTTTCAAGCAACTAGCAAGCCGTTATCTCACAATACTTACTCGATGACTTTGTCGAATTTCTGTCGTATTTCCACCTCTACAGGTTCGAGAGGTGCACATGGTTCTTTCGTGAGAATATTTGTCAACATCACAATATTTTTACGATTCATCAGCAAACTATACATTTTAAAGCAGGAGACGATCATAGCGAGCAGCATGTAGAAATTATCCATGAATTCTTCTGGATTGTCCACAGTCAGAATTATATCCAGGAATTGCGATAATGTAAATGTATTTACCAGCAAAAATATAAAAATTGTGTAGAAGTGATACATTAAGCGTTTGTGAGGAGATGTCCAAGAATCCGGTACCCAACAACCGCAACTCGTTAAAATTTTAAACGTAAATTCTAGTATTCGCATTTCAGCTTTCTCAGTTATTATGTTTTTTCATACGACGAAAATCAATCACTAGTGAAATTATCGGAGATATCAAAGTATTCTTATTTTTCTCATTACTGAAGTATTAAACAAACAATTTTATGGCACACGTTACATAATGATTTATTATAGATCAATATTCCGGAGAAGCTAGAAACGGAAAACAATTTTAACTTGTCAATCAGAAATTTTTCTTTAGTTTAATTTGTCAAGCAACAATTTCATGGAAAATATCTGAAGTTGCTGTAGAGAATACTAAGATTGTTTCCTTGGCGGTACAATACAACAGTAAAATGTTGAGGGAAATTGACGTGTCGTTATACACCTATAGCCTCGCGATCTCCCGATAATGATACACTTGTACATGACTTCCCCTTCTATATGTGAGATTTCATTATTTAAGTCGTGAATATATATACTTTGTGCGATGTTGTCGTACATCAAGCACGCGATGTGGTCATTAAATACCGACTTAATATTGCAATATGATCGCATAATGATCTGATAATAAAATAGATATTAGGAGGAGAGAGACTGAATCTGGGGAAAATAACATGTGCATGGGCGTAACCAGGATTTCAGTCAGGAGAAGCAAGAATGTATCATCGCACAAAATTTATTAGCATATTTATGTCAAAGTCAGTTTTCGCGAATCTCCGGTAAACTTTCTTAATACTTCTTCCAGTTTCTTTCTCTTCGCGAGCACCATATCTGTCTACACTTAGCATATATAGTCCACTGAAACGATCTTCTGACATTCCTGGTTGACCGCAACCAGGTTTTCACCTTTCACAATGTATTTAATATCAAAAGATCTTTCAATGGTATTCGTTGTGCACGGTTGCGCCCAGGAACATGTGGCGGTGAAATTGAGTTTTCATTACATTCACTTTCATCAAGCATTGCTAATATTTTATCATTAGTTTTTAATTACAGAACATGTGCTGCACTTTTTTTGTAGAATGTAATAATCATTATGTATCAGTTACATTTCTTTACTTTTATGATTTTCACAATTTGTTTCTCTCCTTTGCGAAAATTTCAGAGTGGGCAAGTGCTTTCCCTGCCTTCTCCCATCCTTCTTGACTGTGTTCATAAACACGTGTTATATATAACAGTTACATGTAACAGTTATATCGTTACGTGTGAAATTATAATATTATTAATCCAGTCAGCCAAATCTGTTAAAGTAAATCTTGTCAAATACTTGCTACAAATTTTGTTAACAAAATGGTGTCAGATTTGATATATAATCTATTAGATCAAACGTTGTTTGTGCAAATTGCCAGCAGAAAAAGAATAAAACTTGTTAACATAATGTGTAGGTAAATTGATGTCAAAAACTGAGCAAGATCTATGTGGTGGTTAAACACTAAATTGGTGCTAAAATTCGAGTAAGATCTGCAAAACAACAAAGTATGAAGCAAGAATACTTTACGAAACTATTCCGTAGTAGTTACGAGCAAGGCATCATTACTAGCCGTGATAACGAACTGCTTGCTGTAATGGTGTCTTTTGCTTGTGCAAAGTCCATTTCTTTTAGAAATAGGCGATCGTATCGATATTTCAAATATTGATATTTTAGTGCTAAAATACCGATATTTTGTATTTTGCCGCTCGAAATTATCACACGAAATTACGAAATACTAAGCCACTTTTAGATACACTTTTCGAAGAGAAAGTTCAGAATAGGGCCTTATTATAAGGATTCTAACAGGCACTCCACGTGAGCGCTCACGTTTGATGGTGAGTTACCTGTCCCCATTGAACTCATAATATACTGAAGTGAGCCATCAAGGAGTAAAGAGGTCCCATTCATAAAAAAGAATACACATATTCTGGATGTATCCTTCTCTTTGTCATAGTGTATGTCCAAAAAAAGATGGATATTCCTCCAAGCTATTTATCTATCCTATTTTCTGGGCCGCAAATTTCTGTAGTTTAATATAAGGGAAGGCTTACTTCAGTATAATGTAGAGCCCATCCCTGTCTGTATCCAACTCGCGATAAGCAAAGTATTTCTGTTAATGATTTAAAAAATAAGTTTTGGACAAAGTTTTGCGAGATGAAAAGTTGTCTCATCATTGTATATTATCAGTGTCTAGTCATTGTATATTATCAATGATCATGTATTTATACAGATATAAAGTTGTTCTGAATCACCCTGTATATTGTTGAATTCGCTGCTGGCTGTGGTGCGCATGTGCGAGAAAGTGTTCCTGTCAGTAACACTGAAGGATATTTCTCCGATACAATAATTGAAAAACATTCGCATATGAACAATCACTCGGATGTCTAATTCGCACACGGACAATTATTCTGCCGTCCACTAACTACTTATAACAACTCGGATATCCGAGAGCTATATATAATGAAAACAATATCAACACATCCAAGTTGGTTATGTCACGTCTGACACGTCCTCCTTATTTTGTTCTGCTAGGAAAAAAATAATAATAAAGATAGAAGTCAAAGAGATGAATTCAAAGAAATTCTCGAGGAAATAATTACATATCGGAGATTATATCGAATAACTAATCATATACTGCAATTGCTTCATGACATTTGACAGTTTACTGTGTCTTTACTATGTATAATAGAGGGTGGAATAAGTTAATTAAAAGTAATGACAACCACAAATATGAACTTAAGGCTAACGCCGAGAAAAAGCAATGTACAACCAGACTCAGCTTTGTGCAATTGGCTTTTGATCATAACGAAGAATGCCTCGTCGTAGTGGATATCAAAGGTGACTTGTATTGCATCGATTTGTCTGAAGATGTCCTGTTGTATAAAAGACTGGGAAAGATTGGACAAGCCAGTTTTCTCGCGTTCAACCCCAGATACAGAGGGGAAATTTTGGTAGGATGCAACACTGGTGACATAAAGATTTGGAAGCTGCACGCAAACTTAGACGAATTACTTTCTATTTTATCTGGACACAAGTTACCACCGACACATGTTTCCTTTTACAAAAGCCATTGTCTAACGTACTCTAGAAACGAGGTCATAATATGGTATCTGCAATTCTATAGTAAGACTCATCAGCTGAAAGTTAACGCAAAAAATGCTGTGATAAGAAAGGCTATTTTCTCAAACGCTGGTCATATCGTCGTGCTTTACAACAATGACACTATGCAAGCTTGGATGTTCAAGCAATTGGACAAGGATACCAAGATCGACACGAAGTTATTTGGCACACATCATATTAAGGATTTTATCTTTACGACAGATGGCAGAGCTATGATAATGATTGGCAAGAGAGGCATGAGCATTCTTAATACATGTGACTGGAGTTTGTTGAGAAAATTATCTCTGCCTGATAACTTTGCCGAGGTAAGACAGTTGTCGGTCATTCCACGTCCGTTGGATGGCGGAGCGAATAAAATCGTTGCACTACTGTCTTCGAGATACACTCTTCATTTTTGCGACATAAATCGGTCAAGCTTCCTCGAGGTATCTGATGCCATCAGTAGAGTTAAAAAATTCATAGTCTCATCGGCTGGCAGATATATAGCATACATAAATCAAGAAGGATATCTAAGCATAATGCACATGGACAAAGTGATCCCAGGAAAATGTTCTCAATTGAAGAAACTGTTTGAGTTAGATAGACCGCAGGCGCACAAAATAAGCGATCATTTAGAATGTGTTAGACAAAGTATGAAGCAAGAATTAAATATAAAACGATTGGTATCTATCTTAAGGGAATTCGGAGAATATCCAAAGCAGTATCGTACAATATTCTGGTCCACCATCCTGAAACTCCCGGCTAATAGAAGCGCCTATCTTGCTTTGGCAAGTAAGATAACACACGGAGGACTCATATGGAATACTTTAAGAAACTATCCCGTATCAGATAAGAACAAAGCGTCATTATTGACCATGACAACGAACTGCTTGCTGCAATGGTGTCCTCTACTCGTGCAAAGTCCATTTCTTCCCAATTTGGTCTTCCCATTTCTTATGGTATTTCAGGTAATTTCTTATTTCACTTTGGAAAGATATATCGCTTATCGAAATGCCTGCTAAAACATATTTATTTAAGTATCTATTCATGTTTGTTTCAGAAAGACCCCTTACTTGCTTTTGAGTTAATCCTAAGCATACTGCTGAACTATTGCCATAACTGGTTCGAATACCATCCTCTTCCACCACTAAATATCCTGGGAATTATTGAAAATATTCTACTGGAGGTAGATCCTCAGTTATTAAACATTTTCTGCGAACATGGTATAACAACCAGCGAATACGCATGGCCATTACTTCAGACTGTAATGAGCGAAGTATTATCGGGTGATGAATGGTTGATACTGTGGGATCATTTAATGACATTTCAGAAGCCCCATCTTCTGCTGATGTGTGTCGTAGCTTATAGCATTTATTCAAGAAAAAATATAATTTCCTTGATACAGTCGTCTGGAGATTGTCGTGAAAACATAAAAGAATTTTATAGCACTCAAGGTCACGTTAGAGCCAAGGATTTATTAAAAATTGCCAAAAAATTAGATCAAGAAGTACCAGAACGAGTGCATTCTAATAGTTATCTAAGGTATCGTTATAATAACATGCAGGACGTTAATCACGTTCATATTAAAACTAAATGAATCCTTCGTAGAAGTGAAATGTTGCAATTGAATGAAACCGGGCCCTATCCCTTATTTATGCTGAAGGAATATCCCAAGTTTCTCATTGAAAATTCCTATACATCGGATTTAAAGAAATGTAAAAGACAAGGACGTTCGCAAAGCTGTAATCACGAGATTGCGAAATCCAGTTGGAAGATTAATACTTTTGCAAAACAAATTCATGAAAACGGATTGAATGGTAAAGTATAAAATGTTTGATTTAGGTTAATTTATTCTAGAGAAAAATCTTTTATTCTTTCTTTTCAGAAGTACAGAAATGCAGAAGTCCAGAGAATAAAAAATCATATTACCAGTATTCACATCAAGATCTAGATTCGCAACCGCTAGGAACACAAATATGTATTAAATGCGAAATGAAGGATGAAACCTCGAACTTTAACGACGATACACCAAAAAATTATGAAAAATTGCGACGAGATGTGACGAAACTCGAATATGAAGTACAAAGCTTTTTAGATGTGCTAAAATCTGATAGATCAAAAGTAAATATCAGCTAGAACATATTTATGTGGGATAAAAATTGATGTTGTAAGACTCAGATAAAGTAAATAAAGTATATAAATAATATTTTAATGTGATCATTGCGCACAAGGATATTATTTTATAATAATCTAACACATTATAAGATAGGCATCATATTTTCCAGAATTATAGAATGTCTACAACTTCAAAATGTTATGTCATCTATTTTTATATTGTAATGTATAAAATATGGAAATCTTTTGTACGTATCTATGTGCAAAGTAGAAAAATATTATTTTTGTATCTGCTGTGGAAGGAATGTATAGTCGTAATACTTATTGCATTATTGTATGAGCGCAAAATTTCTCATTGTACTTTGTCAATTATTTCTAAAAAATTAACATATATGGTTAACTGTTAATCGTATTGTACAAAAGAATGAATAGGTATCCCGACCTTATCACGGCCTTTCAATGTAGTCAATTCTATTATCACCAAGCATTCGACTACATCAGCACCTACTGACTTCAATAGTTGTACAGCTGCAGCCATAGAACCTTTAAATAATTTTCTCTATTAATTTTATATGATAATTATCATCTTAAACATGTCATGCACATATGATCTCTACTTATGTTTGCAGTTTAATATTTTTTAAATTATATTTTACCTCCAGTTGCTAGTAAATCATCGACGATGAGTACTCTAGTGCCATTTTTAATTAATTCTGTTTGCAGTTCAAATGTAGCCTATGTAAATGATAAAATATTAATCATTTTCTTATGTATTTTATATATGAGAATTTCTATATTTTAGTAGATTATTATTTTTTCTTTAATTTGATCGATATATACCTTGCCGTACTCCAATGTATAATTTTGTTGTGTGACTTGGCCTGGAAGCTTGCCCTGTTTCCTAATAGGCAAGAAAGGTTTGCCTAACTCCATACAAATCATAGGACCAAAAAGAAAGCCTCGTGAATCCAGACCAATAACTAAGTCAACTTGTAGGAATAAAATATGCTCCACAATTAAATCCTTCATTGCTCTTAGTGCTACGATATTTTGAAACACGCCAAATATATCTCTGTAACAAATAATTAACATAATATAAACAGTATATGATAATATAAACATTTAAATGTGTCCTGATAAGAGTAAAGATAGACCAAAATCTACAAAATTTTCTTATTACTTACCGGAAAATGACCCCAGGTTCGGGAAAATCAGGATAAGACCTTATAGCATTCTTCAATATTTGCAATTTATCTTTTTTGTCCATGGTAAATAATTGTAGATTTGCAATAACTTACCAATGACAAAGTTATGTTGTACGTTAAAAATATGGAATTTAACAAAATGATTAATTGTAAGCGAAAATTATAAATTCCATAAAATTTGTAATTCAACAAATTTATAAGATTGTGAAATATCTCAACAAAATAAATTTGGATAACACTTAGATACAATGATAAGGCACTCGAATTCTTCTGACTCAACAAAAAGTTATTTTAGACAATTTTACCAATGCAAAGATAATTTACCCTACCATAGAGCAAGTGCACGTACAATGCCGTAGCGTCTTAAGCCTGTATCGGACTACGGATTGGAGATTGAGATTAAATTAAATTTGTTAACAAAGTTAACTAAACTCAACTTTAATTAAATTTAGTGAACTTTGAACCGATTGGTCAAATTTTAATTCAATCTTCAATCCATAGTTTGATACGGACTTTACGCCACCATACGTGCAACCTTGCGTTACGTAACACGTAAAGCCTGTTCTACAATACATACGTCGGAGTCGGATGTCGGGACACAGCCGATGGTCCAATTACTTATAAAACTAGTTACAAGTCCAACGTGATAAAAGTTCGACAAATGTTCTTTATATTACATATATGAATAGTACACAGTGAACACCGCGGGCGTTAAGTGAAACGGCGCGAAGGGCGATTTAAGCATTGCGATCGTTATGTAGAACGCACCTACGCGACCTGACTCGGAACATCGTTTTGCATTCTGATTGGTGTACTTTAAAAATGCACCAATCAGAACGCAGTACGATAACTCCGAATCGGGCCAAGTCAACAAATCGAAAACGCTATTTATCAGAAAAGGGTATTCTGTTATTACAGGCATTCGATTGTATTTGCATATAATTTGTAAACTACAATAATTTTTCGTTGTGAATATATATGATTATATATAGTCGTATATGGGCAAATTTCATATATGATCTTTTTCTTCCCGGGAGAATATTTTTAAAATATACATAAAAATACGAAACCATCTTGATTGATAATATCCGTTATTTTTATATACAGTTTAAAATCGTATGTAGAAAGGTTAGAATATGGAAAGATAAAAAGACGGTATCTTCAGGTTAAACAAATATTTATTTATATATAATAATATATAAAGAAAAAAACGAAATAATTGCTACATAACAAGAATGTGTAATAGTAAATTACATATATTTATTATTTTACAACAAAACAGGTGCAATGCATTTGGATGTTAAAAACGATTAAAGAAAACATATTTACAACATGTAACACGAGCGAAATTATAATATCAGATCAGTCAAGAAGTTCGGTTCAAATTTCAAGTCAAAGAATTGACTTCATCTAATGGAGACAAATGATCCCTCAACCAAATAATTGCCGTCGTTGTGCGCCCACGATTCTTCCGCTAATGTTTTGACATTATTCGTACACCTCCATTGTAGAAGGTGAGAAGACCAGTTTATTATTATTAATATTAATATTACTTTTTATTATCATATTCGTTCATATCTGACAAGGTCGTCCCATGGCCTCTTTATTATTATCATTGTTACTGACGTTGTTATTTGTATTATTTGTGTTATTATTAATACGATGTCGCAGATTGCGTCAGACTTTCGTCGTGGCCAAGAGCTTGATGTAGTGAGCCTTGTGGGTGATCTCGAATTCCTGCGTCGGCAGGAAGCATTGCGCCTGTATGGCGGCATGCCTCCTGCCGAGGCTGTAGCTGCGGAGGAGCAGAAGAAGGGTGATGACGCAGATGACGAGGGCGACGGCTAACGTGATGAAGACGACGTTCAACTGGTGGCCCTGCACTACTTCGACACAACGAGACCGCTCGTGATCGTCGAGCAAGTCGCTGGCGGCGACCACAGCCTCGGCGAGCTTGTCCAGACTGGCACACACCATGTAAGAACCCGGCAACGACACCTCCACGGTGACGAACGTGGAGCTGCAGTTGAGCGTCTGCCGGTGCACCGCTGAGATCGCGTTGAAGATGACTATGGACAGCTGGCAAGTCTCCGTCGTCTTCGCAGAGAGCGCAACGTCCACGTGCAGGTTGCCCTGGTCGGACACGTTCACGTGAACTCCGGTGATTCGCGGGTAAGAGGCGCCGAGAAACGGTGGCTGCGTAGAGATCGCGAGGTCCTGTTGCCGTTGGGTCTTTTCCAGGACAATCACGTCACTGCAGCCAAGCCCGAGAGAGACGTCGTCGTAGGCGATAGGCACTAGCAGCACCACGCAGTAACGATACTTGTGGCCTAGTTGCAGGTGCAATGACACCGGTATGGAGACTGGCAGGACGCAAGGGTCACGCATCATGCGCGAGTCGCAGTGTAGAGGGCTTGATTCTAGTTGGTACTCGCTGCCGTTCACGGTCTCGTAGACAATCAGTGAGTCACAGGTGTAGCGTTCGGCGCATTGTTCCACGTGCCAGAGCAAGTTGACGCCGGTCGACTCGTCGTAGTGGAACTCCTTCAGGCTCAACTGCTCACCCACCACGGGCACACTGCGCGTCATCATGGGCGGTGTGGGTTCGCCGCAGAGCAGGCTGCCCGGCGACACCTGCGTGAGGACGCCGTTCTCCAGCGCGGGCGGAGTCGCGCACACCGCCGAGGACTTGTCTTCCTCCATTAAGCTGGAGTTGCTGAGCCAGTTGGCGAATTCCAACAGAGTGCAGTCACAGTTCAGGGGATTGTCGGCGAGGGAGAGCCGCTTCAGGTGCAACTTCGTGGTCGGCACGTCGCTCGCCACAATCGTGATGTCATTGTCGTCCAATCGGAGATCCTGCAGGCTCTTCAACGGCACCACCAGGTCCGCCGTGAACGCCCGCAGGAAGTTGTGCGTCAGGTCTAGCATCGTCAGCTTCTCCAGATGTGCCAAAGAGGCGCTGGAGACGGCGACGATGCAATTGTTTGCTAGATCCAGTCGCGTCAAGGTCGACAGGTGTTTGAACGAGTGGTCCTCCAGCACATCAATCTGTAAATCGATGATTATTTATTCGTTTGGATTAAAATCGCCCGTGAGTGTCGAATTAAGTGATTATAATTTATAATAATAATATTTATTTATGGGTAAATATCCTTTGGGATTGCAAAAATAAACCTAACACTTATAAAAAGAATATTCAATCAGCGTTGTATTTAGAGATAAATTATAAACTAGAAGTAAAATATAAATTAGTAAACGCAAACAATATATAAAAAAAGAAGTATATTTATATATAATTTGAATTAATTAATTAATAGGTCGAGCTAAAAATGGCAATGAGTAAATTTTTAAAGCTTGAAGACATTCCATTGAAAAAATGCATCTTAGATGAGTACTCGTTGGGAACACAGTTTATTAATACCGCTAAATGTAGCATAGAAAGTCCTATGGTATTCCACATCAAACACTGGAAGACGTCTAAAATATTTTGATGGAATATTAAGTTTTGATCTTTCCGAGACACCCGGGCAATCCACAAAATAATTGAGTTTAAAAACGAAAAAAGATCTGAATTAATTCTTGTAATTGCTGGAGAATGTAAATTTAATTTATATAAAAGTTGATAATTATGATAAATAATAAAGATTGACTTACTTATTTTGGAAGCAGTCAATCTCGAAAACTTATGTTTAATATAACTTATGTTTAAATTCAATCAGGTTGCGACGAATGTTATAATTTATCGTATGATAACATCAATAGAGACCTTCTCTTGTTATTACTTTAAACAGACGGTCAAGCCCAAGTTTCTCAACTCACCTGATTATGACTCAGGCTGAGATAAGTGAGATTCCTGAGACCTATGAGAGCTCCCTGCTGTACGTTGACGAGGCTATTCTCGGATACGTTGAGAAAGTGTAATCTGGGCATCTGCGGCAACAAATTGGGTCCCATCGAGCCCAATAACAGGTTGTTGGATAGATCCAACTCTTCCAGTCGCTTGAGACCTCTCAGAGCTGACAGAGCAGAAACGCTCAGACGATTCCCGCGCATTCTCAGCGAGCGTAACATCGGCAACGCCAGAAACACTTGCGGCGACAATTGCGACAGCAGGTTGTCGCACAAATCCAAATAAGTCAAGTTTGACAAACCCTGAAATCGAACATTTCGTTATCCGCTAATTGATTTTTTCAAATCGCAAAGTCGCAGAAATCAAACATTTCATTCCGCAAGTTCGTCGCAACTAATCGTACCTTGAAGGAGTCCGCTTTCAACGTTTTCAGTTTGTTATGGGACAAGTCCAGCCGATCCAAACCAACCAAATATGACAACGCAATTGTGGGAACGGAATCCAGGAGATTGTTCGGAAGTCCAAGAGCCTGCAACGGCCGCGCCAATGCGGTGAATGCGTTCTCATGGACGCGTTTCAGCTCACCGGTGGAGACGACTAATCCATGAAGAGCAACTTCCTCGAGAAAGCGCGCTGGCAACACGGAGATCCCCGTCACAGTTAGATCCAGCAAGGATATCATGTTCGGCCGACTATGTTTGAGATGTTCACTGATGGCCTGAGGAAAACCATTAGAGTCCCTTTAATCTTTGCTTCTTATTGTCCAAAAATTTATGAATTTATTTTTACATTTTAATTAATTCATTTTAATTAATTCATTTTCTCCCTCACAGCGAAAAATTTTAATTAATTCATTTTCTCCCTCACAGCGGTTTATTTGCGAAGGGAAATCTCTTATCTACCGTATCTCTCGATTATAAATATTTTCTTGGATAAATATTCGCGAAGATAAAATTCTTATCATACGAGCGGCATTCGCTGAAATAAATCTCGACCTACAATACATAAATTAACAATATAAATTAGTATGACGAAAATTTAAAATTTAAATTTAAAATTTAAAATGCGGAAAATGAAATAACAGGACACGGTGCAGAACAAGTGGCGTATGTGAACCAGCGAGATCGAGCCGTCAAGAAGAAAGAGGCGGGAACGAAAGGAAAAGAGCAGCGAGCACAATGAACTCTTGAATGATATACGTATACGATTTGTATTTCATTAGCAGTCCATACACCTACGCTCTTCTTGACCGTTGGTTAAAAAGTAACGGCCTCGATTGCGCTGTGAAGCGTAACAACGGACGTTAGAGAGGACTGTTCCATTTAAATGGAAACATCTGAATGTATCCCAAAAATACTTGGTATATCTCGAAAAACATTTTAAACTTGTGTGCGTGCAAATGTATGACGTTAATGTAGTGACGCAATTACCTGTAGCGCCGTTCTATCGCCCGTACACCTGAGTGTGTATGGAAAGTCGCAGGAACATTCCACACCCACTTTTGTGATATTCGGACACTCCCAAACCGTGTCAGGGGACGATGATGCGTGGGATATATCTTTCGGGATGTCATCATCCTGTACTGTCACAATTGCCGGTGAAGTCGACGGAGACGACGACGAGGATGACACGTTTTCCTTGACGGCGAACGTCGTCGTCATCGTCGTCGTTGTTGATAACACCGTTGTCGTTTCCGTCGTCGTTGTTGTTGCCGTCGACATTGTTTCAGCTGCCGTTGTTATTAACTTCGTCATTGATGTTGCTGACATCGTGGCGTCGTCCTCCGTCACATTGAGACACGACGCCGTCATTATCAATGTCAAAACGAGCAAATCTCGAAACGGTCTGAGCATTCTGGAAAATAATATACAATAAAAAACTGTAATTATTTCGTAATTATATTACATTATAGACGTAATTACAATTTTTTTCATCTGGGAAAAGAAAGAATCTACGCTTTGTGTCATGAATTTTACTGTTAAAGAAAGATCAAGATTCATTTCGTTCGCTTTATTATGCTGGGCAATTATGCGAAAAAGTGTAGCAAGTTCACTAATGAGAGAAATCTCATTAGTGCAATGTTTCGCAAAGATACCCGATTTATTTTTTTGACAAGTAGTCAATGAGCCTGCAATGTTCTCAAAGAAGTTTAGAACGTCCAAGTCAAGTGTCTGATACGCACTGATTTTCTACGGCATTTTGTACATTGCATTTGATTGTTTTCTACAGGTCTGTTCTTTTTCGCTGAATTGGCTGCATTAGCTTGCATTAGTTCTCTTTTTCTCTTTCTTCTTCTTCTTCTATCAAATTTTAACCATATCTATCTTTTTTTATAAGTATGTAATAGTTCAGCAAAAAGTAACAAACCTTACATTACACATGATTTTGTGAAGATATGCGAAAAATATGACAAATAGCTACAAAATATAAAAGCGATGTGCATACTGTTCAATCATAAATTTAAAATCGTCTGCCTATGAAAATTGTCTGCATAGCATCTTACTAGTAAGTAAAACTGAATAAGACCGGTTACAAAGTAGCTTGTTCTTTATCGCCGCACTAAACTGCACTAAAACTTTCTTTCTCGTTCTTATAAAATTTTCAAACGTATTTCTATTTCATCTTCTTTTTATTTCTTTACATTAGTTTAGCTATAAAGAACAAACTTTATCTCGATTTGGGATGTTGATTGAAGAAATCGATTTTACATAAAGAACGCAACTTCATTCTGAATCGTCGCCGATAACCATAATTTTTAGACGATAGACTCAAAATTATTGCGTAAAATCTCGCAATAACACGCATCGATTTAAAATACATATTTCAATTCGAAGCAGATGTCTCATACTTTTTATACCGAGCTATGGCTCATCACGAGGAGCGATTTGGAGAAGTTGTTGGAGTTCGAACAGAAATTGCAGAAAGGTGCACCGTTAAAAAAAAGGGAGGTTTTAGTTACGGTGTTACCTATGTATGTGAAGTACGTATTTGAGCCATTTTTCTATAAAAACGTTATCACTTGATAAAAATACTAAACATCATAGTAGAGAGAAAAGAAGAATAAAAGAAAATGTGACAAAGTACTTATGCTCGTTTTGAGCGACAGACCGATTGTTTCTAATTTCATTCTTTCATTTAATTTAACTAACTTAATTTTGAGGTACCGCAACATCGTGAGAAGACTTATCATGTGTTACGATCAAATGGTGCAGACACAGAAACGGGATTTAATAAAGAGAATGTTGGACTGTGCAATCGGACGGATGTTGCAGTGTAAACAGGAGATCGTTCGACAGGATTATTCGGATTATCAGTAGGCTTCTCATACGACACAATCACTTTGAATTCACCAAAAATGAACGAATGTCGTCCATTGCAGGTGGCCGGACGATATTTTGTATCGAATGAAATTCACATGGGATGATATAGAGCTATTTGCAACAGCATGTGGTCGGGAACGTTTGGAGGAACGCAAAAAGTTTGTTCAGGAGTTAACCGAGAGGGTACAGAGAGGTTTGCATAATTTCTTTTTCTTTATCAATCACAAAATCGACATTAAGCAAAATCCTGAAATAGATTAGAAATATCTTAGAATAGGTTCCATTGGTAAAACTAATCGAATGTTTAAGATAAATTGTATATTTACAAGTTTTTCGATACAAATATATCTCTAATCTCTTGTCCTTCAATAGCTCAGATAAAAGAGCTTAGTCTGCCACCGACGCAAGTCGAAAGTATGACAGAAGTGGAGGACGAGGCGGCGACGGCCCGCGTAGCACGAAGGAAACGCGTCGTGCAACCCCTAAAGGTAGAGGTGCCCCGTGAATCGCCTGAAGAGATAGCCGCTCGAGAGATGAAGGCCGCAGCCAAAAAGGCCATGCATATGGCGATATTGTTGATACAGAATCATGAAAGAGCAAGGAAAGCACGCGTCCGTGGTGAAGACGGTAATTAAAGGGAATAAACCTAGACAATATTCAACATTTATAAGATATTTTAAAAATATAGATATTAAATATTTTGTATTATAAATATTCAAATGTTCGCGAAAGTCAGACATAAGAAAGATCATGATAAATATTCAAAGATACTTTTCAAATACATGATTTCAAAAACATCATTTCACTTAAGTAAAACCATACTTTAATGATTTATGAAAATATTTATCATAATCTCTCTCATACCTGGTTTTTCCGGATATTTGGATATTCACAAAATATATATAATATCTATATTTTTTAAATATTTTATAAATTCGTATTGCTAAAAAAAGACGAGCTTATTTGTCACATTAGTAGAGTAGATCTTTTTCGTATTCGCGACTCACTAGCGTCGAACTGTTCCATTCCAAGCGAAACGTATATTCGAGTACAATAAGAAACTGGCGTACGGAGATATCATCCCAAGGAAGATAGATCAGGCGGAGTACGAAAAGTCGGCGAAGACGATACAGCGCGCGTGGCGGCGGTACACCGCGCGGAGAGACACGAGGAAGAAAATTGCGCGACTCGAAGAAATTCTGGGTATGACAATTCCGAGCTGGCGGTGCCGCAAAGTGTTCGCAACGGACGAGGAAAACTTCAAGCGACGACGCGCTTTGATACCCGTGTTCGCTGAGCGGACCGAGAAATCGATCAGCGACGAGCGTGCAAGGGTAACGGCTTTAGCATAATAAAAACTGCAGTTCTTTCTGAGAGTCTCTAATATTGTGTTGAGGTGTATTTCATTGACCAAATTGACGAACATTTAATAAATGAGTTCATAACCTCTTCCTCCTCGCCTGGCCCGTTTCGTGGCACACAGTTAGTTACTTGATTACATTTACAAATACTAAAATAGTTTTTCGGCATTGTATGTATTATATGATAACTTTAATGTAATTACTTTTCATGTCCGAGTTAACACACAAGCACGTGCATCATGGTAACTCAGTAGGCAAGAAACATTAAATCAACCTTTTGAAACATTAATTTTACGTAGATTTTATAAACATTTTGACATTATATTCTATTAGTGTTTTTAAATTGTTACTTAATACACATAATATTCCTAAATATTAAAATCATAATCTGGAAATATTATTTTTAATATTTGAATCAAATATTGTTAACGATGATGTTATATACAACATTAAGAGCTATATATTTGAAAATGTTAGAATTTATAAAATATCATTGTAATAACGTATTAATGATTTCTTGCTTATTGGGAATATAAGATAAAGAGCAGCCCGAGTTAACTCGAGCTTGCACAATATTGCTAATACCGTTTATCTGAATTAATTCAGATTTGCGCGTTAAGGGGTTGGGGTTCCTGCTCCCTCGTTGTAGTCGCTTTGTTTAACGACATCAATAGCGAGAAAACCCTAAATTTTCACAGAATATGTTGAGCTAAAAGGATGTGTCCATAAAAAGACACTTATAATCAATTGGACATATTTATAAAATATTTTGTAAGTTTTCCTTTTTTTAACAATCAATAAATAACCGTAAAATTAACATGACATATAATTTTCCTTTTTGTCAATTTTTTTTTACGATTTCATCATCGCGTTAATTTTGCGCTATTTATTGATTGTTAAAGTAAAAGGAAAGTTTACGGAAAATTGTACAAATATGCTCAATCGATCATAAGTATCATTTTAAGGATACATCTTTTTATCTCAACGTATTTCGTAAAAATGTTGGATATACGTTTTCTCGTTTTTGTCGTAATTAATCAAAATGGCTGCTGCGAAGAAATAAAGCCCTAAAATTACGAAAATTACTAATTTAAGACTATATTGAGCGTCGGGTGAGTATTAAGATATCCAAATAGATATCTGAAATTACATAAATAAAGATTTGACTTTGATTTAAATATTAATATCCACAATGATTATTCGAATCTCATTTTATAGCAGTAAAAGATTAGCCCAATATGACCTTAATTTAATAATTTTCGAATTAACGAGGACTTAATTTCGTATAGCTGCTGAAAATCAGAGGACCCGAACTGATAGAAGACATCACTGATGAGATTCATGAATGGTTCGTTATCTGGTACGATGCTGCAGGACACTACGACGTGTTTCCAGCGGCTGAGTTAGGCGGCAGCGTCCTAATCACGACCGGGCAGACTTTGACACCGCAAGAGTACTTGATGAAAAAGTTGGAGAAGGAAGCTAAGGAGAAAGCAGAGAGAAGGGGAGCTGTTAAGATTGAAGCTGGGCCGGCAAAAGCCCAGGTTCTTGAGAGGGGCTGGAGAATGCCGCGAACGCAAGCTCTATCTTGCTTGCTGGAAGCGAACACCGATTTTGTGAAAAACTGGAATCTTCGCGACGAAAGCGGCAATCCGGAGCAGAAGGAGTACCTCGATCTGATCGTCGAGAAACACTGTTACGAGCTGCAGCTCGAGATGAGGAAGATAGCGGACGAGATTCTAAGAGCTGATCTGGAGCTGTTGAACAACGCATTGCTGAAGGATCACGCGTACGATAAGCAAAAATTCGTAATCCCGACGATGAACGGAGGTAATCGGATAAGGCTTAACAATTACGACGAATCATTTAATTGCTCGGTGAATTATTTCTCGAAACTTTTGCGACAAGTCACAGTTAATTTCAATAACTTTTAACGTGCAACTATAAATTTAAAAAAATCTAACCTGCGCAGTAAAAAATGTTATGTTGAAAATGAGAAAAAAACTGAAGTTTTTGTGTCACTTAATATAGGGAATGTGTTAAAAAGCAAATATAAAAACAAATATAATGTTAATTTAACATATTACTTTTTAACATATTTATCTCGTTAAAGTAACAGAAAATTTCAGTGGGCTGTTTTTAACATAAAATTTTTTGCTATGTAGGATCGAAACGTCTAGACGAATAAAAATTATATGGTTATATCGGAACATCTTGATAACACGCTTCAAGGATTAATTAAAATCTTTCCTTATTATTACACTACAACTTCAGTGCATAAGCTTTTATTGGCCATTTTTATTTCTAGTAGATTGAATATCTATAAAGCCTTTCCATTTAATTTACTTTTTTTTATTTTTACTCGCTCGTCTAATTATTTGCTTATGAACAACCTACTTAAATGAATGATCGCGGTAGAGAAAGAGAAGAAAGTCGCCAAGCCAAGGAAGAAAGCGGAAAAGAAAGGCGTCATGGACGACGTGCCCGTCGAGGATCTCTTCTACGAACTGCTGCAGGCGGACGTCATCAGGGAATATCCGACTGTTTTCCTGCGGGACTGGCTCGGCGATTTCTCGTATGGAAATTACGAAGCGCGTCGCGAAGCTCGGGATTACAAGCACCGACTCGGCGAAGTCAAGCAGCTCGTCTTGGAGAACTGCGTGCTACCCTTGATTTCTAAAGAGACGCATCAGATCGCACCGCGCGTGCGCTCCGTATGCATTTGCGGATTACCGAGCGCCGGAAAGACTTTCCTCGCCAACGCTGTTTGCTCAGAGGTTAATCGTCCATGCTCTTTTTGCAATAATAAAGAGTATTGAAAAAACACACACATATATATAATCAAAATAATAGAATAGATTTTTAATTAGTTTCTGAAGGGTTCCTAATCGATTTTTTTAGTTGGGCGCATTACTTTTCGACGTATCGCCGTCTGTTTTGGTCAATAAATTTGTGGGCAAGAAAGAGCAAGAGAGGTTCATCAACATGATCTCCAGAGTCGCTCGTGCTTATGCTCCTTCAGTGATTTTCCTCAACGCCGGCGAGGGACCCTGGCTGAAGAAAGTCCCGCCGGAGGAGCGTCATTTTCAACCAAAACGATTCACGAAGCAGTTCGAGAAACTAATAAAAGGCATCACTCCGGGCGACCAGGTGAACCTACAAAGAGCGCAAAAAGCTTTTTCCTCCGCTCCTATTATAATTACTTATTTTTCAACGTGCTATATTTATACTTTTCTTTCGTTAACATGCTCAGCCCAAAATTTATATTTCGTTCCCAACACATATCGCAATGTTTAAAGATGCTTCGTTAGACACACGTAGAGAACATGCATAAAACACCGGAGATTCATTCTGCATCGTGAGAACTCGGTGTAAATCTCCTAAATTGGAGGAGCGGGTCGAGGCGTGCGATCGAGTACCCATTTCGTGGGATTCTTGTTATTCCCGCTTCAGATCTCTTTCTTCAATATGAATGAACCACCGTCTCGGCGAATTCGCAGGCACACGGTGGGTTCCCCCCCCCCCCTCTCTCTCTCTCTTTCTCTCTCTCTCTCTCTTTCTCTCTTTCTCCTTTCCGTTCTTTTTTCTTTTTTTACGTCTCGTGGACCTCTCCCGATCGAAGTTGCTCATCAATGAAACACCTACCAGCGGGTATGGTTGGCGGGAACGTAGGTGGCGGCGAGTTAACGTAGGATTTAGAATGTCAGAGATTCCGGACAGATACTGTTACTCACTGGCGTAGGTATCGTAGAAGGCGATTCGACATCCACCTCGAAATTCTACTTCTGTCGTTTTCCCACAGATCGTATTAACGTATTCGTGACGAAAAATCGTATCCGGAGGAGACGCCTACTCGGGACTACTTTCGTACGTTATTCTTTCATCAATATAACGAACTCCTTCAACAGGTACTGTTCCTCTCGTTGTCCGAGCAACCAGAAAACGCGGCACAGCCATTCTTCAGGATCCACGATAGATTCATTATGATACCCACCACTGATTACAATACATTGTATACATATTACAAAGATCTACTGATGAAGTATCACGGTGTCGATCGCAATATTGATGTCTCTTGCTTGGCTAAAATGTCCGTCGGAGTGCCCCTGAGCTTCGTCAAGGAAGCCGTGGAGAAGGTGCTGCTGCTGCAGCGACGAATCACCCTCAAACACAATCCGCTCAACCCGGCAGAGATCATGAATGAAGTAATGAAGTATGAGTATCCTACAGAGAAGACGTTGGAGGGCTTTCGTAAGATTGAGAGGCAACTTCTGCGAAGAAAAATGAAGGGTGCTGGAGCTAAGCAGGCAGAATGAGCCTACTGAGAACGAGAGAACGAGGCGTTCAAAGGCACCCCTTGACGTGAATACACACGTCGCGAGGTTTTCGCGGTAATTTCCCGTCGCGCGAATCTTCGTCGAGTGTTTTACGTTGCGATATAAGCCGGCAACTCGATTTGCACACAGAAAGGTACAGGTAACAGAAATACGAATTTACAAGTAATTCTATCAACTTAACGAGTTACTTTGCTATGAAAAGAGAGTGGACGTTAGGGAGATTTTATTGACATACACACACACACACACGCGCGCGAGAAGATAATACAACTGCATCACCACAGGTATACGTACCTATAACGTGCACTGTGCATCGGTCTCGAGCGTGTTCCCAACCTCTGCACAACCCTCCCACACCTGACCTCAGCCTCAAAGCGATGGAGGAACGCAGTAGCACCCACGCCAGTGAAACGTTCGCGAGTGCATCGTGCGACCCGTCCTACATTAACGGAGAACGGTCCTCAAGTCTGGACGTCTTCTGATGATCACATCCCTTCCGTGAGATCCCTCAAGAGCACTCCTTATGATGATATTTTCACGCTGGGAGGACGTGCGAATCGCTGGGAGAAAAAGAGAAGAGAGAGACACTTCCGCGGAATCTCCGATCGCACTTGTCACTTGCGTCTTATCCCTCGCAATATCGCCGCATAATTATCACAGACAGGGATCTTCGCCTTACTTATGGAGAGAGTAGATCTCGCGACGACCCAGTCGTCGGGATCTACGCACGTGTCGTCGTATATGGCAACTCATTCGTCGGCTCCGACGTGCGGTCACGCGGAAGATGAAGAAGAAGAGGAACGGACATCGCGCGTCTCTTCCAAGGTCTCGGCGAAGCGCGCCACAGCGCGAGGAGGAGTCGCGCGCGGTGACACGAACGCCTGGGCGGTAGGTAGCGAACACAATCTCCGGACGTGATGCGGTTCCCCTGGTGCCCGCGACACCACGACAACGGGTAGCAGGCGACGGGTCGGGTGCTGCGTACTGCGAGGCACTGTACGAGCGCCGAGAGCATGCTCGACGACCACTTGGAGAGACGAGAAAACCGACGTCGCCTCCACCGTGTCCACGCGGTGGGGACTCCCCCGGTTTGTGTCCGTCCGTCCGCCTCTCTATGTGTCTCTCGGTTTCCACATAGCATAGCCATGTATGGAACACGGGACGACGTTCTCTCTCCCGGCCCTTACGCCCACTTGCCTGCGCCGCGCTCTGTGCCGGCTCTCCGCCGCATCTGGAGCAGGTATCATCGCGGGTGACGACGAGGGCGACATCGCCACTCGCCCCTTCATCATCGAGAACAACCACGGTGGAGAGAGTGACTCGCACCTCGACGTCTCTTTCATGCAGAACAATTTCGAACGCTCCGTCGTCGCTCGAACTCTGAGACACCGAAGCGCTTGTCGCGTATTCTAAGGCTAAGCCTGGTTACTCTGATACTTCGATAGAATACAAATCGTTATTCCGTAAGAAACATTGTCATTTTCAGTTTTTACGCGAACGTCAGAAATACAAGTTTCACGCTTTGCGCGCGTCTCATGTTCGGTCTTCGAGAAGCGACGTGTTTTCTCCGGTCTACGACTTCATTTATTTCGTGAGAACATGTCCGCGATACAAAAAAGTATTGCTGAGTGATTCCCGTGCACGCTGTTTTCGTATGCACGAGTATGTACGGGAGAAGACCGAGAAGAAGTGGGCGAAGAGAACGACAGAATGAAAGAGGGAGAGAGCGAGCGAATGAGCGAGAGAGGGAGGGAGGGAGAGAGAGAGGGAAAGAGGTCCGGAGGCAGAGGGAGAGAAAGAAAGAACGAATATAGGTGGGTGGGGTGGTAGAAGGGGGGCTCCGAAGGTCTTCGGGATCCTCGTGAAATGCTTTTTGATACTGGAAATCGGACCGTCGCGCGCGTTACGAAATCACCGTAAAACCGGGCCTTTACACCCACGCGAGATTAGTGTAGCCGCGGTGAAAGAAAGTCCGACTTCTTTAACAAGCTCTCCGAGTGTTTATAACGCGCCACGCTAAAAAGCAGACTCGGAAGCATCGCGCCTAGATGAACAGCACGAGATTGTCGAACGTCGCGCGAAACTCTTCGACGAAATCTCGAAATTGGTTTCTAGACCCTCTTGAAGGACTCGGGTAGTCCAACTTGAGCGCTAACGTTCTAACGAGAACGTCCCGTTTATCATCCCGGTGGAAAGACAAGAAGGCGCGGTGGTATCGCACAACTGACAGTCTGATCGAGAGTTTCATTGTATACAAATGTAGGCGGAAAAAGAGCGATTTGAGCGACGCGCTTGCATAAGGAACGCGTTTTGCGTCGGAGAGTCGGAGCGCGTCCCGCCAATGCGAACTTTCATTCGTCAGTATCGGCCAATCGGTAGAAATCGATTCTCACACGTGGCACGAAATCGGCTCGACTAACGAGAATAGTCAATGTTCGTCGAGTTAATTAGAGTCTGAATGTTTATGTTAATGAGGCATAAAAGATGCGAAGTCGATTCTAAAGCGAAAATGATAACGCAAATGGAACTTGAAACACGCTGTATATATCGGCGTAGACAAGTTTACAATTAACTTATAAGAAATTATAGTAATCTTACCTCGATTATTACAGACATTTTTTACTGTATGATTTGTGGATAATATAAAAGTATAAAAACGCAACCTTAATTATACACTGGGCACTAAACTTCTAATGTAGATATATAATTGCACAGTGATTTACAAAATATATTGAATATTTTATTTCTTCTAATTAAAATGTGATTTAAATGACATTTTTATGGAGTGTTGACTCGGTCAATTCAGTCAACCGGGAGTCGTTGAAATCTCCTCCATTATATCTATATAATTCTTCACGTCGTTCATATATCGACTCAGAAACTTGTGATTCTTTTTCACATTTTTAATCAATTTTTTAATGTCCGTTTCTCTGTAAAAAGAAGAAGCAATCTGTTAAATCTTTATTCGTGCGACGCGATCTCTTTTTCAACTTACTTTATCGTGCCCAGCAAACAGTGAATGTTAACATCATTTGGAGTAAGCTTATCGAAACGTTTAACATTGATCGTGATCTTCAATATAATATTCATACATTTGCTTCGAGACACGAACGAAATTCTAAAACAAGCGAATGATACAACGATAATTCGAATAGCGGCGTTATTGAATCTATCATAGAAAACATTTAGATGGAAGTTATTACTTATCGCGAGCGATCTCCATCAAGTTTAAGTCGTCCAAACGCTTTAAATCAAACATGAAATTCATCGCTAGTTTCACCTCTTGCGAAATCAAGTCTAGCATCGAAAGAACGTCCTCGTGAGTACTGTACGAGTGCGTAAATGTTTCCACGTTGATTTTCTCCAGAATTAATCCGTGAACTATCTTTATTAGTACATCTGCGTCATCTGTCGCGAAAAGGATACCGTTGGGATATTTTACTGTTCCAAGATTTTCCCGATCAATTAATATTCGATTGCTCACCTGCAAGGCGGGAGATAATCTTGATTTCATTAATTAAATTCTCTTCGGGACGACTCAGATTGTCTGATAAAAATGTTATTATCAACAATGAATTCGACATGAAACCGAACGCAATCATTTTCCTATCGACATTTTTGTAATACACGTTCCAAATGCAGTTTTCCCTGTGAAAAGAAGCGTATGCGTTGAAATGCGAAAGATGTTTTTGTCATTACCTTTTTAACAGCTTCGGAGAAAGAAGGATGTAGCATCTTATGTGAAACATCTTGTATAGATATGTATATGTACTTACCCCTCGGCAAGTGCTTCTATTTTTTGCGACAGCGACAAGAACGGATCCTGTTCGACTAAAGGCTCTTCTTTAGTCTCGTTAGAGCACTGCTTCGCGTCGAGTCTCTTTTCTACGTAGTCTTCCTTTTGTTCTACACCTTGCTGATTTATTTTACCATTTGAATGTTCTTGGCAATATACACCTTGATCTTCCTCGATCGACATTTGAAGATTCACTTCATCTTCAAATATAGCTTCTGTCTCTTTCAGGTGATCAATGTGACGTTCTACTTCCTCCCTTACCTCTATGCATTGTTCCTGCTCGATATTCGGTAATTCTACCTCATCATTGTTTACCTCATCCAGAGTATATTCCTCTTCATCCATTTCTCTTTCTTCTTGATCTTTTCTCGTTACCTTTGTTTCAGTGAAATGATCAATACTAAATAGTGTTGCCGTCTTTCTACGGTTAACGTTACTTGCGCTTTCACCTCCATCGAGATGCTCTCTATCTGTTGCGTGGCGATTTGATTCATCGATTAGATTATCGTCGATAATTGTTCTTGCTTGGCCATCAGTTTCCCGATTATGTTCAATTGCATTCGTCACGGCGCTTCTGTGGCAGTCTTTTGTCTCATCCTGTTCGACATCAGTCGTCTCTAATCTCTGAGAATTAATATTCTTATTATTGATCGGGACAGTATCGATTGACACATGAGGTTTATCTTCCCACAAAATTCCCTCGAAGAGGGAGTTCTCATCCTCACTCATATAGACAAACGACGGAGGATTAATCGACTGCAATTCCACGAGACTGTTTTCTAGATTCTTTTTTAAGAAGCTACAATCGTCAATATTGTTCAAACTATCATTAACATTTGATCCGCATGGTAGTTTCGAGATTTGTGTAGGATCAATCGTGTCCTCCGTTGAACGTTCGTTTTTAACATGTTTATCATCATTGTCGGAAGATGAATGTATGTTGTGACAAACAGGGGGCTGAGACTCTTCGAGAGAATCGCTGCGGAACTTCTTCGCATTTGTACTTTCGTCTTCATGACTTCGTCTTTTTCTATTGACGTTTGTCAAGGTTACGCTTGACGAGTGGTCAAAATTGTTTGTTAAAACACGAGTATTATTAGATGATGCATTATGTAGATTTGTTGTCTCCACGATTTCTCTCGGAATTGTAACATTTTCTCTTATTTCACTCTTCTTCAACTCTGTTACATTATTTGTTACTGGACGTGGAAACTCATTTCTTTTGGAAACATCCAAACTTTCCGTTCCATTTAGTGTAATGTTTTCAATATGACGTATAGCCGATGGAACTGCAGCAGTAACTTCCATTGATGTATCATGAATCGTTTTATTATTAGGTTCAGTTTGGAGTGACGATTTTGCGGAATTTTCTTCGGGCAAGTGTGTTCTTGGTGTTGTAGTATTGCGAGAAATCAAAGATTCTGCAGTGCGCTTGATATTACATGTTTCCTCGTGCAAGAAAGGACTTGGAACAGCTTTAGTAATATCCATAGACTCGTGTAATAAAGCATTTGTCAAGGTTGAACTTAACGAATAATTAAAATTGTTTGTTAAAACACGAGTATTAGATGATGCACTGTGTAGATTTGTTGTCCCCACAGTTTCTCTTGGAATTGTAACATTTTCTCTTATTTCGCTCTTTCTAAACTCTGTTACATCATTTGCTGTTGGACGTTGAAATTCATTGCTTCTAGAAACACTCAAATTTTCCGTTCTGTGTAGTTTAATGTTTCCTATATGATGCGTAATCGACGGAACTGCGGCAGTAATTCCCATTGATGCATTATGAATTGTTTCATCGTTATTTATAGCTGATTCAGTTTGGAGTGGTAATCGTGCGGAATTTTCTTCGAACAAATGTGTTCTTGGCGTTGTAGTATTGCGAGAAATCAAGGATTCCGCAGTGCGCTTGATATTACATGTTTCCTCGTGCAAGAAAGGACTTGGAACAGCTTTAGTAATACCCATAGACTCGTGTAATAAAGCATTTGTCAAGGTTGAACTTAACGAATAATTAAAATTGTTTGTTAAAACACGAGTATTAGATGATGCACTGTGTAGATTTGTTGTCCCCACAGTTTCTCTTGGAATTGTAACATTTTCTCTTATTTCGCTCTTTCTAAACTCTGTTACATCATTTGCTGTTGGACGTTGAAATTCATTGCTTCTAGAAACACTCAAATTTTCCGTTCTGTGTAGTTTAATGTTTCCTATATGATGCATAATCGACGGACCTGCGGCAGTAATTTCCATTGATGCATTGTGAATTGTTTCATCATTATTTACAGCTGATTCAGTTTGGAGTGGCAATCGTGCGGAATTTTCTTCGGGCAAATGTGTTCTTGGCGTTGTAGTATTGCGAGAAATCAATGCTTCCGCAAATTTTGCAGTGTTCTCAATATTACACATCTTCTCGTGCAACCAAGGATCCGGAACAGCTTCGGTAATATCCATAGATTTGCATAATAATTTGGTTCTTTCACTGAAAGTAATAGAATTCTCATTCTCTGTCTCACATATGTTCTTTCCACGAATAATTGGATTGAAAATTTCTCTTCCGTTTCTTGACGATATTGTCTTAGTCATTTCTATGGATGTATTCTGCGAAAACGTATTTTTATTATCTCCGAACATAAGCTCGTCTGTTCTCAAATTCTCTTTGTCGTAAACGTTCATAGGTAATATCACATTGATAGGTCTCGTCATTTGCATTGGGGCGTCATTGAAGAACTCAGTTTTATCAGAATTCTCGCTAATTTTACGATTTTTTCGCAAATGTTTTCCTGAAACTGTATCTTCATCATGGAAATACGGAATGTTTTTTTCGTACATGCTTATAGGTCTCGTCATTTCCATTGGTACATCGTTGAAGAATTCAGTTTTATCCGTACCTTCAGTTTCACAATTTTCCTTCAAACTATTTTCTTCAACTGCACTTTTGTTACAAGGCTGTGTAGCATTTTGTTTGTATATTTTAGATGGTAGGGCAATAGTCATTTCCATTGAAGTGTTAAAATTTGTATTGTTTTTGTTATCATTCGGATTAAATGTGTCAGAATCTGCTACGATCCGTGATTGTATTACGCTCGTTAATTTTATGGAATTATCTGGCATAAGATGTGAACTGGAATAATCATTTTGTATCCGTTTAGAAACAATATTCTTAGTTGCCTGTAAATTTATCGGAGATGTCGAGCTGTTACTTGTGGTGTCACGCCTTTTATTTGTGCAATTCTGCATTATTACTGAAATTTTCCTGGAAACTTCTAAATCAGACTTGATAGGCTCTACAGATCTTGAAATAGCCTGAGTAATCTCTATCGGTTCATTATTGCAATTAGGGACCAATGATTCTACAGCATGTTCGATATTATACATTTTCTCGTGATATGAGGGGACTGATACAGTTTCAGTAATATCCATAGACTTGTGTAATGATCTGGTTCTTTCAGTAAAAGTAATTGAATTGTTCATATCCTTTCTTTCATACATATTCTCTTGTTTTGAAATTGGATCGTATATTTCTGTTTTGTTTCTCCATGACGCTACCTTAGTCATTTCCATGGTAGTATAATTTGTGTCAAAATCCTGATGTGATGCAACATTATCTTTCTGTGTATCTTTTTGCTTATTATCTTCTATATCACAATTCACTGAAGATGTTGGTATCATCATAGTCAATTCCATAGATTGATCTTGGATACATGTTCTCTCCATTTCAGAGCCAACTTTATTAGTACATATCTCTGGACAATATTCATTACTGATAACATGTGAATCATTCTCTTTATCATTGTCTACATATACAGTAACAATATTGCTTGATGTGCTTTTAGATACATTTGACAGAATAGTTTGCCCAAGTAGAAGTTTTTGACTAAATATTTCTACATGTTCTATTGGATTAGTGGGATTTAAATCATTATCCTTATCATTTTCATAGAATTCTATGGCAGAAGCATGTGGCTGACTATCTGTTAGATTAAAATCATTTCTATGACTTGAATTGGCTTCAGTGCCAACAGCTGTATAGTCACCTTTAGAAGTAACTTTTGATGCATTTTCCTTGGATTCAACTTTTGTATTTTGATCTGTCCTAAAAGATGCTTTGAGACTAGAATCATGTTCTTCGTATGTGTTATCCCATACAGTTCCTTGCTCCGTGGAATGGCAAAATTCTCTGCACAAAGCATATTTAAAGAGATATTCTTAGTATAAAAACAAATTATAATCTAACTCGTATTCTACTTATATTAAAAGGTACTTACTTAACATGTTTCTTTTCTGCAAAACTAACACGTCTCTTGACCTTTGATGTGGCTGGAGTATCTTCATTAGATGAGGAATTGATATTTATTTTCTGCAATGGCTGTCTGGATTTTTGTGGTTTAAGAATCTATAAAAACATCGAACATCGTTAATGTTAAAAATTAACATCACGAAAATAGAAAGTTTTTCACTCTCAAAAATATATTAGAAAAATAAGTTATAAAATAATATAAAAATACAACGTAAACTAAAATACTTACTGATGAACGTCTGGATTCTTCTTTTTTAGGTTTGGAGGGAACCCTATGACATGAAAAAAGACATTATCCTTTCCACACAAAAATAAGAATCTTTTATACCTTTTATACCGTTTTAACTTCACTTATGTCCATGAAATAACAAAAAACAAGCAATACTTACATCTTACTACACTGTAAAAAGAAAAATCAGTTATAATCATTTAAAATTCTGTGCCACAATAAATTTTTTTTTAACTGACTTCAATAATGGCTCCGACGCGCTGCGTCGCACGCCATAAATTTGTTCTTTTTAGCTGAACTATTTGTATCAGTGCAACAAGTATGTACTAATGGAGACTCATACTGCGACTTTCTATAGGTGCGTTCGGGAAGACACTATTAATGCTATTTAGCGCTAAAGGCTGTTCGCCGAACTAGAGTATAGTTTTGATAAGCACAATCGTGGCGTCACTAGTGGTAACGTGCTACGTCATCATTTTGATCGCTCTAAATTTAAAGATCTAACAAAAAAAAGACCAATAATTATTGACTGCTCATTAATCGCTGTATTTTCTGAATGCAATAATTTAGTCTGTTTTTTTATAGCTGCACCGGTTCAGCAGTATAGCTAAAAAGAACAGACCAAATGCTAACATTACGCTAATGCCGTAAATGGAGCTATCGCTTTCGTTTATTAATCCCACGAACAGCATTAGTAGTTTACGTTTCTAGTTAATAATGTTTCCCCGAACGTACCTCATATAGAACATCGGACGTCCAATAAGATTTGTTTTCTAGAGATAAATGTGTCACTAGTTAGGAAATCTAGAGCCTGGTTTCATCAACGTGAATTTTTCCATTGGAACTGGTCAATCGCATCTATCCAACAACTATGCGATTGGACAGTTTCAATGTAAGAGTTGAATTTAATCGATTTGATTAACTCGCGCTGGTGAAACTGATGGGTGTAGGAAGCGAAGTCTCCTATTAAAAATAAAATTCTTATACGCCGAATATGCTATGAGCTGTGAATTCTCCATCAACAATCCTTTCCTCTTAGCGGAAATGACGTTACTCATGGCTCTGCGTATAGAACGCAAGATGCTGGTTGCGCGCAAGTATTTGCCGTGTTCTATATGCAATATTGAACTGTATAATATACTAGGGATGCGTTCGGAGAGACGCTATTTAACGCTACCGCGTTATTCTACAGGACGCGGCAACGCGGCGGAAGTTCACGCGGTAGCCAATCAACATGCTGTTTCCTGGTAAGAACTAGAAGTTTACGGTTTCCGCTGCATGCGTTATCGCATCCCATGGGCAGAAGCCCACTCTTACTCTTTACGTGTACAACAAGGATAGAGTGATGTAGTAGCGCTAAATAGTGTCTCCTCGAACTCATCCTGGAAGGAACACTAGCGTGGAGGGGAGCTATGATCCACATGTAACTCTAATGGATCATGATTTCTTTGTGACATATGTAAATTGCAGTAGCATTTTTTCTTTGAATAAAATGCACGTGTATAACGCAAAGATATTTGAAGAAGAAAGATGCTTCAATACAGCCAAAAAGAACAAACTCTCCGTGCTAATAGCACGCAGAATGAGAAAACGGCTGAAACAAAACGCTTCTCACTTTCGAAGTACCGATTTCCGGCTTCGCTCCGCCACTATAGTCGAAGTGCAGCATGAATGTTTGATCTATGTTTGACATATATATGTCACTGATGTCATTTATATCACTCCTCGTGAAACATTGAAGAGGCGTAATCTTATCGATGATTCGATCTGCAGATATTTCCTCGCGTTCACCGGATTCGGCCGGGTGATATCTTTAGCGGCGAGATCATTTCGAGCGTGCAAGACTACGCGAACAATCGACGAGTTATTCTCCACTCATCGTCGACGATCCTGTGGTTTCCCCGGTTGCCAAAATGTGCGTGTCCGTAACAGCGTTCAGTCGACGAGGATTCATTTCGCGGGATATCGTGCGACTTAACAGCAAGCAACCGCATTATCCTGATCGTAACGAAACGTTATTAATGAGCGGCACGTTATTACGCCGATTTCCCGTGTCGTCGTGTATCACTGACATTTCACGGATCTTGAGTACTTTCTCTTCCGCGAGGGCTCCGATCTCATTTAACAATATCTCCGAAGTTTTGACGAAGCAACGAGCGAAAGAGTTTACGTCAAAACTCTCCTCCGAGGAGCGCAAGCTCTTCCTGGCTGCGTTGAATGAATGCAAATCCGAGGAGGACAAAGCTGGCTATGAAGGTAGGTAGATTATGATATTGAACTCACGCGCAAAGTTTACAAATAATGCATTATAATGATGTTACATTTCTGTGAGGTCAACTGGCGGCTTTCCGATGGAGGAGCAAACTTGGTAGACCTAGTAAAATCCCATCACTGGGTGAGGTGGATCCTACAGGAACCTATTGCCCTGTACCAGACGATTGGCTGAGTCGCAAGTACGGTAGGGATGCAAGATTTACCATCTTAGTTATGTATGTCTTAACTTTTGTTAGCCGGGCGAGAGACTACTGAAAGAAAGAAAGATGTGCAGTGTTCTATTTTGAAAAAGAAAAAAATCTTTGATAGGATGTAGCGTTTTGTTACATTCGCGAAAGCATTACAAGCATTAACTTAGACTTATTACCTGTAGATCTCGCAAAATAAAATTAACACCTCGACTGTTATTTAATGGTATCTTTGGATATAATGGAATCTTTTTCCTGCAATGCGATCTCCATGGATGTTATTCTGTAAGTTAAACTTACCTCATTCTCTTATTCTCTTTTTATCTCTCCCTTTCTCTCTATTGCTCTCTGTTTTAACTACACTAACCCTCTTCTGCCTTCTATTCTGATTCAACTTTCGGATGTTTTACAGTCATCCACACTGCTGCAGTTAGGTAATATTTTCGACATTTTTTTAGAATTGTCTTTCTACCTAAAGCTCTTTTACTCTGTGGGAACTTGTTTTAATTTTTCTCTGAAGCAAATAGACGAATAGATTATCAAAGTTTGTCTCTTATCTCGTTTTCCTTCTTCTTCTTCTTCTTCTTCTTGTTATATCCTGATATCTTGATCTTTGAAATATCAATTTTAAAACTATATTAAAATATAGTTTCATGATATAGGTTCTATTCAAAATTGATAGCAACAAAGAGCTGGGAATATATGCTTATGTCTTTAATGGTGTTTTTAACATTTCCATCAAACTGTAAGATCTTAAAACTAGAGCTATTTGAAATTTCTTCTATAAAGTATGAAGCTGACTGAAGCTTGTATCGAATATCGTGGCCGAATGTCGTCTAACATCCTGCAATCCTTTTCTTGTACATACTAACAGATATTAATCTTGGCATTACCATCTGGGATCACAACTTCCCCAGCTAAAGGGAACAAAATTTTCGCACCTTGGAGTCAAATTTTCTGCATTTTAAATCACTAGTTATCACTAGTAGTATTAATTATTCAAGAGATTTAAAATCTCTCATCTGAAAAGTCCAACTTAAAATAGAATAAAGGTTTTTTTTGTGCATTTCATACATATGAGCAAACTATGTATATCTTGAAGGGTACAATATTAAATTAGAAATCAAACTTGTAAAAGAATATGTTACTCTATTGTGATCGTTATCTTTTTAGGTATACAATGTTTGCATGTAATGGGTTAAATTATATGGGTAAAGAATAGGTCTTGTAGAGTATTTTAGTGCTTGTTAATTTTATCGGGTGATTATGCATAGCAATATTTGGCTGGACAGTTAACCTGTAGATATATGTTGAATTTTTTCCCGTTGCAGTTGAAAATGTTGCAGAACCGTCCACGAAAGAACTGGTGCTAGGTACGCATTAATTTTTTTACTAAAGAATACAACCAATGCATGTTGCCTAACTGTTGCGACAACACAATAGTTGTGCGTATTATAGTCTTTGAAATAGGTCTTTGTACACATGTAACATTGAAACTAATTATACATTTGCTCAACATCACAGTGATTGAGGCAAGTTTTGAGCGCAAATAATCCGTCTTAATTGCAAATAAGCTCTTCGTAATCTTTCATTCTTCATTCGCGATGCATTTTATTTTAACGAAATTCACGTTACAATCGTCGCATGATTCATGTTTTACAGATTACCAGTGGAAAAAAATAAGTACAAACGAATAATCTCGCATATGATATTTTTGCAGTCGCGATCGCAAACGCAATTCCGTTCGTTGGATTTGGTTTCCTCGACAATTTCATCATGATCATTGCGGTATGTATTTTTACGGACTCTCTTTGTGATGTGTGCCGACTTACAATACGGCTTGGTCTCTCTTTTTTTCAGGGCGATCAAATCGAGGTGATGTTGAACGCGAAGTTTCCAATCTCGACCATGGCAGCGGCCGCTTTGGGCAACACGGTGTCTGACGTCATTGGAATCGGGTCGGTGCACTATGTTGAAATGTTCGCCCAGAAAGTCGGCTTCGAAGCGCCGAAGTTAACACTGACACAATTGAATCTACCTAGGACGCGGGTTGCCGCGAACGTGGTACGATTGTCTCGTCGCATTTTATGTCGAATTATTACTTAAACGATACTTTAACAATTCATATATTGAATTTAACATATTTACGGATATTTTTTCACCGAATAACATCAACAGCAAGTTTGTGTTAATTCTTTCCGTTGAATATACAGGGCCGAGTCATCGGAGTTACAATCGGATGTCTCATTGGTATGACGCCTATACCGGTAGCCGCGCTTTTCCGATAGTTGAATTATCGAAACAAAAAAGAAGGATAATGGACGTTATGTTTGAGAATTAGGAGATTATAATTCACACGCGAAAGGATCGCAACCGTCCTGCACCTGCAATAAGCACTTCATCACAAACTCCTCTGTGGACTTTTTATCTTCAACTGTCGTAATAACATGACTTATTTTAGTGAATGTATTTAATGTATAAATGTATAGAGCAGAATTTATGTAATGATCATAATGATTATTAATAGCGAGGTTTATCGACGATCAGGGAAACCTTAGTTTGACATAAACCAATAACAACAACATTCTTGTTATAAATATATATATATATATATATATACATATATATATATTACAAATATTCGATACAAGATGAATAATGGAGAAACGCGTCTGTTGGTATCGAACGTTACATAAAAAGTCGATATAAAAATATATATATTATGCATTTTTCACGCGCGTATACATATGCAAATCTAAGTTTTTTTCCGCGAAAGGCTTTATCTAACGGTCGAACCGTCGACTTTGAACTAGAAAATCAATACTATGAATCGACTGGAGAATTTTATGATGTGAATAGTTTAATTCGATCCAGTGTGTCTTCAGCCGATTCAAAATCCAGTATAGCCTTTTCTGCCAGTGCAACACGAAGTCCTCCGTATTCCTTATCCTTTCGTTTTGCGTTGAATTGAACGGAAACTTTGCGCCACTGAAAATCGACCCGGTGTCGTTAAATTTGGTGACCTGACTAGTGAAATTCTTCGAGGAGTACTCTGCGAGCCAAGTCATCGTCGAGTTCAACCACCATTGCCAGTTGACATCGCTGTTGTTGCTGGTGTTGTCAGCGTGCCCAATGACATATTCGTCCGCATTTTGGATTTCCACGCCGATACGGTCTTCATTTTTGTAGTCGCCGAACAACGAACAAGCGGGCATTACATGCTCGTCATTGAACACACAAGATCGCGCATCAATAAGCGGACTCGGCGGAATGTTGCTGCACAACGTAATGTTAGTTTCGTTCAGGTTCACGATCTGCCACGTTCGGACAAACCAAATGCAGCATAAAGTGATCGCCTGAAGGACGAAAGTGCTTCCAAACATAATCAGAAAGCAGATTACATAGGCCGTCAGAGAGATACAGCAGACTAGCATAACGGACCTCGCAACTGTGATCAGTTGGCTGTAACTCATGAGACAGTTCAGTTCGGTATATGAGCACCAGTTTCGTTTCTGTACCTCCCGATAAGCCACCTCCTTCTCTAATTGTCGCAGCCTTTCCCAAAACGTTTCTTGTCGCACAGATACCATCCAATTCTGCAAATAATTTGTGGGTTAATGGAACGTTCTTCGCAAATAAAGATAGGCCAATTTGCAATAGCTAAGCAAGCACGATCAGTATTTATCATAAATAATAAATCTAGATAATATAACGCCGATGCTTTCATATATACATGTATATATTCCAGTCATTTTACTAATTGGCTAATAAGTGCGCCAATAAGCTTCGTAAATTTTTCTTAGTATTGTATGTATATTTAAAAAAATGCAAATAAAAATATCAAATGCCACTTACGACTGCCTTAAGAAACTCCATCTCTAATTTAATTGTTCTAGATAAAGTTAGTCTTCCTGAAATTGCCCATGCTGCGTCTACAACTTCGTCTTCCGAACCATCGTCGTGTAGGTACTTACTGGCCACCATCTAACAATTGTTAATAAAATATTTGAATAAGCAATATGCAATTATATCATTAGTATTAATGATTTATAATTTCAATTTGTACCTTCAAAAAAAGGCAACTATAAAAGTACAACAATTACCAAAGATATCAAGAACAGTTCGGATGGTGCTACTTGCTGAAGGTATTGGGGATTACAGTTTTTCAGTCTTTCGATATACAGCAGAGCCAGCACAAGTGCACAAGGGGAAGCACATATGGCATTAGATATCCTACTTGCTACCTCCACATCAAGTTTTTCTAATTGTTGACCACTTTCTTTTGTGATGAATTCAGCTGTTGATTCTGAAAATGTAAGAAAATGTCTAATCACCAATCCTATTATTTCGCAATGCTTAACCCCTTGACATACAAATTAAATGGAACTTAATGCGACCAAAAAATACTATTTAATTTCGCTCAACTGAACAGTTACGTGAAAGCTGAGAAAGAGTACATTTTATTTTGAAATTTGGATTTTTATTAATCAGATTGATGTTAACAAAGAACATCTAAATAACATTAAAAAATAATAATTTAATAGTTCTGTACAATGGAATATTTCAAAACATTTTGGAACATAAGAAACTAAACATTTTTTGCACTGCCACGTTGTTTGGGACATAAAAGAACTAAACATTTTTTGCCACGTTGTTTGGGACATAAAGGAACTAAACATTTTTTGCACTGCCACGTTGTTTGGGACATAAAAGAACAAAACATTTTTTGCACTGCCACGTTGTTTCGCTTCTTATGTTGTTTTTTACGCGCGGCATCTCTTTGTAGGTAATTTCTTTTTATCAGTCGAGGGAATAGGTTCCGGGAAATGTGCCCAACGTTTGGCCTGTAGCCAAGTCGGGCATTCATTTTACGACGGTCTGCCACGCTTTGAATAGTTAGGAAGAGACAAATTATATAGCATGTCTTCTGCTTATAATGCTTTTTTGTTCTTGGGCCATCTCGAACGTTATAAACAAACGAGAATCGACGCACGAGTGAAGCAACTATGTAATCTAATTGTAAACTGCACGGCGTCCGCCGAAAAAAGCGCTTGACGAGTCAAACTCGTCAAAGTCTACAGTGGCCCATGAAATGAATGACGCGTCAGACTCGTCATTGTATGTCAAGGGGTTAATAAATATACTTAAGTATATCTTTTATGTATTATTACAGAAACACCATATACATAATAATATTTAGATACATGTAGATACATAGTAAATGTATCCACTTATGAATATTTTCGTATATTATACTAGGACATTAACATCTACAGAGTCGCTAGAACAAAACATTGTTATACTAGGACATTAACATCTACAGAGTTGCTAGAACAAAATATTGCTATACATTTTATTGGTGTTGTATCAGGAAAAATAACAGAAGAGCTTCCGACAAAATATAATGGCAGATTATACAGTGGTAGCAACCAAACTGAATTTACTAATTTTTAATTATTTAAAGTGAAATATGATAAATTAGTAGGTTACTGATTCAATTTATCATCAAGTTCATGTCAGCATATTTTGTCAACATAAAACGAACTCACACACAGAATGAGGCCCATGGCACAAATACAAAAGCAAACTGATCAATCATAGTCAATTATTTTATTTATTATTTTCCTTATGATCTAAGAATAATCGATTATAATTGATCAATTTCCTTACTATTTATGTTTTTATGTACACAAATTTATGTCCTTGCAAGACAATGTCTTGTTTTAGCACGCAAATTGAACGATCTTTGTATTTTATAGAGGTAAGCCAAACTGTTCTAAAAGAACTTAAATTAAAAAAAAATAAAAAAAACTAAAAAAACCACAATAAAGAATAGAAAAGAAAAAAAATAAAAAAAAAAAATAAAGGAAGAAACAAAGAGAATAACAAGAATTCTTAGCAGATTTCCCGCCAAGTGGCCAACATGTAAATATTTTAATCAATTTATAAGCTTGAATTTCTTAGAAGCTCAAACCAGTTGATCTATGTATACTAACCTATAACTGGTAAAGACAAGTAGTTATTCACTGGATTTGTGGGATAGTATAATGACTTTTTGATGCGATTCAAGAACTGCGTGCTTCTCAGATCCTGTAATAAAATAAGCTCTAAGTATATCAAGAACTTTCACTCACTAAGGAACGATTTTAAGAGTATGACAGTTAACCTATTCTTCAACACCGATCACTCGAATGTTTTAGTTTCTTCCATCTTAATCTAATATCTTCGATAAAAAATAGTTCTCAAAATGTGATAGGATACATTAAAATATTTGTAAAGCAATGAGTGCTTGATAAAATACCTGTATTTTTGTTGACGTATTCGCAGTATGTTGATTCTTCATCATTGTCGAGTATTCGTAAGTACTAGAAACTTCTATATAAGACTACTGTATGAATACTGTATAGTTTCGAATAAATTACATTGGTGGACGCAATGCAAAAATTTGTAGAAAAACGTCACAACGAATTGTACTATTCTTCGCACGTGTTACGTGCTGGTTAATTTAGGTTAAATGAGATCACAACTCCACACGAACGCTACACACGTTACCTACGAACTATTCTGCAAGGTCTGTTTCACAGTGTCCTGCGACGTCCCCAAAGTCTGCGTACAAAGCCTCGTTCGGAAATACTACACTGATGACATCTGCCTACAGCACGCGGAAATGCTTGCCGCGCGACGGAAGTTCGCCAATCAACATGCAGTTTTGTGGGTAGAAGCCATGGCCATATTCAGCAGAACATTTAATTTGCAACTGTTGGAAGTTTTCTGAGCTGGGATTGGATTATTCTTTTGGATCTACAGGAATAATCCAATGTCAGCGCAAGATACTTTCAATAGTTGCAAACTAAACGTTCTGCTGAACGCGTCCCATATGTCATGATTCTATTGGATAGAACAGCCAGGTAACCAATATATGAGCTTGACCCACTAAATCTAGTTCGGGACGAATCAGTAGCCGCGTAGATTCCTGTAGATCTAAAAGAATTATCCAATCTTAGCTCAGAAAACTTCCAACAGTTGCAAATTAAACGTTCTGCGGAACGTGGCCAGCAGGACTTAGTGTACTACTCGACGAAGCGAAAGTCACGGCTAGGTTCGTTTTATTCCTATATTACGATTATAAATGTTTTGATATAATGTTTTTGTTCGATTATTGAGAAAATATCATATAATTAATATAATCATTAACTATAAAAGGATTAGGTGTTAACACATATAAACAAAAATATCTCCAAAAAAGGCTATACTCAGTAATAATCAACATCGTTAACGGTATATAATATATAATACATAAATCTGAATTAATTATAAATAATATTCATCAAGTTAAGTTTTTTTCATTTTACTCTTACACTCATTACTTATCGATTTGTGCTGATAGTTTAATATGTAATAAAATGACTAAAGAATCTGGAATGACTTAGTCACTTGATATATCAAATATAGTAGAATGTATATAATTTTCTTATAAGAAATAAAAATAATTGAAAATAACTAATAGTTATTGGAAAAGTAGTGATAATGCAACATTTTAAATGAGTTTTTAAATATGTGTTTAAGTTATTTCAGTTCTGTTTTATGAATACAAAGTGTGACTTAAAATTTCAGATAGCGTATGTTGGTTGAGTACGCCTGTGAGAGATAAGATAATTCATGCAATACTGACATTGAGACTTATCTTCGGACAAGAACATCGGTATTATTTCTAGCTATATATTTTGCAAAGTTTCAGCATAGAGTGATTATTGTTTAACAATAAATCATGACACTGCAATTACCATCAACATTGGCTAACTTATTCAAGTATGTTTTAATCTTTATTTTTCAATATAACTTTGTATTATTTAAACATACATATACTCATCGAAAAATATAGATATAAATTTAATAATTAATCCACACTTATTTATAAATGTTTAAATTATGTATAAATTCATTGTACAAATGTTCAGATAACTTTTTTCATTGTCCTTTATTCTTAGCTTTCAATTTTTTTTTATTTTGTACTGGATATTTTTATAGGTATATAGATGATCATGCGCAAGATTATATTAAGAACTTAGGAGAAGCGGTAGCTATTAAATCAGTATCAGCATGGCCGGATCATAGGAATGAGGTAGTGAAAATGATGAAATGGGCAGAAATAAAGTTGAAGAATCTTGAAGCAACCACAGAATTAGTTGACATAGGTAAACAACCTCTTCCTAATGGCACTGAAATCCTACTTCCACCTGTACTACTGGGAACTCTTGGATCTGATCCAAAAAAGAAGACTGTGCTCTTATATGGACATTTGGATGTACAACCTGCATTAAAGGAAGATGGCTGGGACACTGATCCTTTCATTCTCGTTGAGAAGGATGGTAAACTTTTTGGACGAGGTAGTACCGACGATAAAGGGCCAGTTCTTTGTTGGATACATGCATTGGAAGCTTACAAAGCAGTTGGAGAAGATATTCCTGTCAATCTTAAGGTATCTTTTAATGAGATCACGAAGTTTGTATTGTTAAGTATTTCTTAATTAATCTGATATATTTTGTAGTTTGTCTTTGAAGGAATGGAAGAGAGTGGAAGCGAAGGTTTGGACGACCTACTGTGGGCAAAGAAGGATACCTTCTTACGAGATGTAGACTATGTCTGCATATCAGACAATTATTGGCTGGGTACCAAGAAGCCTTGCATTACTTACGGCCTACGAGGTATCTGCTACTTCCAAATGGAAGTCACTTGCGCTGCCAAGGACTTGCACAGTGGTACCTTTGGTGGAACTGTACACGAAGCCATGGCAGATCTGATTTACTTAATGAACAGCCTGGTTGACGTTAATGGGCGTATTTTAGTAGACGATATCTATAACAATGTGGTTAAATTAACTGAAGCGGAATTATCCTCTTATAAGAATATAGATTTCGATGTAGATGAATTCAGGGACACTGTTGGAACTAAGAAGTTAGCGCATAAAGAGGACAAGGTATATGCGAATAAGATCTTTTTTAAGATTCGATTTAAAAGTGGGAAGTTACTGGGGAATTACAGTATTGTCTTATGATTCTAGAAACGTATGCTAGTTTATCCGTTAAACTATTAACAGCTTTATTTGTTTTGATTTTTGTAGATTCAGTTACTGCTTCATCGCTGGAGGCAGCCCTCTTTGTCTCTTCATGGGATCGAGGGTGCTTTCAGTGAACCGGGAGCGAAGACAGTTATCCCAAGGAAGGTTATTGGTAAATTTTCGATCAGAATAGTTCCCGACATGACTCCGGATGAAACAGTCGAGAAGGTAGTTGCGTATGTGAATAAGGTATGGCAAGATAGAGGTAGCCCGAATACCATGAATGTGAGCATGTACCACGGCGGCAAGGCCTGGTCCGAGAATCCTGATCATCCACATTATTTGGCTGGCCGGAAAGCTACTCAACATGTTTATCATGTAGAACCTGATCTTTCTCGCGAAGGTGGCTCGATTCCTGTCACTTTGACATTCCAAGAAGTTACTGGCAAGAATGTATTGCTTTTACCAGTTGGCAGAGGTGATGACGGGGCGCATTCACAAAACGAAAAGTTAAATGTAGATAACTACATTCAAGGGGTAAGTGCAGTTTAAATTATACGAAGTGTAAATTTCAGAGCGTTACAAACTAATATCTTTATATTTAATAGTACGAGATGAGACGAGAGGAGATGAGATTTTTATGATTTTCGAGATATTAGCCTGTATATATAATGTTAAATATAATGTTCTCGAATTTACAGTCTATATAGCAGACATTAAAAAATCTGTTGACTTTATACGTTTTCGTTGTAATGTAATTTATCTTGGTATAATTTACAGACAAAGTTACTTGGAGCTTATCTTTACGAGGTAGCTCAATTATAATACGTCATCAGTATTTATCCATCAGGGATTCAGTGGTATGTTGGGCTTTCTATTGTTACAAGTTTATTCTGTTTTATGGTGACAAGATCAACTATTCATATGTAAGCACTGCATTTTAATTTTTAAAACAAGTCTTATTGAAGTTTAACAATCTTTACTTTTATATAGACTATAAAATATAATATTCCGATTGAAAAAGGTTTCTTCTTAAATAAAATTCTTATAGCCGAGTACAATTTGTTCTCAATTTTATTTCTTTATAATCTTACAAAAATATTGACATGTATTTACATATGTATCTACATACAAATAATAAAAATATATTTTTGGTAAAGTAGACAAGTATTTTTTCTAAAGACAAAACCGGTCCTTGTGTGAAATGTCATCTCCCACATATTCTTATTTTTTTATTAATTTCAATACCCAAGCTGGCTGATTTTGATGTGCCTTAATAGGTAAATATATCGCCAATTTATTATCAATTTGTTCCCACTAAAAATTTAGATATGAAATTATCTTATCATCTTAACACAATTCGATAAGAGCAACAAAATATTTACATTGATTGTCGATGGATAGCCAAGTAAATATATTGGAGAGTTTCCTGTTATTTTAAGTGAACCTAGATACAGTATATCATCATCTGGCCATTGTAGAATCGAAGCATAAAGTTGTTGCTCATCTTTACTTTGTGTGTACCAAACATTGCCTGTTAAAGTATCATTTTGCACAGACCAAGGTTTAGTATTATAAATAGCCTCTCCATTAACCGTTAGCCAAGCACCTGTAAACATGCTTATCTATACATTTTTTTATCAACATTATCGAAAAATCATTATCTATATTAATCTAATAAAAATATAGATATGAGACAAGTACATACCCATCCCACGTAATCTTTCTTCATATATTGGCGAAATAATACCATCTTTTGTCGGTCCAATGTTCATCAATAAGTTTCCACCGCAACTTACAGTAGTTACCAATTCTGCCACTAATCCCTCCAATGTATAGTATTCCGCCAAAACGGCATTTCTACGATATCCCCAAGACTTTTTGTCAATAGTCATACAATTCTCCCACTTGTGATTTTGAAGCACACCTAGTACACAGAATTATTAATTTAAAAGGCAGAATTGATACTTTGAGAATTTGTTTGATCAATTTGCACTTAACAATATCTATTGCATATAGTGATAATTTTTCATCACTTACCAGGATTAAAACGATCTGTACATGTGTAGAAGCCACCATGATGACATGGAATGTTGCTACCCCATCTATCATTCACCACCACTGTATCTTTCACCGGGCTTTCATTGTACAACCATGCTAAGAATTCCTTCGATTTCCAGTAAGAATCTGATGCTTCCCAATCGCCATCCGACCATACTACCTCTGGTTTATATGTTTCTATTAACTCTCGTAATTCTGGTATTATTTTCTGAGTTACAAATGTATCTGTTGCAAATTTGTTCTGCTTATCCGTCAGGTAAAGAGGATTATACCATTCGTACATGGAATGGTACAGGCCAAATTTGATGTCAGTTGTGCTTTTGATAGCTTGTGCCAGTTCACCTAAGTTCAATGAAATGAGTGTGTAAGAATTTATATTCTTGATATTGTTCTGAATGCACATGTATTACCAATAAGATCCTTTCGAGGTCCTACGTCCATAGCATTCCAGCTGAATGAGTACCTTGATGGCCACAATGTATATCCTTCATGATGTTTGCTAGTTAATACAATATACTTTGCACCTGATGCTTGGAATATTTCACTCCACTGGGTAGCGTTGAAAAATTCAGCAGTGAAGTCACGTGCAAAGTCTTGATAGGTAAAGTTTGGAGGGTATCTTTCTTTCATAAAGTCACGATATTTTGTATCTATAATTTCCTCTGTAATATCATGTGCAAAGTTACATTAGTATTCTATTGATATATTTCTTTAAATACAAAAATACTATAGCAATGATTAACCTTTCCAATTGTTCCAAAACCATTCAGAACCAAAGCTGGGTACACTGAATATACCCCAGTGAATGAAAATTCCCAATTTTGCTTCATCGTACCAAGATGGAAGTGGTCGATTGTCTAGACTGTCCCAAGTCGGCAGGTATTTTACAAAGTTCGTCGAAAGTGGCGGAAAATTAATCTGATTATTTTCGTAATCGTTTTTAGTTATCACGACGTATTCGTCATCCGCCAATGCGCCTAAGATCAATAAAGCACACAAAATGTGTACAAACAGCATCATTCTGGTCAGCGTCTTTCAGCGTCAGCAGGAATCGTACTGAAAGCTGTGCCTGTCCAACACATCTTTTATTCTCATCTGATGCGTCAAATCCCGCCAGCGAAGCTCTTATTTTATATAATATTGGGATCACTACATCTTGAGATTAGATTAAATCAGTGTCGCGTATTTTTTTAACGGTGGCCGGAATCCATGATCGAAATGAAGCAATGTTTAATTTCTGGACACTGGCCTTTAGAGATGGTACGTTCAATATATATATCAATTACACTGTAAGGATGCGTTCAGGGAGACGCTATTAGCGCTATTTAGCATTAAATGCTGTTCGCGAAGCTAGAAAGATAGTACTAACAAACACAATCATGACGCCATTAGTGGTAATGTTTTATGTCATAACTTTGCACTACAAACGCCATTCCTTCCGAAGTAATGTAATGGTAGCGTTAGTGTTTGCAAGCTCTGTAAACATCCAGAACTGCATAACATTATATGTTATAGCTCCTGCACATGAATATCGCCAGCGATATGAGTATATCGTATTCATTATTCCCGTACGTATACTATTATTCCCGTACGTAATGAATAGTTGCGTGGAAATAAAGCTTCTACATGTTGAAACTGAAGACTGCAACCGGAGGGACAGCCGCGAAAGGGAACGCGGCTGACCGCGAGGAAGGAAGACAAACTAGGACCCGGAACTGAGGAGAAATCAAGAATTTTATGTTCACGCGTACAACAGTTTATTTTAATTTTAGTTTAAAACAATTTTATTTTTTATTTTCAACAGCTATTCGTTATATTATGGTCACAATGGTCTTTATTTTTTATGTTACGAGTGTATCTTTATATAATTTTACGTTTTATTAAAAAGTATAACCAGAAGAAGCGCTTGCAAAACTGCAAAAGAAAAAGAAGAGTTATTTTTTCGATAACACCGCCAAGAGAATTAACATGATTAGTTTATAAAAAATCCAAAGTCATTTTCAAATAAAAACCGGAATTAGAGGACTTCCGGCCGGTAATATCACGGATCCCAGCCGACATAGAAATAAGGTTAGGCCATCCCAACGACTGGCTCCAGTCGGTTAGAAAGTAAGGTTAGGAGAATTAGGTTAATTCAACCGACTGATAGCGACGACAGCGCTGTCGAGGAGGGAATCCCCCCGCGCACACATTACTATACGGCACCTCTGGGGAGACTTGGCCGGTCCAGCTTCCTAGGCCAAGAGTTTGGGCAGAACTCGAAAAACGCCCTGGCGACCGTATATGGACAGCAGGATCCGTGGAGAAGTCAACCTCTAGATGTTTTGTGCGGTTCGGACGGTTTAACATCGACTTTATCTACTTGTTTAGTGACACTCGGTCACAAGACAAGCTTCTAAAAAAATGTTTAATTTAACTCGAAGAAGAATAAAAAAGAAAGAATAGAAAAAGATGTAAAATGACGAGATGTAAAAATGCAGTTATTGGTTTGTTCTTTTTAATAGCACTGTTGAACTGATGTAATAAGTTTGAGTGAGACAAAAATATACTTGTCTTATTCTAACTTATTGATCCAGTTCAGCAGGGCACCTAAAAAGAACAGACCAAATGCTAACGCTAATTGGGTAATTGAGACGATTTGATTGGCTGACGCAAGTTACGTTACATGGGGAGGCAGCCTTAGTCATGCGTCTTCGTTGCTCGGCTTTTGTTTGCCATAAAAACAAGATCTTACGAATTTAAAATAAGGCGAAGATAGGAGACGGTTCTTTACCAGACGAACGTTTACCGGCGTTTTCAAGTGGGATCTTGGCAGCTGCGTATATCAGAAGTAACAGGATTTGGAGCTGTCAAAGAACTGTGTGATTCAATATGGCTTGGGTACCTTTAGAATCAAATCCAGAGGTGAGCGATTTCCCAGCTAAGTCGCAATACGTGTATTATTCGATCATCGATTGAATCATGGTCTCTGTTTTAGGTTATGACGAAGGTGAGCGGGCAACTTTTAATCAATCAATCTTGTCTCAATGACGCCAACAGCGCTATGTATACTATGGTTTATTAATTATTAATTAACGATATGTTTTTTACGAAAAGGAGAAGAAATATCCGCGCAAATTTTTTCGTCGTACCTTCTGGATACGAAAAGGTTCAATGTCTTTGATATATATTTTTGTAGTTCCTCCACAAGTTGGGCGTTCCAAAGAAATGGTCGATCATAGATGTATACGGTTTAGATCCGGAATTATTGGCGATCATCCCTAAACCAGTCTTGTCTGTTATTTTGCTTTATCCTGTCACTATAAAGGTATATGTATATACATTTATGTATATTTTATACTATCAAATACTAAAGGTATCCTATCAGATACTAAACTCATTAAATACTATAATCAACATTCATCTTTTATTCTCAGAATGAAAAGACTGAAGAAGAGGAGGAATCAGCTAAAGATAAAAGTGACACCCCGGATATTGTTTATCATATGAAGCAATATGTCTCGAATGCTTGTGGAACAATTGCATTAGTTCATAGTGTAGCTAATAATTTGGATGTGTAAGTATTTATGTTTGTGTGTAATAATAAATTCTGATGAGCAATATATCTACGGTCTTTTCTATATTGATAGACAATGTGTATAATTATTCTTATTTTTTTATCAATATCAGTTTACAGTTAGAGGACGGTTTTCTCAAGACATTTTTGGATGAGACCAAAGGACTACCATCTTCTGAACGTGGAGAACGTTTAATAAATGCACAAGGCATCATTGATACTCACATGGAGTCTGCCCAAGAAGGACAAACTGAGGTAGTTTCATACCTCATAATCAAGATTTATTTAAATCATGATTTGAAAATTATGTACATATATTTCTTTTTCCTATGTAGGCACCTGGTGAAGATATGGAAGTATACCACCATTTCATTGCATTTGTACATAAGGATGGCTCCCTGTATGAACTAGGTATATGCGTTAAATACATATTGTTTTATGCAAAGGCATGATTAAGTATTACTATGGGAAACTTGTGATTTTTAGACGGTCGAAAACCTATCCCTATCAATCACGGTTCGACCTCATTGGAAACGCTGCTGGAGGATGCCGCTCGTGTCTGCAAGGATTACATGGCGCGTGATCCCGAGGAAGTGCGTTTTACGGTGGTCGCGCTCGCTGCCACAGAATAGACGACGCTCTTGTCCCGAGTGCATTTGCCTCTAAAGCTAACTTAAGTTCGATTAATTTATTTCGTATATGGACCTCATACATTTTGCGCTTCGGCAACGCATTTATTTCGTTCAATTGTAGCTTTTCTATGCAATATGTGGCATATTGAGAGAGATTGATGTTTAGAAATGATAAAAAATGAAAGAATATTCAAAAGAAGCTTACACGCGCAGTTATTCATTGCAGAAGTTTGTTTTTATTTAACGAATCCTACGACTTACCAGATCCTCAATCTGTCGCATAGATTTTACAGCTTTAGAGCTTAATAGAGCCGAAAATATAAACGGCAATTTGGCGACGAACTCAATGCAGATTGCCATTAATTGCAGTTGCATTAACCTCGAATATCGTTGGCAGAATTTTCAGACGTGATATACGACAACGAATTGGCGACAAAACCGAATAGATCAGCCTTGTTGACATCGTCGAATATGGCATGCGTACGCCCGTATCCAAATTCGTCGTTCTTTTGCCGACAATACTCGAAGTAGACGATTTACGAAACCTGCTCTAGAGGAGCTCGTCTGTGCGGGGATATTTTCGAACACTGAAAGAGGCAGGAAAAATAGAAAACTGAGTGACGCGAGATGCTGTCGAGAGACAACAAACTACAGAATATGCATTGATTAAAGTCCTCGTGCTTTACATAACCAGACGAGCGCGTGCCAGAGCGAGTTTTAGTCTGCGCGCGAGTCTGAATCGACGATAAATCGATATCAGGTTTGATACGCATTGTTACTCCCCTCACAAAAATATTCCAACGTTTTTCTTCCAACTTCTCATGTCATGTAGCCCATTTTGACCCATTTTAACCCGTTCTTCGTATCATTTTTATGTTCACTTAATGCACTCTTAGAGACGCGCAGTCTGTTAAGCAAAGGAATATGATGAGTACACGCTAGTATGCATGAGTTTTTGAGCAGATCGACCGTTTTAAATACTCATTCTCCAACCGATGAATGACGGCGTGTTAATACGTTCTTCTTATATTTAGCTTCGTTTCAATATGTTAAAGTGTCGTCCATTTACTCGTGCTATTTCAAGATGTACAATGTGAATGTTTGTGTTAAACAAGTAATTTGTACTCGTAGCTAGTGATGTGATATTACTGACATAATACTGGTATCGACATTTTTTTTTCAATATCGGCTAGTTTTGCATCGATATTCTCTCGATATTTCGATATTGTTTTTTTTTTATTTTTTACTCAGTTGATTTTCTAGATATTATGTATTTTTGCTTCATGAAAATTAGTGTAACATGCAATTTACGTTTTAAACCTATCTTCTTTCATGATTTCTATTACGTTAAGTTTGCAGTTATTTATTGATTGCTGAAATGAAATAAAATAATCCGGACATTTTTATAAGTATGCGGAGTCAATCACGAATGTCATTCTATGCGTATATTGTTTTATTTCCATATATACTGACATAAACTGACGCTTCTGATGTCATCAAATAAGGACAGTCATAGCGAGAACAGAGGGTCTTAAGGCTCTGGAATAGTCGCTGTGACTGTCCTCGTTTAATAACGTCAGAAGTGAGAGAACATATTCCATGATTTTTTGTGTTATATTTTCAAATAAAAAGTTGTATCTACAAAATGATATTTTTGATCGATTCAGCAAACTTGTAAAATTGGACAAACACTTTTCTTTTATTCGAACAATCAATGAATAATCGTAAAAATAATATTAACAAAATCATAAGAAAAAAGGTTCAAAAAGAAGGTTCTATGTCAAGTTGATTTTACGACTATTTATTGATTGTTCGAGTAAAAGAAAAGTGTTCGTCCAATTTTACAAATACTCATAATAATACGTTAATATCATTTTGATATATTCGTAATCCGCTATAATTATTCATTATTCATTGGAAAATGCCCCTTTCCGATGTCAAAACAGGGTCATACTCTCTCAACCGAACGCACGCTTTCATTACTTTAACAGTTTACGCGGGCTAAAAACAATGAAATATATCTTTAAGGATCGGTAATATTCGTTTTTGACGATGAGTACTTCATTTATAGGGTGTATAGGACAAAACGAATTTTGTATCTTGAAGAAACATTCGCTTGTCAATATTCAGTCTCTAATCAAAAGACTGCGAAGGTGAAACGATAATAAATGTATCAGTACGATTTAATTGTTTTTAAATAAATTTATTATATGTTTTCTTTCTCTTCGGGATGTGATTCAACCAGCTTTTTTGTTGCCGTACGAGAGCATAATTGTGTAAGTGTTCGTTATGTGTACATATGTAGGCACACGATGTATATAACGAACACGTGGCGGCATGTATTGTCAGAAACCGCAAAACGCGCTGGTTACTGACCAGCCAGCACGATCGTTCAGCTATTTTGGATCCTTTTCCGAGATTACGCATCTTGGCATGACTCTCCAAATATTACGGCTTTAAAATATAAAATAAAATAAAATTCCAGAGCAGAAGTTCATGAAGTTGGTTGTTTACTGTGCATGGAGCGTTACGTAATGCCGTCTCGTTTCAAAGCATTACACGGAACGTTATCCCTAATAAATCGGTACCGAGTTTTCTAGCTTCTGGATCACTCCCATTGTTTTTAAACGTTTGCTAACGGTTGATTTATCAACATTTAGTGTTTCCGACAACTCTTTAAGCGTCTGATATGAATCTTCTTCCAACAATGCCTCCAGTTCTCCATCTTCAAACTTTTTCGGCTGACCAGGGCGCTCTTTGTCATTCATGTCAAAATCGTTGTCTTTGAATCGTCTCAACCAATCTCTGCAAAATGTTTTAGATAGAGCATACTCCCCATAAGCCTCCACTAGCAAACGATGATTTTCAGCAGCAGATTTCTTGAGATGGAAACAAAAAAGTAATGCTTCCCATAAATCTTTTTTGTTTGCTAAACAAAACGAATTCCTTATCCAAATTGGACGAACAAAACCCGACATCTTGAATGCAACAAAAAATTGTATTCTTTGCATTACAATCTTATGTCACACATTGATTATTAAAGCCTATTGACAGTACTTTCATATATATCGTATATTTTCATATATATCAACTGTCACTTTCGGTCATGTTGAAATAGCACAACTACTGTCCTCTATTAGTCAACAGCGAGAATTAATTCAAACACCTAATAGAATTCCAGGGGCATCTAACATGATGTGAATTGGTTATTACAAGAGTACGCAATGACATATAAGAGCTCGCTGTCATGTCTGGAGATATTATAAGATCATTGAAAGCAATAATTCAGATATGATATATGCTTGCTTTCAATAATATAGAATGCCAAAAATTGATTATTGCAATAATATGTAATGACATATAAAAGCTTACTGTCATATATGGAAATATTATAAGACTATTTAAAATAGAAGTAGTAATTCAGATATGAAATCTGCTTGCTTTCAATAATATTCATTACCATATCATTTTGTTTAACGTGAACTATTTATTATAACAATGTATTATGTCACAAAAGACCTCGCTGTGATATATAATATATTTGTAAAATCACAGCGATGTATAATATATGTGCTATGATATATAACGTATTTGTGAAATCACAGCAAAAATATTTATTTACCTAGTTTAAAATTAATCCGTGATGAAGATAAAAACAAAGTCTGCATGTGGTACTTATTTTAATGCAAGTACCATCGTAAATCAATTTTATTTAACACTACGTAAGAAGACAAAATATTGCACAATAATATATTCATTAATTATACAACATACATATATGGACAGAGTAACGGAATAATAATCATTGCAATAAAATAATAGTTGTCACTGTATAGAGATATAAGTAAATTTCCAATAGATATTGAAACGTTGGATGAGCTTGCTAAATTAAATTATAACGTGTTGTATCACTTGGGACACGGCTCCGTGTCATTTACGACACTCCGGTAATTCTCCCAGACGTTCCACACATTGAAACAGACAGTTCCCCCACCTCGTATGTACTGGGTGTCCTACAAAACAAAACAAAAGCGTAAACACAATTGACCGCAATTACGTTGATCGAATGTTTGATACGAATGATGATTGTACGCAACAGTTATATCATTTCCAAGATACCGTACTATTTCGCGCGGCGGTCGAAGATTACCGAAACTATCGAAATATATCGCTCTGTTGTCTCTTTTCGCATAGGCAACCCAGTGTGTACCCGGATTAATCGCATGATCAAGATTCACAATTACACTTTCACATCGACGCGCTCGCGACGGTAATGCGTCACGCATAAATACACCGCGGAAAAACGGAATGCGCATACGACGTGCTGCACGATCTAATTGTTCACTTGTCGCATCGGACAATGATACATTAAGCGTGATTAACGTTTTATTCCATGAAATTTTTTTTTTCCAACGCATCCGCTACCGCGTTTATATGGCGCCAAATAACGACCTTCCATCGCACGATTATGACGTTGTAATTCTTCCAACTGACGAAGAGCGGCTTTTCGCTCGTTTACGACTTTTGCTACACCAGCGGCACCACCGATCATTGAACCGAGCGCACCGAGTATCGGTAATAAAGGTAACAAGCCGCCGCGTTTCGCTATCGGAAGTATTCTCTTTTTCGTATTTTTCCTCTTCCTTTTCATCTCATGATTGCCCATACAACAGCTGCGACAATCTTTTCGTCGTTTTAAACGGAGGAATAAGTATTCGATACGAGCAGCGCGCGCGCGCGCGTGCGGCAATCGTTGAGTCTGCCACTTTTGCGAATGAACAATATCGTGATCACGATACACACACACCGCATCCAATGGAGATTCTTATCTTGCTCACCATGCGCGCGTCAGATAATTGGCATGCCTTTTCGTTTTTTCCGTACCGTTCCACAAACGTTAGTTACATTTCTATGTAAAAGGATAATAAGTGCTGGATTTACATACCAATTTACTACGTATAATGTATGGCCTTTGCCTAAATAAGGTTTCAATAATTCCATGACTATATTTCCTGATTTTCCGATAAATTCATTTTCGCAGCTTACAGCAGTCAATGATCCATTATAAATAATGAAATCTTGCACAAATCCAGATGGGGTATCACACAAAATAAACGATTTGATCCCAAATCTGTTTCTTTTGGAAGGAATGTACTGTTTGAACGATAGTCTTCTTTTATAAAGGAGTGAACTTTCGTCAATACATAGATTTTCAAAAGGATGAAATGCCTTCTGAAAACTTTGTCGGAACTTATCGCAAATTTCTCTTATTTTAAATAAATTGTCAAAATCTGCGGTTATATTGTTCGTATTAAAATGTAAGATTTTTAACAAATATAAAAATTGATCCCTACTCATGACTTCTTCAAAAATGCTGCTCTTCAAAAATTTATCGTTAGACCAGTATTCAGAATATGATAGTTTTTTTATTTTGCGACATTAATAATGATCCTTCTGGTCTCTGACCTGCATCGCCGGCATACAGGTACGTTTGGAACTCGCGATTGCGAGTGCGGTTGTTGCGTTCTCTTCCAAGACATAACATATTCATGCCCCACGCTTAATCGATATTCTTCACTTTTCTTAAGATGTTGCTAACTTTATAGTTATTATAGAAAAAAAGGATAATTTGTCCGTGCATCTTCAAACTTAAAATCAAATAAAATAATTGGCGATCAATTATTCATATGACTTCCGCGCGAAAATTCATACATGGCACTAGAGACCATGCATTGCTTGCTAAACCTTATGGAATTGGTTTTTTTTTTTTAATAAGAGTGCGAACTGTATATAATTTCTGCGTTTTAAAAAAAGAAATATCTTATATATAATTAAAAAATTTTACGTATTTTATCATTATTATAAGCTACCCTTTCCTTGATCCTTCTTTAAAGTAAAACTTCTTGAACTTCTTGAAAAAGTTATAGCAATAAATAAATACGAAAAAATAGTCGAGTGACAATGTGAGAAATATTTAAAAAAAGATATAGTATAATGGCGGGGAAATGCTTTCGTGCTACCTATTGGGACAGACGGTTGTGACGTCACTGGCGTATAGTGAGAGATGGAGATAGAGCGCTAATAGTACATACCTATTTTTTTATCACGATTGACGATATATATATTTCTAAAGATTACAAGTACAATTATTAAAGATTATGCTACAATTATAAGTATAATAACAATTTAAAGAGATATAACTGACACAAAATTCTAAAAGACAAACTCACCGCGCGGTTGATATCGCCGATGCAAGTCCAAGTCTGATTAGTTTTATTCTCGACAGCTACTGCCCATTTAGAGTGATCATGGCTACTTTTGAAACCGATGTGAAATTCACTCAAACTGATGGATAAAATGTTGTACACTCTGCAGAAAAGTGAAGAAAGTTAAGAGAGTTAAAGATTAAGCAAGTGAAAGTTAAAGTTAAGAGAAATTAAATTTAAAATCATATTATAATAATGTAAAAAAATATCATCTATCTTTTAATAACAGATTTATGATATGGAAAAATGTTGATCATCTGGATAATCATAAACTTTTGAAATACCTAAATATTAGATGTACAAATTAATTCGGTGCTATTTTTTATGAAATTAAAAGTTTACTTACAAAAAGTCAAGTACAAGTTTAATACCGGTGACTCGTGACCGGTCACGAGTTAACTCGTGTCTTCCTGCTCAAACGTTGCTGACCGGCCACGAGTAAACTCGTGATCGATGCAAGATACAATTGCGCGATCGAAACAAGATACATTCCTGTTGTGTAGCATTTCACGTAGGTGATTGCTACACCGTTTATCATACCAAAAAGAAATATTAAAAGTTAAATATTAAATAAAATTTATTGAAGTTTATTTATATTATTTCATTTCCACATCCAATTACGAAATAATAGCCGATGACATGAGATAAATTCTAAGTAAATTTGCCGGTCAACAATGTGTCAAAAAAGTACTAGGAATTTTGGTTTAAAATTGCTTTTTAAATAAAAATGTTATGATAATTATTAAAAACAATTTTTTTAATAATACCTGAAATGCATCCTATTTTACAATTTTTAAAAAACTCGTAAAAATTTATTTTCAAGTAAAAAACGTAATGATAATTATTAAAAAACATAACTTTTTTTTCAATAATACCTAAAATGCACTTTCAAATCACCATAGGACGGGGAAAAAATTTAAATTTGAACCAGAGTTACAAAACATTAAATGTAAAGGCACCGAATTAATTTGCACACCTAATATGTTGTTATAAGAGTATTTAATATAAATGAAGGAAGAAAACGTGACATTACTTTGTACCTGCGCAGTCCGATGGCAGTCTACCTCGACCGTTTAACCATGTTTCGGTGAATAAATCAGAGTTTAAAGTTGGCGCAACAAAATCATCGTACAACTCTGCAAAACAACATAAAACGTTATTTTTGAAGTAGTCAAATTTACCAAAGCATTTTGCGCAACGTCTACTATAAATTTTATCGGTTGCTTTGTATATATACAGTGCATTACAAAAGTGCCGGAACTGAATGTTTCCGGATGCACTAATGGCGTCATTTATGTTTCACTTCAGTAGAACTAGTTAATATAAAGCTTTATGAGTCTTCTACATTTTTTGCGCCGCCATCCAGTAAGCAGTTTATGTAGAATGCACGTTTCAAGTTTTAAGTTTCAAGTTTTAAGATGGTATGCGCCGAAAAGTTATCTTCTAACCGTTCTTATAATATATTTTTCACTATTATATCGCATGTATAATACTGCAATCTTTTCTTGACTTTGACGTTTTCACATTAATGCATGAGCATGTCTCATATCTTCAAGATGTGATTCTATCCATATTTCTGGCAAAGTGTGGATTTCCTCTTTGCTACGTTTTACATTGGAAAATGCTGCTTGTTTCATTTATCTACTGTGGTTTTCACTGAGAGTTTGTTTACATTATAATTGTAAGAGGATACCGATTCCACGTCACATTCGACAAGAAATGACTGTTGAAATTGGTCGTAATTATTTTCACATAAAATACACATACACTGAGAAAAATTGCTTTGTTTTAAATATAAAGAGACAATTTGTTTTGTAACAATAGTTTACATTGCAAGAAGTTGTAAATTCCAATTGTTTCGAGCAACTGCTTGATAATTTGTTTTATTACATAGAATAGGGTCTATTTGATATATTATTTTATATCTATCTTATATATTATTAATTAGACTAGGCATGCTCGCGTCACTGATTGACAGGTAAAGTAGCGCATTCATTTATTCGGAAACCTTATCGAGGAGGAATATACAGTATATGAGTAGTACATTGTTGAATAAACATCGTACTGTTCATCAATTCTGCAAACAACATATATTTCGAACGAATACACTGTTACGTCCTGGAAGAGGACGAACGCAACAAAATGCGCTTACTCGCGCATTCACGAGTCCTAAACGTATTGGTAGGTCTGCAGATCAGGTCAAGGTAGGTGGTCCTTTATTTAGGTCAAAGAACTTAATCTCTTTACCTGAGATAGGACTATATGGTAGAGATCACTCTCCTCAGTAACCTTTCGAAGGTTTTACCCGTCGCTCACTGTCCATTAAAAAGATATTAACAAAAGAACGGAAATACATTACATGCATCCACCCACATCGACCCGTGCGTAAAAGTCTTTCCGCTGGACCACTAATTAGAAATTCTGTTTATAAACGGGCAGGCTCCGATAGTTTGCATAAGTGATTGGCTAATTTAATATAAAATTTTCTAATTGATGGTCCAGCGGAAAAACTTACGCACCGATGTCGATGTGGGTGGATGCGTGTAACGTATTTACATTTTTTGTTAATATCTTTTTAATGGACAGTGGGTGACGGGTAAAACCTTCGGAAGGTTACTCGGGAGGGTGATCTTTACTATATATGTCAAGGTCATATACTATATGAAGCATTTATATACATAGGATAAGTCTAATTCGTACTTTTTCTAAACTTCTTTCGTTAATAACTTTTTAATGCACAATGAGCGACGCATAAAACTTTTTGATTACTCAGGACCATTTTCTTGACATATGTGAAGGTCAAGGTCATTGGAGCTGCATTTCTTCTATAATGTATAATTACTACATATAAAAGACTTTTTATAACCCTTACCAAATATATATGAAACTACCCTTGAAAAACGTCTAGATCCTTTAAAAAATTCTTAAAAATATCCTTTTTTAGTCCTTACCGTAGCATTTCCCTTTAATGCGAATGAAATAAAATTTGGGTGATAAGTGATATATAGAAATATTTTTCTTTATAGAAATAATTAAAATTACAAAAATTATGTCAAAATTACCTTTTTGCCATTTATCGCTTTTAGCGAACGACCAGAATTGTACGGAACCAGATGATCTTAATAGTACTTGATTAGCGAAGGGTGGATGTTTGATCCTTTTCTGTCTGGCAGCGTCTGCGAGTGTCGGAAATAATCTGTCGTATTCGTCGGGAATATTTTTTTTGAACACTGTTACTTGATTGTATATTAGCTGTTCACCAATCAGATCAAATTGATCGGAGTCCATGGAGATGCACAGAAAACTCTGTCCGTAATTCTTACCGGATGATGGATAATCATACTCGGATCTATTTCCCGGAGTAGAAGCCGAATCCTCGTCCACTTTTTCCTAAGAATGTTTTAAGGGATCAGTAACAGTTCAAAAAAATCGAATTTTTTTCATTTGCACTTTTCATAATATTAAATAATTTTAAAAATATGAAATATTTTAATAAAATTCCTGAAAAGTACTGTGATATGAAACTTTGAAATACACAGTATACGGCATGGAAATATGATTGTCGTTGCACGCGTCCCATAAACGGATTCAATGTAAATATTCTTACGATCGGCTTAAGTTTTGAAAAGTAAGAATAGTAAACTCAGAAGCAAATGGAGTGCACACTTAGAACAGTAATGAAAGTTACAATTCCATTGTTTGGATGTTTTGCTTCTAAACATAACATATATATTGAAGTTTAAAAATAATCAAAATAGCTGCGTAAATGACAGCTGCCATTTGTAACGATGAATACCATTCCGTCTTACAATGTTCCACATAATGGGAATAACAATCGGCTGTAATGTTAGACATTCACTAACAACAAAGATAAGCAATAGTCGTGAACCTGCGCATATCCCGAGTTATTAAAAAAACAAGAAAACTGGAATTAACTACTCAAAATGAATTATATGAAGAAGCTGAGGATTTAATGTATAGAGAAAAAATTGCAATTCAACATAAATTGCAAAATTTTAATGTTATATCTCAATCTATTCAATACATTTAATTGCAGCTATATAACTTCAAATGTGACAATAACTTTACATTGATATTATAATTTCGTACTGAACAATGTAATTGCAATATAGCACATGTATATGTAGTAATAAAGAAATATGTATGTAATAGTTACGTTAAGGGAATATAACTGTTACGTACATATTTCTATATTACTACGTGTACATGTGCTATAATGCAGTTACATTGTAGAGTACGAAATTATAAATCAACGAAAAATACATTTGAAGTTTTATAGCTGCCATTAAATGTAACGCAATTAACACATATAAAGTAATATCTGTAAAATAGATCTAGAATTTTCCTTATTTTTAAAAATTCATTATATTCATCGAAAATAATATTATATTAATATATAATATTAAATATAATGTGTTGCAAGAAAAATCTAGTATTGATGTTAACAGCTATGAAATATTTAAAACTTTTGCATACATACTTTTATTGTATTTTCTCCACAGTTGGGTGTAGGCGGATAATTTGGGACACTATGTATTAGCCAAAAACCCAACCGCTTGTTCGCTACTATGACGCCCTTCGCGTGGCCGTATTTTGTATTGATTGGTCTATCAGGCGGATGGTCATTATATAATGTCCAGAAAATATTCGCTGCTTTAGACTGCAAATATATAATCGTGTAAATAACTCACTTAAATCTTGAAAAACATCGATTGAACACTTTATAATACCGTATTCCTCAAAAAGGAGACTTTCCAAAGTAGATAAATTAGAAAACTTTTCATATATTTTCTAATAAACAATTTATAAGAGTTTAATTAATTCAAACTAACAAACTATCGATAGATTTACGTAGATAATACAATATAAATGTATATAAGAGATTTAAAAATTAAATTTTCCTTTATTCCTTTGCAAAGATAAAACAATCGTCAGAAAATTTAATTTTGACGGAGCTAACTTACTCGATAAGTGAAGAGAAAATAAATAAAACATATTTGTTAATAATATACAGGGTGTCTCATTTTAAAAGACTCATTGAAATATCTTTTTAGAAAAGTGTTTTAGAGAAAAACGTTTTAAACAAAAGTTGATCTTCAAATGATCTTGAAAAAGGACATCCATGACAAAGGCAAGGTCATCATTATCGGATGTCTTCTTCTGAATCCTACAAGTTTTGTTTAAAATGTTTTATTCTAAAACGCCTTTTTAAAAAGATATTTCAATTGGTCTTTTAAAATGGGACACTCTGTTATATATTTTGTTATCCTTACTTCGTTATACAAAGGTGCTAATGTATTTCCTGGAATAGAATTCTTTGCACTAATTTTTTTTAAAGATAACTGCCAACCTTTATCAACGGTGTTGCTAGTCATATATAGATAAGATAATCCATATCTAATTACAGGATTGCTGCTTTCAGGCATTTTCGGTAATTTATAGAGTACATACCTGAAATTACATAATAATGAGGATAATCATAATAATTATGATATTTTAAATGTCAATAATAATAATCTCAGATAATACTCCAAAGTAAAAATGACGAAAAGATGTTTTTTTAGTAGTCGTCTTTATAACTACCGTAGACTGGGGTTACTTTATAACAAGTGGGGTAACTTTAGGACAATCACTTTTTTGAATGGATTTAAAGTCAATGCCACTGTCATTTCAATGATATATAAACAATTGTCATAAATTCTAATGCTCTTACTGTGCTACCACGTAGTGTCAAGGCCCAGAAGCTTTGTTCGTTTTCCCGCATTTTAAGCAGACATTTTTAGTTAGGATGTGCTTTGTTTGATCACCACATTCTCCAGAAACTATCATTCGTTGAGAAAACTCTACAGTTTCTATTGAAAACAAAGGTAAATATTTTGAAATAAATTATCATTATCTATTATAATCCAGTGTTTGATAATATTTAAAAATAATTATTTGGTTATAAAAAATACTTTATTGAAAAATGTTATATATAAGGGGCAACTTTGGGACTGTCCCAGAGTTACCCTAAATGTTATTGTTCAGCTAAAAAGTCTATTTTTTTTTCTTTTAGGTTTATGATACAATAGGACGGATTTACAAACGTACCCTTGGGACGAGGGCGTATAAAAATTATACAGAGGAAACGAGCATCCTTTCACTCCTCTGAAATCAATCGATAGATTACAACACGACTTAAAACATTTATCTGAGGGAACGTTTGTTTCAATAAATTATGAAGGTGTTCTTTATCCAGGACTGATAATAAAACAGAAAAAGGTTGGATACTCAATAAAGTCTATGGAGAAAAGTGGTTGTAATTGGAAATGGCCAAATAAGGACGACATCCTGGACTATACAGTAGAAGATGTAGTGCAAGTAATTGAGTCACCCAAAAAGATAGGTTGCCGGGATATTTATTGTGTAAAAGAACTAGTAAATTAATGTATCCTGAACATTATGTACAATTTGGTTTAATTTTCTTCACCGCTAATATTTTTATTTTTTTTTGTAAAAATTTTTACATTACATATTATTTTTTTTTTGAAAACTGCGTTAAGTTATTGATTATTTTTGATAAATAAAGACTTGTGATAGTCTAACATAGTGACAATCCCACTTTTATACTGTAAAACAACGAGAAAACAATTTGTCCTAAAGTTACCCCTTCAGTAGGGTTAGATCTGAATACGCCGGATGTGGCAAAATTTCCGAGCCCAACGAATCAAGCGTGTCCTTGGTTGCTTTCGCCGTACATGGTTTCACGTTATGTGCAGTAGAATGACTAAACTCGTTGCCCGCAAAAGTTACTTTTTATACACGCTAGAAGACATAAGCACCTTTCTTTAATGCATCACAAATCATTTTCTTTGCCTCGGATGTGTTTCTTTTTAACTGAAATGCGAAGAATAAACTGTGTCTGATGTGTTCCCAAGCAGCATGTAAACGTTAAAAATGGAATTGTAACAGAGCAGCATAATTGTGATACTGCGACATTTTTGCTACGTAAGATATATATTAAAAGTTCCAAAACGTATGTTCTTCGAACGTTCCCACTTTGTTTGAATATAACCAAACCAAGTGAACGTAAAGCGAACGTTCCTCGAACGTTTAGGTGCTGCTTGGGTTGTCAGACGCTATCGTGTTTATTGCGCTCACGGTGAATCGTTTGAGGATATGCTAGCTATATATTTCGATTTTATGGTTTATTGTTGATACTATACAGCCCTAAAGTTGGCGGCAAAAACTTTTCGCTTAAATAAGTGTTACAATTGATTTAATATTATGGCCGAGAATTAATTTGTACACCTAATAATAAACCTTAGCAACGAGGAAATAACAGCTGAAAAGGGAGAATCCGATATGAATTATCGTCAAGAGCAGACGTATTAATTTTGGCGATTATTCAAAGAGCAAACGATTATATATCCAGTAAGTGAACAACGCTCGATCACATGTACAAACAATGCTGCTCAAATTACAATAGCTGGGACTTGTAGTAAACTCTTTGTCACTCATTATATTCACCAGACCTTGCACTAACTACCATTCGTTTCTTCTAGGCATTGAATCACTTCTTCTTTCAAGGAAAACCGTTCAATTCTCAACAAGCTGTGGAAAACGCCTTTCACTGCATGTGATTTCATTGTCATTCTTCATGCTACTGCATAAACAAGCACTGTCAAGATAGCAAAACTGTGTCAATAGTTTAGGTGCATCATCATCAATGGCGCTACAGCCCAAACTTAGGCCTAGCCTTACCTCTCTCTCTTTCTCACGTATGTATGTGGTGCGCACGCAGTTATACAAATACGGCACACCTACAGTTTAAACGCTGGGGTTCTGAACGGCAAATTTTTGGAGAAAGGTTTTCCTGGCATAAATACTCTTTGGTGGTTTGCCAGGCACCGAAGAGGAGCTACGAGCGTATGAAAAATTTTCTCTGGTTCTGTCGGAAATCGAACCGGGACCTCTATAGCATGGTAGACCGGTGCGTTATCTACCATGCCACGCTTGCCTCTCATAGTTTATGTACATACTTTAATTAATTATACTGCTTTCTGTTTGAGATATATGATATAATGAACCGAATTTTTAATTCGAAATCGCACGTTTCATGTTTAATAATCTAATAAATGCATGTCATACATTTCTGCAAAAAAAGTTTTCCAATCTTAAATAAATGGCACAGAAATAATACCGATAGAAATTTGTTAATAAGAAGGGGGCAATTTCGATACCTGACATTGTACAACCTACCATAGAACAACAATAGAATGTTTTAGATATTATGTTTTTGGGAACATTTCAATTTGTACTGATGTAGTCTGCATTCATTCGTATCCATAAACCAGTACTTATTATTATAACATAAAAATTCTTTTTTAATCTTTATATGGCCTTAACTCGTCAACTGAGCATTTTAGGCACTACACTAACATTTTATATGTATTGATATATTTTATACGGCTATATATAGCCAGTCCACTTTTCTGAAACTTCTTATATATTTATTTTTATAATTGAGTGAATTATGAAATTCTACAATAAAAGATATCAGTAACACTCACCAATCTACGGGTTGATTCTTCTCATCCTTACATTGAAGGGCTACAGCATTTGCTGCATTGTATCCAAACAATAAAATGTACAGCAACAAAAACATTGTTGTTAAGTGCTGATCAGTTTGAAACTGGGAAAAATTTGTGGTGATCAAGAGCATCGAATATTGATTCACCGGACTTGATATCGACCTGCCGGATGCAACTGACAAATATTTATTATAATGGATATTAATTAAATTGCAAAAATAAACATTTCTTATATTCAAACCATTCGATCGATTATGCCACGAATTATAATACAAAAGCTATTGGAGATATGTCGATAAAACGGTTCTGCTGTTTTTTCCAGTTCATATGTCGATAAAACAGTTCTGTTGTTTTTTCCAGTTCATTTAATTCAGTGTATTTGTTTTTTATAGTAACTATCACAGTAACAACACAGCTGAGTAGAGCACGGCGTTGCACATGAATTTCACAATGATGCACGAAATAAATGCGTACAACCAAGGAATTACATTAACATAACTCTTATATATCTATTTGCAGTTTATTCCATAATCGGTAATATTAATATAATAAGTCCAGATAAGCAGTTGTTACCATATACATACCATTATTGCCATATACAAGACAAAGACGAGCAACCAGCCGCGATGCAGAGCGAATGTACTAAGATTATGAAGATCATTGATTGACGTCGCATGACTCATTCTCTTTGTATACTAGGTGTCACATATGCCTTAACATGTTCCGTATTGGATCGATTTTCAGTGATTTTCTGTTCGTGTCGCATGAGTCGCGTGTATTCCATATTGTCGAGTGTAATAATTTTAATTATAATATATTTCAGGATATGTATAAGCCATCCGTTTTACATTCTTCAAACATTCATTGGATATCCATGAAATATCCGTTTATGAAATTGGTAGACATGCTAAACTCCCTGACATGTCTACAGGATATCCAATGGACGTCCAATGGACGTGTAAAAGGAGCACACGGATTTGTAATTTACAGAATAATTTTATAATTTGTAAGTTAAAAGGATGAAACATATAAATTTTTAAATATATTGGGTTGACAAATAAGTTCGTTCGGTTTTTTTAACTGGTATAAAATACAATTTATTTAATATACAAAATATATACTAATCAATAATATATTGACCATTCTTTTCTATGACTTCTTGCCATCTTTTTACCAATTTCATAATCCCACATTCATAAAACGTCTGAGGTTTACCGGCAAAAAACTGATCCAGTTGCGTTTTAACAGCTTCATTATTAGCAAAGTTTTTCCCGTTCAGAAAATTTTGTAGCGACCGGAACAAATAATAATCAGAGGGTGCCAGGTCCGGTGAATAAGGAGGGTGAGGCAAAACATCCCAGCCAAGCTTTAATAATTTGTTCCGAATAGTTAATGAATGGGGTCTGGCATTGTCGTGGTGGAAGACGACTCTTTTTCGATTTGCCAATTCTGGACGTTTCAAACGTATTGCTTGATTCAATTTCGTTAATTGGGAGCAATATACAGTTGAATCGATCGTCCTACCTGATGGTAAGAGCTCATAATAAATGATACCTTTATAATCCCACCACACTGAGAGCATAATTTTCTTCGGGTGCAATCCTGCCTTCGAGGTTGTTTGTGGTGGTTCACTGCTGCTTCCCCATGATCTTTTACGTACTACGTTATCGTAGACGATCCACTTTTCATCTCCCGTAACCAACCGCTTCAAAAATGGATCGTTTTCTTGGCGTTTCAGCAGCGCGTCGCAGATGGAAATGCGAGCGGTTAAGTTGGCCTCGGTCAATTCGTGCGGCACCCAAACATTGAGGCGAGAAACGTATCCCAACTGACGCAAATGGTTTTCTACACTTGTGTGGGATATATTAAGTGTCGTAGCAATCTCTCGTACTGTTTGCGATGGATTTTTGTCGACGGTATTCTTTATTACAGCTGAATCAATCTCTGCTGGACGACCAGAACGGGACGCGTCACTAACATCAAAATCTCCAGAACGGAATTTGGCAAACCATTTTTGACACACACGTTCTGTTAAAGCATCGTCCCCATACACATTACAAATCTTCTTATGAGCTTCCGCAGCTCGTTTGCCTTTTTTGAAATAAAAAAGTAAAATATGGCGAAAATGGACGTTCTTTTCTTCCATATTTGCAACCGTGCAGTACGCACAATACTCTGGTATTAACCGGCGTATGTTTACAAATAGGTTAGGTGGAACGTCGCTTTTCAGCTGCGCAAGCGCGTTGTGCGATAGCGCTGTGGAAAAGAGATAGCAGAACGAGTAAACCTACTCCGATTAAAAAATCGAACGAACTTATTTGTCAACCCAATATTTATTGAATTTTTTTTGACATATTAATTAAAAGAAACAGCAATTCGCTTGTATTGAATATATAGTTGTACAATGGTGTGTATATATATATTTTTATTAATTATATATATATATATATATATTAGTTTTATTAATTATATATATATATAATAATAATATAAAAAAAAAATATATATATATATATATATATATCACATTTGCGAAAGTTGGTCACCTAATGGCAGCACCAATCAGAGAAGAGAACATTCATCTTCTCTAGATTTTCTTTGGTACGAGTCATATAGAGCATTTCTAGGATGTTTAGAAATATATTAAGGATCCTAGAAACTCTCTATCTGGCAGCCAACTGGCATATCTAGCAATATTCGTCATACGATACGTGAAATAACACCTCGAGGCTGGTATTACAAGTGTCGAACGACGAGTTTGTCGAACGTACCGATTGGCTGATGGATAGAGAATTTCTAGGGTGTCTAGAGGAAATATTAGAAACTTTAAAAATTTTTTATCTTGCGGCCAATCAACACATCTGACAGTATTTGACGCATGTAATACCAGCCTGAATATGGCTGAAAAATGATTGTTATTTCACGAACTATTTTGCGATTCTACATGATATACCGGAAATATCTCAGTTCATCGAATATTTTACAGGTTTTAGGATTATAAAACTATTATGTTTTTCAGGGATGACTAAAAAATAAAGCTATATGTCGCAAAAAACATATCATTTCTCACCTGTGACGTCATAAAATTGATATGGCTGCTTGAGAGAGCTGAACCTTATATATGATGAATAAGGTTCTAATTCTCACAACTATAGCTCCATTATCAAGTTCTCACTGCAGAGTCCTCGGCTGCGAGGCTAGAAACCGTAACTGTCTCAATAAACTGACTTAATCACTAATTATAATTAATTCGGCTAGTTAACTAGCTACTAATTAACTAGTTAACTAGTTACTAATTATAGCTAAGATCGAATAATTAATTTTATTAATATGTTAGAGAAATAAATATATACTATTCGAGTAGAACGTTGAGAATTTTATTACATAATCTTTATATCAGAGTTTTCCACACTGACTTTTTCATCTTCCTTAGGATTCACGTGCTTATAATCTAATCAATACCAATATAATTACTTATTATTTTTGGAACTTTCCCAGTCTTTATACGATTAACTTATAGCGAATTCGGCCACTAATGCGCATTGAGTCTTGTTTATATATATCCGTTCTTTTATTTAAGATCGTCTTAAATGTATATTCAAAAACTTTTAGCCAATAAAACAATCTGTACGGATGCTGTACAGATTATTTTACTAGTTAAGAAGTATTTGAAGATGTATTTAAGACGATTTTAAAATATATAAAAAGACTATGAACAAGTCTTAGCGTGCATTCGGTGCGCATTAGTGCAAGCGGCTGAATTCGCTATTAATCATTACTTCATAATTTAAATAAAATATTTTACACCTTAATACTAACATTAATATTGATTTGTTTTTCTGACAGCAATTCTGCAATTTCGCATTCTATTTTCTAGTGACACTATCTAGTATTTGATTCCAGTGAACACTGATTTCCAATTTTATAAAGACTCGACTTTGTTATTAAAAGCGATATGTCGACATCAGTTATTTTATATATAAGAACACAATGAAATGCAAACCGGCTTTGATGAAATTATCAAAATTAGTTTCAGATTAAGAAAGATCCATCTCCGCCTTCTTATCTCTCTTACTGACGCACTTATTGCCATAAATGTAGTAACGTAAGGGTTTGTTGGCCCATTCCGGGCCGCTGCTGGCAATTCCAATTCTAGCGGACTTGATAATTCTAAAATCTGATAATGCACCGTCATCCTCGATCCACAGAGACTTCCAGGTACAAACAGAATATTTGTTGTGCTGCCTGTCAAGTTGATAGGCCATGCAGAGTTTCGATGGACCATTGCATAGTTCGTGCGGCTTCAAACTAGCTTTCCTCGTCTCCGACAGTTTCCGCTGATCAGCCATATGTTCGATACCTTCCAGAGGATCGACGGCTCGCACCAATACCGCACATCCGAGACCTAAAATTTTATCAATGATGACATGAAAGAACCATGTTCTGTAACTCCCGATACGAAAAGGATTTATGCTTCCCGATTTATTTAAGAATCTATTGTACTACTGTAAATTTAACGTTATTAAACGTGTTTTTCGTGAATTAATTTTTCTATATATACAGATTGTCCTATTTGAAGTGATTTCAAATATTTCTTGAAAAATACATTTTAAAGAAAAATATTTCGTATAAAAGATAGAGAGTTCAAAGAGGGCCAATAGATGATCTTATAAAGTTTTGGTCCATGTTGGATCCAATAGAGCCCATCAATCAATCTCAGCAATCAATTTTTTTAAATAGACCCCCCATTTTTTACTGCAAAATTGGGTTCTATATCTCAAAACAAAACAATTTTGTTCAACAATTATATTTTTCATTTTTACCCCATTTTTTACAAGTATTTTACAAAGTAAACAGATCAAGGGATGAAACTCGTAAAGGTGTTAATTTTTTTGTGAAGAGTTCTATCCTTCATTTTTAAAGTGAAGAAGGTCGCTATCTTTATTTCCGTGGAAAATATGAATTTTAGAAGGGCCCGAACATATTTGTTCTACCAGGTATGAAAAGGGTAACACAAAATAGAACGAATAGTGCAATTATAAATATCACATCTATAATTGCTTAAGACTTCAGAGTAGTCAACTAAGAACTCCGCGTTGACACAGTAGCGACACAGTTCATAACATAAAAGGAACCAATAGAGTGCGTCTGGCAAGCGCTACAAATACTTCGCAGTATTTCTCTTTCTTCATCTATTTTTCGGATCCGAATAAAGGAAGAAAAAGAAGGAGAAACACTTCGAAGCATTTGCTGGACCGCACTTATATGCGTGAAGAGTGACGTATTGACAACGAAATTTTGTATTGTGTGCTATTTCTTTATTATTTGTTTAATTGTGCAGGTGTGACTAGTGATATACTTATTAAACCCGTAAAAATGAAGGAAAATCAAGATTAGTTTGGAATTTTATATATGTAGGAATATTTTATATGTAGGAACATATTTTCCACTCCTTTCAACAGCTGTAAAATCATGTTTTCCTACATGAATAAGGCTTTACTTCACGTACCTTTTACGGCTATTTATTGACTGTTAGAAGAAAAAAGGAGAGTTTTCGTCCATTTTCACAAGTATCTTCAAGCGATCTCAAGTGTTGTTTTATCCAAATATCTTTTTATTTACAAATGGCATGCAATATTTCTTAACGTGTCATTTCTCATTTGTGACGTCACGAATTTACTCGACAACTACTACGGAGTCTTAAAATTAATTACTACTTGTTCATATGTACACACGTGTGATACTTTTAGATTTATTTCCAAATTACTAGAATATGTATAGGATACTTTTTATTTTTATTTTTTCTATTATTATTGAATTAAAAGTATAATATCCTTACTACATTCTTAATTATTTTTGTAATTTTTAATAACTTTATAAAAGAAATATGTTTTATATATAGTAGAAAAAAAATGTCGTCTGGTTGTACTCACCATCACTAGAAATATTGAAGCAATGGTACATGCCATATGTCATGTAAACATAAATGGTCCCTGGTGGCATATACATTGGTATATTACGTGGTGTAACTTTGTTTTGATAAGTTTGCGACGCCTTGTCAATTGTGCCCAGATATCCCTCAGTCTCCACTATCCTACCTTTGAGAATGGTCCCATTTTCAAGATATCGTACGAGTATTTTACCTGCAGAGAAAATAAAAGATTTATAACATTTAATACATCTGAGATATCTTAGTGAATAACTAATTAATTAAATGGATAAATAACTTGATGGATAATTAGTTTTAGATAAAGCAGGTTGTATTTATATAAGTGAATTAAAGAAGATATAATTTAGACCACACACCTAGTAACTGTTGTGCAAGCTCCTTACAGGAGATATTAAAGAACTCATATTGTAATCGGCCAGAAGATAATTTCTTTTCCCAAGGTGTTATAGGTGGATCTTCCAATTGTTTTAATTCTTCTTTCATTAATTGCAAGTCCACAATGACTCTTGGTTTTCTTTTACTCACTTTTGTGTTTAGATTTTCTTCTTCATTTTCTTCTGTATAAAACAACTTGTTAATAAATATATATATAAATAGAAATAGGAATCTTGTAATTAATTAGTAATTAGTAAAATGCCTATAACTAACTTTTCATGAGAGCTTTTGTCTTTGGTTCTTTCTGGGTACTTCTGAATATTTTAGAGGATTTAGTAATGTGAAAGTTAATTGCATTATGTATATTTTTGCTATTTTGACTTTGTAAGGATTTCAGATTTAGTTTTAGTTTTTCACTTGGTTCTACCTAATGAAAAAACAATGTATTAATATAAAAATTGTATTGTTTAGAGTTATGATATAATACACAAATATATTGTAATACTGCATGTTACTCTTACATATTAAGTAAAAATCTAACTTTCTTATGACAAATTTTGTGAAAAATAATAAATTATTATTGTTCCCAAAGCACCAATTGTTGTATATAGTTTATATATAGTTATATATCTCTTTTATCTGTTGCAAATAAATATTTATAAAGATTATTATAAAATTAATAAGAGAATTAATATTTAATATGAAATTATTAAATATAACGCAAACCTTAGGAGTCATTTGGATTTTCATCAATTTCACTCTTCCATCACTAAAATTCTCTTCAATTGTATGTTGTTGAATTCTTGTAGTTGCTGTTGTCCGTTTCATCAATTTATTTTCTGTTACAAATAACTTCGCTTTTTTCATTTATGGCTTCGAGCCGCTGAATTCCAAGCCTTCTTTCTCAGTAATGGCCAGTATTACCAATTGATGATGAGACTTTCCCACGAGATCTTCTGTATCTGTCTACGTGCGAATGCCAAATCCTATTAATGTCCGTACCAGACGACGGATTAGAATTGAGATTAGATTGAAATGTAACCAATCGGAAAGTTTACTAAACTCAAGTTTAGTGAATCTTGCTCTCATTGGCCAAATTTTAATTCAATCGCAATTCTAATTTGTAGTCTGATACGGGCTTAAGTCCTGTTCTGCAATACTCCGTACGCCGGAGTCGAATATTAGAACGCAGCCGATGGTCCAATGAGAACTCGCTTTTAAAAAATAAATCGGACTTTTGGCTGCGTTCTGACATTTGATTCCGACGCAAGACGGAACTATTGAAGAACAGGCGTAATGGTGTAATGTGTACTCTTGCCCACAGGACGCGGCAACGCTTGCTGTGTGGCGGAAGTTCGCGCGGTAGCCAATCAACTTTTAGTTCTTACCGAAAAACGGAATGTTGATTGGCTACCGCGCGAACTTCCACCGCGCAGCAATTGTTGTCGCGTCCTGTGGACAGAAGCCATTAGGCTTGTGTTTCTTCTCACTTATATGCTTGTAGTGCGCATGATTACACACAGGCATATGAAATCTACTACACTTGTTTAACGCCGACTTCGAAACGGCATATTTTCGCGCTTTTTTATTTTATATATATTAATATTTTTCATTGGATATATATATTAAGAATGTTGTGTATAACTGCACATATTGTATCAATTTGTTTGTATATTAATTAGTAGCACATGTCCGATTAAAAAATATTGAATTCACGTCGATTTCAGTTACAAATTTTCATCGGATCAATGTCAATTTGATAAAAGTATGTAATTAAAATCGATATTTAACCAAATCAATATAGTTTTTCCAGCCAATTATTCTTCACTATAGCATCAGTTAGGTACATAAATCAGTAACGTATTAGTAATACAGTATTAGTAATACAATACAATACAATAAGCAAGGAAAATTAAATTAACGTTAAATGTTGACATTTTTCAAAACTTAAATATCACATATTTTAATCGAAAACTTGTTCTTTCTCTCTCTCTCTCTCTCTCTCTATCTCTATCTCAGTACATGGCTTTGGATTTCCTCCTTGAGTATTATAAGTTCTGTTCGTTTTCGCTGCATCGCTGAACTAGTGCAATGAGTTGAAGTGAGAAAACATATACTTGTCTCGCTTCAACTTATTGCACTAGTTCAGCGGTGCAGCGAAAACGAACAGACCTAGTTACTGTACGGGTACCATTCCGTCTTTTACTGTCGAGGTGTTGTCAGATTATAGATCGGAACACATCACAATATGTTTCGTGCAGCTAACCCTTTCAAATTCATTACATCCTCTATATGTTGATATTGTTTATATTTCATAAAGAATGAGTGAAATACTTAATGAAAATATAATTGCATTTATTGTATTTACGCTAATAGAAATAGAGATGAGAATGGGTGCGTTCGAGGAGATGCTATTATCGCTACCGCGTCATTCTGTCTTTATTACTTTTTACATGTACAACAAGGATAGAATGATGCGGTAGCGCTAAATAGCGTCTCCTCAAACGCACCCATGAATCAAATGATAGCGATAGAGATACAGAAATTTACAAAAAAACTCATGCGATCTCAGATGCCTCGGACAAAATGCAAAAATTATGGAGAAAACATTGTATCATTATACACAGATATGAACTTTAAAATGCCTATGCTATTTTATATACTTCATTACTTTCACTATCAATTAAGGTTATTTCAGTGTAAGTAGCTATTTTGTACTGCGACTGCTTCATCTCGTCGGCCGCAGTAGTCTCATTAGAAAGTGACATCAAATTCAATGACGTCATTCATTGGTAGCAGTACTTTCGTGGTTCATTGCAGCCCATATCGGAATACCATTCGCAGTACTGACAATACTCGCAGTAAATAAAGAAACACATTTTAAAACTGTAGTCATTTGTGTCCGCAATCAGCTCGTGTTTTGGCGACAGAGCCTGTTGATAGACAATTTGAGCAAATTGGTAGCAGAAATCACACAGAACCTGCCGCCAAATTGTGCGCAACAAGATCTGTTCTGTTTCTGTCACCAATCTACTGTTAGATCGCTATATGGTTTGTTCGGTTTCTGCTTGCATTGTTTGTCGTCATGTCTGTCATTTTTGCGGCGACAGTTTATCAATAGAATCAGGTAATATGCGTTGGATTTATTACCTTCCTGCTGTCAAAAATTTGTAGAATTTGCTCGAAAGACTGATATCATTTAATATTAATATCGCTGACAATTTGTTATATATGTGTTTATTTAAATAATACATCAGACATGAATAATTTAACATTAATTTAAATGAATTGTACCGTAAGTATGATGTATCATTGCGCAGTTTTATAATATATTTTAAAAATCCATTATTCAATTTGTTTTAAAATATCCTTTATCACATAAATCCCGAATTGTGAATTACAACTAAGATTTCGAGAAACAATATATTAGCTTAATAGTTTAATCTCAAGTTTCCGAAATCCTCCAATATACAAATTCCTAATCCATTCACAGGCCTATTTATTTCTTATGTAGATTCACCACGTACAAAGAGATTAAAGTCAGTGAGGCGTTGACTATGTCCTTTCCTTGTTAGACTCGTTTATAACCGACATTTCGTAAACTTCTTATCAAAGTCGATTTTGATAATCTCCAGGCCTTCACGATATCCTATTACTTGGTGGTCTGTTGAATCTCTAATAAGCTTTTGCCCTTCGTTTCGGGAATGAAATACCATACATAAGGCACTGCTAGTAACACGAAAAGTCCATAGCTCCAGAAAACAATCGTTTCTCCAGCTACGTCTATGAAAGGTTGATAGGTCTTGGCAAATGTGAAGGCAAATGTCGCGTTTCCTAATGCGATACAAAGCGATGCTAGATTTTTAAGATTTGCTGGAAACATCTCGCTTAGAAGAGTGGCGGGGACTGGGATGAGACCGTAGGATGCAAAGATATTGAAGAACAGTAAAGACGTGATCGGCAACCACGTCAACATTTCAGAATTCAAACCCAGGGAGAGAAGGTAAAAGTGTAATCCGAGAACGACGAGCGAAACGGCGACGCCAATACTTGAGACTATTAGAAGATTCTTACGCCCGAATCTATCCACTACCAAAGTAACGGTAGAGCCGACGACAATTGTGGAGAAACCCAGCACCATTACTACGATCGACGGGGTGACGTTCACTCCGCTATTAATCAAGATAATCTCTGCGTAGGAATTAATCGTGCTATATGCACTCGCATACACGAAGACGTTCAGACCGAACATAATCAAGGCGCTCTTCAGGTTCGCTGGAACAGAAAAAAAAGATCGATTGTTTTAACCAATATACAGTTGATATCAATTAATTCTTAAGTGAGTTTTGTTTTATCTTGAAATTCTTCTTTTCTTTAAAATCTGAAGCCCTTTAACTTAAGGTTTTCAGAGATTTACTTCCCCGGAATAAATTTTTCATACAATCAATCCCACAAGAAAATATACGAGAGTATATCGAGAATATACTACTTAAAAAAAAAAAGATTGTGTAGTACAACAAAATATACTTGAAAAGATGTTGCACAATTATTTAGTAACGTCCATAGATAGAAATGTGCGATGATCATGTTTCATCACAATGTGATGTCAAATTGTAACTTCAACTTAATATCTTTTTAAAGATCATTGTGTGATTAACATCACATAAGCATAAGATGTGCACAAATGATATGTACACGTTCTTGACTTAATTATGATTAATGCTATTACATTTTTTTGTGACATCATGACATGAACGACATCTGAGCAGCATATGCACGTGCATCATGTTATTATATATAATGTNTATATATATAATTATATAATTATATATATATATATAATTATATAATTATATATATAAAATTATATAATTACATATATAAAATTATATATTTCTATATATATATATATATATGTATATATGTATATGGATATATTCTATACACAACGTCTTATATATAATTATATATAATTATATCTGATTATATATGAAAAATTTTGTTCCATATCTTTATATGAAACATTTAATATTATTAAATTTTGTAATTTTAAGTTTTTTCTCAAGAGACAAAGTGAAAGATACATAAATGCTAGATGTTTACATTTTTATTTCGTTTTCTTCGAATAAAAAATCCGTCTATTAAAATATGCAATAAAAACTCCTTATCTCAATTGAAAAAAAAAAAAGAAAAAGAATTTTAGATGTTACATCAAAGATGCGTTCAAGCTCTTTACTTCTGGAATACCTGGTAGTAGGAAATCCTTAAGTTTTGTCAGGATACTGGCGGTGGCGCCATTGACGAAATCCTGGAGTTCCTGTAATTCGGCCTTGACGTCAGATTCTCGTCGGAACCATTTGAGAGATGCCTCGGCCTCGTCAATATCACCGTGAAGAGCGTAATGATAGGGCGATTCAGGTATCAGGCTGAAGAGGGTCATGAAGAGAATATTCGGTACGAGGCTCACGTAAGCGAACATCTCCATGGATAGATAAGGACCCATCGCATTGCCCAGAAATAGACCTACTGACGCTGCGTTCACATTCATGGCTATCTGAAAACGTAACGTCGTGGTATTATCGTCTCGAAGCTCCCGCCATCGTTGTTGTGAGGATTGGTGAACACGCGAATCGTTAACAAGAATATATAATTAAAAGAAAATAATGACAGTCATAAAAATGAAATATCAATCGGGCAAAAACTTCTTATGATTACTATATTATTAACATTGATAAATTAATGACTTCAAAATTATTATTAATAATTTGAGCTGTTAAAAATTAACAATTTAATATTAATATTATTCTCTAATTCATTATCAGCGTTTCCATCGCTTTTCTTGTAACTTATTTTAATTGTTAGGAGAAAAATAAAGTTTTAATACTGAGAGTATCGGCCGAACGACAGCCGTAACCTTGCGAGTGATTCCGTTTTTATTGCTATATATTTTAATATCCTTAATCATATAAATCTCTTATATATTGCTCTAATAAGGTATTACAATTAAATGTTAACTCGTGACGTCTGTTTTAAATTTGATTGATCTATTTGAACATGTTATTTTTCTATAGTTAAGAAATTCTAACATTTTTGAAAAATACAATGATCCGTCGACTTACGCAGAAAGGAAAAAAGTAATATGGAAAATATAAAAAGAATCCGGAAATGACGCGTTAACTTAGGAAAAAAAAGGACAGTACAGTTTCGAGAATGCAATGACATGACAGGCATTTATATAGATTTAAATAAAAATAATTTATAAAACGTTTAATGTGATCGAAAAGAATTGAAAATTTAGAAAAACAATGAGATATAAAAGTATTGTCTAATGATTTGTGTAGAGATTTTAAGGAGAATATAAAAAAAAGCGAAGAGAGTGGGAAAAAGTATGCAACGAAGCTTAATATAGAAAAATTAGAAAATTGATTTTCTCTCTTAATTTTTTCTCTTGCAAATTACCAGTGAGCCTCGAATGGTAGGATTAGCAATTTCGCCTAGATACAAGGACATCGCGGGCCACATCATGCCCGATCCAACTCCAGAGCAGATTCTGGACCAATATAACCATGTAACCGAAGTGGCGCAGATAGTGAAAATCCAGCTTGAGGCTAACGGCAATCCCGACAACAGCAGTACTCTCTTTCGTCCAACGAATTCTGAAGGATTGTGTCGTGACACGTGTTAGAGACATGTCATCCTGAGAACAAGATCACCACAACTCAGAACTGCGGCTCGATCTTCAAGGATGTAAGAAGTCGTTTATTATTTTCGTTAACTTCGCACCGAAGTGTTTCGTAGATTATTCTCTTCTTCACGGTGGAGCGCGTCACAAGGACACCTTTAGGTAAATATTGGGACATAAATAATTGGAATTAGCAGTGGAGGTCTCAGAATGCAAAAACTACAATTAGTAAATATCCGAAAAACGTAAAAATTCCTATGTTACAAGACTATGTTACAAGACTTCAAAAATATCAAGATCGTGATGATCTAAGATTTCAAAAATATACCTTTTTAAAAGGCTCTAAAAATTGTTTAACTTCATTTTTTCACGATATTCCGCCTCTACTGTCAAGAAGCAAAAATTTATTTCCGATTTTCACTGAGTCGTGGCTGGCTTGTTCTTAGGTCGCGAGATATCGCTTGCTTCAATCGAAAGAGGATCTAGGTTGTTTCGAATCTAAATCGGCCTTGGAGATTAAATAATCGATAGATTGGAAAAATCTACTAACCTACTGAGTCTGATATGAATAAAATTTTATTATATCCTCGCGTATAATTTAACAATCTTTCTTCAAACGCGTACCAAGTATAGAATTTAGTTTTAATAAGAGAATAATTTATTTAACAATAAGAGATATAAAGTTATTAATATGTAATATATAATACATAAATAATAAAATAATAATCTGTGTACAAATTATATTGACATTAAATAGAAATATTGTTAAGTTATGTCGAGATGTAACAGAAAGGACCCAAAGGACCAGCCTAATCGAGATAAAGCGATCCACTTTGTTAAGTCTTCTAAAACTTTTGATCAATGAATATCTTGCCTTTGATGAAGAGTGGTGAAGAACGCTTACCTTGGCAAAAAGCACCAAGGAGTGCCCCGATCAAACGTCCGAGGTTTAGAAAGGACGCCACCCAGGATGCTTCGGTATCGGTTAGCCTCAATGGAATGTCCACTTCAGCCGATGTTAATTGTGCTAAATACGGCGATGCCCAGCCAGTCGCTAATCCACTAACAATAGCTTCTAGACCAACTGCTAGGCAAAACGTGACGCGTCATCGAAAACTCACAAATTACTATCTATATGTAATAATAGAAATATTATTGAACCAGTTATTTTTTTGTAACACATCGTTCTAATATCAGTAACGATTTGAAAAAAAACTACTCGTTAAATTAAATTTTACACAATAACACAAATACACACATACACATGTGCCCGTGTTAGCTGATTTTAAATAACAAAAAATAACAAATATTAATAACAAATATTAATTTAAATAACAAATATTAAATAACGAAATTTAAATAACAACATAATTTGATAAGACTTTACTATACTACACACTTCTGATTTTGATGAAATTTTACAAATACGTAGTACTTACTAAATGTAATTGAAGCTACTGGTACGAAATTGCGGAAATGCCTAATTTTCCAAAAGTTTTAATTAATAAATTTTAATTATTCGACTTAATTAATGTTCTTCAAGATTTTGGTATAAGACAATAGTTATAATTCAAATATATTTTGCTAAAATCTTGAAATTTATTAGTTCATTAGGAAACTGGCTAAATATGATGAATAGGAGACCCACTCCCAATAACTTTGACACCCACTCTCAATAACTTTGACATATATTATACTTTGGCACATATTATAGAACAGGCCTCGGCAAGAAATGTAACTTTCGGCCAGATTTTGGAATGTAAGCCCATTTCTCCTCCTTGCTGCCTGTGATTTAGCAACCGAGCACGTAACTGAGGCTCACGATGCTCTGTGTCAGAAGTAGCAAAATATAAATAGAATGAATTAGGATCCCCTGCTATATCAATGCTAGTATATAAAATAATACGATTACGCGAAAAAGTTATATATATAACATTATATATATACATTATATATATAACATTATATATATAACATTATGTTATATGTATCTCCTCAATTCTATTACATGTAAATTTGACACGAGATACTTATTTGTGATATGGGAGAGGGTCCGACCTGATTGTATTCATGGTTTAGCCGCTTCTGACACAGAGCGTCGTGAACCTTAATTATGCGGTCAGCTGCTATGTCGCGGCCGACAAGGAGAGGAAAGTGGGTATGCATTCCGAGATCCGGCTGAAAGTTGCATTTCTTGTCGAGGCTTGCATTAGATCATCCAAATATTATTAAAACTCTCGTTTCGCATACACATAAATTACTTTTTTTTATTATAATCTAACATCCATCTATTTATTCAAGTAAAGATACTCAGGAATGTGAGACATCTATAAATCGTGATATAGATAACCATAGGGGAGAAGCTTCGCCCCTTCTTACTTGTTAATCTAATCAAATCCAACCTCTCTTCGTGAATAAAAATTATACTCAATGTTACTCTATCTTATATATTCATCGGATAGAAAATGATCTCTCTACGTAATTTTGAATTTGCGTAAAGTTCGTCGTTTCATTGAGTACCTTCTAATGTTGTGACTATCACGACAAGTATTTTTAATGAGTAAACTGGAATTTCAAACTTTCCAACTTCTTTTGTTAATAACTTTGTTATTATTATTTATATGTTGATTACATACAAAAATGTAAGAAAATGAGATTTCATTTCTTATTTTTTTATGGCGTTGTTATTTTCCGAAAAAATTAAACGAGAAAAATATGTTTTATGAAAAAGTGCTTTTTGTTAAAATAAAGGTTGATATGGTTATTTTTTTTTAATAGACGGGAGTTTTCTATATGCTTATAACCTTGTTGACATTTTGCTTCTTTTTATTTTATTTAAATTGAAGAGTTAGGGAGCTTGCCTTAAATATAACCTATCAAACTGTTTAAGTATGCTAATGAATTGT